GTAAGGATTGCAGGGAGCTGCAGTTGAGCCAGGCCACCAAAGAGCAAAAAATGGATGCAGCAGCGAAGAGTATACAATCGGCGTACTGCTGCTGGAAACAAGTCGAGATCAATACGATAGCTTCGGGCTTTGGCCATTTGGGACCAGCAAGTAAAACCATACAAAGGTGCTGTCCACAGTCCACCACACCACTTCCAAAACCAAAACCAAAAACTCCATTCCATTTCAATCCGAATTCCTCCTTTTTTTCAAAAATAAAATTCCACCAACCATCACATCCAGCAACATTTAAACAATTCGATACTCTATGATCCCACGACCTATGACCTCGATCATCTACATTGCATCGCTTGTTTCCTTCTTCGCTAACACCCCCCAAGCTGCATCCATACACAAATACACTAACACACTAGATCAGGTTAGATTAGATAATCCAGGCTATGTTTTATTTTCAAAAAGTAGTTTCCAAACTTTTTGTGAAATTTTTTCTATAAAATGATCATTATTTTGTGTATTACAGTGTGTTTGTGTATGTCGCTTGTAGTGTGTCCTTTGTATTTTAGCGGTTTTTTGATTTTGTTAGACTATTTCTTAATACTTTTATCTACAAATTGTATATATATATATCCTGTATATATGCCTGAATGTTTTTTTTTCTTTAAATATTTTGTTTCGTCTTGAAAATGTTGCGTAGTCCACCCGCCTACTGCCTACTGCCTACCGCCTCCTGCCTGCTCTGTAACCGATCTGCTCTGCTCCTGCTCCTGCCACAGCTGCTTCTAAAATAATTATACTAGTACCTGCCACCTGCTAACTCAAGCTGCTAAAAAACTAATCGCCATCTCGCTTAAAAGTAGTCTACTTTCCACGTTCCCCGAACCACAGTGATTGTCCTTTTTTTTTTTTAGAGTTCTTGGATAGAAATTAAATCCGCATTGTCAAGGTCGTCTGTCCCCGACCACAAGCCCCCAGGTGGGGCATACCAGTTACCGATAGGGTCTCCAGATAGGAATACTAACAAAAAACAAAAAAAATGATATAGATACGCCCCGTAATTGGTTTGTTTAAAATGAGCGATAAAGTGGAACTACAAGTTGCATTTTCAGTTGAAAAATTATGGATAGCAACCCGAGTTACCAGTCATTATTATGACTATTTGTTGTTTATTTTCTAGAATTTTGGGAAGTAAGCTTATCGTTCCAGACCATAACTTCTCCCCCCCCATGACGAGTTCCGATTTCGAAAAGCAAACACAAAACACATTTCTATTAAATTCTGTTTGAATTAAATGCCACCAGCCATGACGTAAACAATTTTTTCGTATTTAATTTTTTTTTTTTTTAATAGATTAGAACATGTATGATGCAATGGATGGCATGATAAAAATTAGTTTCTGTTAGCAGATAATTGTGAAATCAGGCAGTGGGCTTTAGTTGATTATCTAAAGCACAAAATGTTGAGATTAAAAAAAAATACTTCAATTGTAGTTAGGTACTTTAGTTTAATCTATAGACTTTCTATAAAAAATACAAATTGAGGTTTCCAACCTTAGGGTGAACCTTAATTTGATTCCAGCCTTTAGAACCCCTTTAGATTAGCTGCTGCTGCATTTTTTTTGGGGCCAAGGTAGCACCGTTTCATCGACCATTCTCCATTATTCCTCGATCTCTAATTACAACTCTGCACCCGTTTCATCCCTAGATTAAGACCTACGGGCATACAACTTACTATAAACTATTTTTTAGATATATTATGCTAATATTTATAAATATAATGATGTTTTTTTTTAATATAATTGCTTTTATCGGATAGTTAGTTGTAGTTTTAAGGGCTGACCTAAAAATAAAATAAAAAAAAGGACCTAAAAACAATGCACCTAATGTATATATAATGTATAATGATCATTATTGCAGGCTTATAGCATCGGTCTGTTGCGATCCGACTATATGGCACACGTGTACGAGGACTGTGCGATAAAGCAGGTCGAGATCAACACGGTGGCCTCCAGTTTCGCTGGCATTGCCACCCAATTGGTGCCGCAGCAGAAGTATTAAGCGCTCTTCTCTATCTATCTCTCTCTCTATCTATCTATCTATCTCTCACACACACACAAACACACACACTCGAATGCACAAACACACATTTGCACACCTGTCCCCCCACTCTCCACTCATGCACGAACTGATCCACTGATCTCACCTGTAAAGCAAAAAAAAAACAACAAAAATTGGTATTAACGGTTTCTTTATTTTTTTATAATTTGCATGCGGTTGCATCTCTTTCTATATGCATATATCCGTCCTTTTTCAACCCGCCATTGCTTTACGTTCTTAACAAAAGTTATCTCACCTTTTCCAAAATCCCGCCACCCACCGACCACTAACCCCACTCAAGGTTATGGCCACACTAACCAGCCCCCATCCGACCCAGACCCCACATTTGTTGTTGTTTGTTGCTGTTGTTGTTGGTCCAGTGATTACGAAATAATGCTAATCATCTTTATCTTTCTGCTCCTGCTCCTGCCACTCCCCACCTCTTTCCACCAACGCAGATTTGTACTTAGCGAGCTGGGACACGCGGATAAGCTGAAAAATGTGAGTATTTCCAATATGATACCTGGTACTTGGCATTTTATATTGTAAGGAAACCGATCTATATATTTTTGAAGGTATTCTGCATAAGAATCGGTTGAGAAGTGGCAAAGATATAGCTATCTTCCTGGGCCACATAGGGAAATCCTGGATTTTACAGGGGACCCCCCACAAAAATGTGAAAAATTTCGAAAAAATATTTTGTTGCCAGGTTTTGATGCAGATCGATGGAGAATCGATCCACAAACGTTTTGAGGTATTCCTCTCTAGAATCGGTTGAGAATTGACAAAGATATAGCTATCTTCCTGGGCCACATAGGGAAATCCTGGATTTTACAGGGGACCCCCCAGAAAAATATGAAAAATTTCGAAAAAATAGTTTATTGCCAGATTTTAATGCAGATCGATGGAGAATCGCTCCACAAATGTTTTGAGGTATTCCTCTCTAGAATCGGTTGAGAATTGGCAAAGATATAGCTATCTTCCTGGGCCACATAGGGAAATCCTGGATTTTACAGTAGACCCCCCAGAAAAATATGAAAAATTTCGAAAAATTATTTTGTTGCCAGATTTTAATGCAGATCGATGGAGAATCGATCCACAAATGTTTTGAGGTATTCCTCTCTAGAATCGGTTGAGAATTGGCAAAGATATAGCTATCTTCCTGGGCCACATAGGGAAATCCTGGATTTTGCAGGGCCTCCCCCACAAAAATATGAAAAATTTCGAAAAAATATTTTGTTGCCAGATTTTGATGCAGATCGATAAAGAATCGATCCACAAACGTTTTGAGGTATTCCTCTCTAGAATCGGTTGAGAATTGGCAAAGATATAGCTATCTTCCTGGGCCACATAGGGAAATCCTGAATTTTACAGGGGACCCCCCACAAAAATTTGAAAAATTTCGAAAAAATATTTTGTAGCCAGATTTTAATGCAGATCGATGGAGAATCGATCCACAAACGTTTTGAGGTATTCCTCTCTAGAATCGGTTGAGAATTGGCAAAGATATAGCTATCTTCCTGGGCCACATAGGGAAGTCCTGGATTTTACAGGGGACTCCCCAGAAAAATGTGAAAAATTGCGAAATTTTTAGTAAATATTAGTTTATTGTCAACTGTGTTTTTAAATTATTAGTGTTTTTATTAAATTTGAATAATTTTTTATATTCTGTCTTGAACAGATGCCCCAAAACAACGCCCTGGCTGGACTCTGCGACGGAATGGTCAAGGCCTGGGACATCTACGCCCGACCCAACGCTGTGATCCTGTTCATCATCGAGGATGTGTCGTACAACATCTGCGATCAGCGATTCCACGAGTTCTACATCCGCGAGACCTATCCGCACATCAAGGTCCTGCGTCGCACCCTCAGCGATGTCCACCGCGAAGGAAAACTGGGCCTGAACAAGGAGCTGCTGCTGTAAGAGATTAAAAATTCCTTTGACTTCAAATTTCTAGCCTAATCTTCATCTTCAAGGGGTCAGCAAGAGGTGGCCGTGATCTATTTCCGTGCTGGCTACGAACCAGGGCACTATCACTCGCAGGCGGAGTGGGATGCCCGCTACCTCATGGAGACCTCTTTGGCCATCAAGTGCCCATCGATCCATTACCATCTGGCGGGCACGAAAAAGGTTCAGCAGGCTCTGGCCCAGCCGGCGGTACTGGAACGTTTCATCAACGATCCCGAGGAAATCAAGGCCGTGGGCAAGATCTTTACCGGATTGTATTCGTTGGACGACAACGAGGCGGGCAATGCCTCCTACGAGATGGCATTGAAGACACCGGAGAAGTTTGTCCTGAAGCCGCAGCGTGAGGGTGGTGGCAACAATGTCTACGGTGTTGATATTCCGGATGCCCTGAAGGTGAGGTGTACTTTACTCCTGTGGTTAGACTATAAAATAATGAAGCCTATTTTTCCATAGCGCATGTCTCGTGTGGAACGCTCTGCTTGGATCCTAATGGACCTGATCCATCCACCACTCACCAAGGGCTATATGGTGCGTCCCGGGGCCGAGATGCCGCCGCAGATCGTGGATATGGTCTCCGAGCTGGGCATCTTTGGAGTGGTGATCGGCGATGCGGATCACATTGTGCACAACTACCAGGCGGGTCACATGCTCCGGACCAAGCTGTCCACCGCCAACGAGGGCGGTGTAGCGGCCGGTTTAGGTGCTCTGGACAGTCCCTATCTGATCGATAGCGACGATGAAGAGGAGCAGTAGGACCTGTACTGGTGTGATGGGGACACAGATAGCGGTGATCCCAATCCGGCATTCCACCATGTGGCCTCAATTGTGTATAAAGATTCATTTTTTTGTAGAGTGTGTTGTACATTATTTTTTTTTACTTTATCTCGATTGCAATAAACCAACCGTAAAGCTAGTAAATCCTTTAAGATTCAAGGCTTGGTTTCTAAAACACTTTAATAATTGTTTAATAATTATAATAACTATCACCAGGGGCTATGTTAAAAGATTATGGTACTGTGTGAAGTCTTCACTACCGTATGTACTGACGGTATGTGGCGTCCATCACACGATCAACAACATTGTCTTCACTACCGTATGTACTGACGGTATGTGGCGTCCATCACACGATCCACAAGTTTGTCGATAGGATGCACGATCAGTGGTATGCTAGCGAGGCCCACCAGGGTGGGTACAGTCTTGAGTAAAGCAACAGGGGCACGCCTCATCGCAAGGCGGGTGGCCCAGGTAATCCTTTAAAAAGTATGGAAAAAAGATAATTATCCAGCTAACATAGGAGCTATAAAGGGGCACTTACCGATTAATAACTAGACCGGGAATCGTTACAGAGGCTAGCATCTGCCAGGAAAAAACATCACCGCCCTTGACAAGCACCTCCCGTGTGGGGGCACCGTTCATCCGGAGACGCAGCGACTTGTCGAACGTATCTGTGCAAACGTATCCGATGGCCATTCCATAGGATGCAGCTACAAGTGATTTAGACACCAGCGGTCTAAATGCCTCCCCAATTTCGTTGCTATAACCTTTAATTAAAGGTTATGACGTCAGTCGGAATATATTATTGGGATCTTAACTACTCACCCATATACCGTATAAAACTATCCCGAAATATATCCATATCCGGAGGAAGCTCTCTTTGAAAAGAAGTAACATCTTTTAGGGGAGGATCTGGGTTCGGTTGAGTATTGTTTTGTTCTGACATTTTATAATGTTCCAGGCACTCTTATATTTTTGATTTAAATAACAGTTAAGTAATTCCTCACTTTGTTTTTCCAAGCAGCTGATTTTGGCAGTGTTGGCTATTTTTTGCAGCTTTTAGCAACACTTTAAAGCTTATTTTATAACAGCGATTATGATAATAATACTAACTAAAATAAAACATAAAAACGAAGTTGGTTTAACTAAAATTCAAGCTGTAAAATATTACAGAACTTTTTCATGTTTTTAAAGCGTTTTTTATATACTTTCTGGTAATTAAGAATGTTTAATAAATATCTTGTATTTTTTAATAAAATATATTTAATTTTAAGTTAAAGAAAGTGCACAATTTTTAATTAATACATAAGAAATTTAAAAATCCCGCCACAGCTCTTTAGAACAACATTTTTAGCCCACTTTTGTTTACGAACCACGGTCACACTGGCAAATAACAAAAAAATACAAGACGTCGTCATTCGTGTTGGAATTCCACCAAAATAGTTAAGTTTTCGTTTTTGTTTCAACATTTGTGGGAACACCAGGAGCACTTAGGAACGATCGCCTGGATTTCGGATCACAACAGCCAGCCAAAAGGTGACTAATCCTCCAGAACACAACCCTATCACCTCTTTTTTTTTTTTTTGCTGTCGCAATTTGTTTTTGTCAATGCCGCCGCCGCCGCAGCCGCGAGCATTAGTCATGCTCAGAAATTCGATTTTGTTCCCCAGCACTGCGTCACCGAAGGACTTTGCCTGGATATCTCAAGGATTGGGTAACCCCTATCATAAATATCCGGAAATTCGAAGTGGGAGATGAAGCTTAGACAGCGAATGATTCGATTGGACGCTGGCTTGCTAGGGAGGGGCTTAATACTTGAGGGAATACAGTGGCTATAGACTATAAAGGAAGTATCTTAAGATGGCTCGGGAGTACGAGGATAACGGAACTCAGCGCAATGTAGATTAGTACCTTTTCAAAACCAACTCGATGGCATTGTTTTCCAAACCCTTACTTAGTTAATGTTTACTGTAGCTACTAACTTTAGTTAGTTTTGGATTTTAAAAAACATTTACACTGAACCATGAATATCCCGCCCTTTCATCTACAAACCTAATCACATGATGACGTCACTTTCACTATCAAAGAAGCAAGGCTTGAAATTATAATACATTAATTAATAAAATTCCTTAAATTCCAGCATTATGGCAGCCGGAACCACACTACAGAAGGCCATCGATTTGGTGACCAAGGCCACCGAGGAGGATCGCAACAAGAACTATGCAGAGGCATTGCGTCTTTACGAACACGGCGTGGAGTACTTCCTGCACACCATCAAATGTAAGTAATCTTGGAGGCACTTCCATCCTTCAGAGACTTTAATTATCCTCCCAACTACGCAGATGAAGCGCAGGGCGAGAAGGCCAAGGAATCGATCCGGGCCAAGTGCCTGCAGTATCTGGACAGGGCCGAGAAGCTTAAGGAGTACCTGAAGAAGGGCAAAAAGAAACCGATCAAGGAGGGAGGGGAGTCCAGCTCCAAGGAGGACAAGGACAAGAAGAGCGACAGCGACGATGAGGACGGCGATGATCCAGAGAAGAAGAAACTGCAGAGCAAGCTGGAGGACGCCATTGTGATTGAGAAGCCAAAGGTGCAATGGTCCGATGTCGCCGGCTTGGATGCTGCCAAAGAGGCACTGAAGGAGGCTGTCATCCTGCCCATCAAATTCCCGCAGCTCTTCACCGGCAAGCGTATACCGTGGAAGGGCATCCTGCTGTTCGGACCGCCCGGTACCGGTAAATCCTATCTGGCCAAGGCCGTCGCCACAGAGGCCAATCGGTCCACATTCTTCTCGGTGTCCAGCTCCGATCTGATGTCCAAATGGCTGGGCGAGTCCGAGAAGCTGGTCAAGAATCTCTTCGAGCTGGCCCGACAGCACAAGCCCTCGATCATCTTCATTGACGAGATCGATTCGATGTGCTCGGCCCGTTCGGACAACGAGAATGACAGTGTGCGTCGCATCAAGACCGAGTTTCTGGTACAGATGCAGGGCGTGGGCAATGATACGGACGGCATTCTGGTCCTGGGCGCCACCAATATCCCGTGGGTTCTCGACTCGGCCATCAGACGTCGCTTTGAGAAACGTATCTACATTCCGCTACCGGAGCCGCATGCCCGCCTTGTCATGTTCAAGATACACTTGGGCAACACCACGCACGTACTCACCGAGCAGGATCTCAAGGAATTGGCCGGCAAGACCGAAGGGTAATTGGTTCACTCTTAAGATGGTTTATCTCTATGGAAGCTAAATGGTTGTCCTTATTTTATAGTTACTCCGGCGCTGATATATCGATTGTGGTACGCGATGCCTTGATGGAACCAGTACGAAAAGTCCAAACGGCCACGCATTTCAAACGGGTCACCGGACCCAGTCCAACGAATAAGGATGAGATTGTCAATGATCTGCTGGTGCCCTGCTCGCCCGGCGACGAGGGTGCCGTCGAGATGAACTGGATGGATGTGCCCAGTGATAAACTCTTTGAACCGCCTGTAACCATGGTAGGATATTTATGGGAGTTTCTTTTCCCAAAACGAACAGTCTCTAAAGCTTATTTCTTTTTCTATAGCGCGACATGCTGAAGTCCTTGTCGCGTACGAAACCCACTGTGAACGAGGATGATCTTAAGAAGCTGCGCAAATTCACAGAGGACTTTGGCCAAGAGGGCTAGATGCCAGATCCACGCCAGAAACCGCCCTTCAGCACCACCAGCTAATTCAAATTGTTGCCTATTACATAAATTCAAACACGTTTTTACCTTCTGGCTCTCCTTAAACTCAGTTTTTTTTTTATTTTACTTTATATATATATATGTATACATGCAAAATATGGTTAAAAAAAAAGAAAAAGAAGAGAAACCAATGTAATTCTGGATGGAGAGTATTAGAGGATGAGGAGGAGGAGGGATTGTTGTAATCACAAAGTCTATGTATTTTTGTACTCTAATTGTTAAGCTGTAGAACCCGAAACCGAAACCTATACCGATACCGATACTGAAACCGATATGCAATATGTGTCTGCGCTTGCGCAAAGTCTTGCCACAGATAGATCAGATCAGGAGGAGGAGGAGGAGGAGGCGGTGTGGAGTGCGAGTGCGAGTAGCAGTTGGAAGGAGTTAAGCTAAACCAAGTCAGGCCAACCAAAACCTATTTAAAAATTGTAACGTACGAGTAATAAAATTCAGATTGTATACACATAGAATGCCAATTGCGAGTGAATCGACTTGGGGAATACCCTCGCCGCTACTAACTGACCCCATTTGATGGTGGGGTATCGTCCAGAAAGAGAACGAATTACAGACACAGAGCCAGACAGAGATGGAGAGTAAAAAGAATGTGCCACTTTTGCCGTATGCCCTACATGCTGGATATGTCTATGGCCGATAAGATCTTTCCACCGACTGGGGGCCCGAAATTAACGGACATGCTACGTGCTGTGTGGGCGGAAATGTACAGTGGGCCTTGCGCTGATTTTTTTGGATATAATTATTTATAGATTATACTTTTTTTATTCTTCATAAAAATTAGTTTTATTTTAATTAGGGTTGTCACAAAAATTAATAAATAAATGCCTAATGATTGCATACATATGTAAAAAAAATATTATTTGAAAGCCCTTTTTTATTGGAGACGCCGGGAATTGAACCCGGGACCTCTCACATGCGAAGCGAGCGCTCTGCCTCTGAGCTACGTCCCCTTGAAAGAACCCCAAATGTTTCTAAAATATAAGTAAACTTAAATGTTTAAAATTAAACAGATTAATTAAATATATATTTTTTTTTAATTTTTAAAATAATATCTAAATACTATCTTGATGAAAACATTCCACTGTGCATGGCGATTTAAGATCGGTGGAGTCTTCGGCTTGGAGCTCGGCTCTGGCTTCGGCTGCTCCGGTGGGGGTTGGGCTCAGAGCCCGGCTGGAAAGCATGCTTTATGCTTTTCAGTTGAGCTCCAGCCGCAACGGCTTCAGGTTCGATATCCGGTCATCGGTCCGCGCTGTTCTATTTAATATCTACCGCTCTTTGGCGGTCGGACATTCGCAGTTCCGTTACGTGAGTGCAGCGTATCTCTGCCGTCTGCATTGCACAAATAAAAATAAGAAACAAAATCCAAAAGATACAAAGATACATTTCTCGGTTTGCTTTTGCCTTTTGGCTTTGCGCAACCTTTCGCAGCGGCAAGCGTGAAAAGTGAGATACAAGATACAAAAAAATAAATATTTAATACAAAAAAAAGTGCGTATTTGTTGTGATTTGTTTTTTTTTTCTTGTTTTGTTATCATTTTTTTTTCAATGTGCATTTTAAGGGCTTGGCCTGGTCTTTGTTTTTATATTTTAGGAAAATAAAAACCTAGTTTTAATATTTATGTATATTTTAAAAAACTTTATAGTTTCTTTAGTTTCTTCTTGAATATCAAAACTTTTAAGAAAAATGTTTAATATGCTAGTTTCAAGTTTTTATTTTAATTTATAATTTTTTCTTAGAGTTCCTAGTGTTTCTTTCAAAGGATATCTTACATAAAAGCGTAGTATCCTTTATTTTTTTTTAGTAAAACATCATTGAACTGGTCATAAAAAATATATTTAAATTTTTTTCCTGTGAATTTGTTGTTGTTGTTTTTGTTGTTGGGGCTCTGGTGAAGCGCAACTTTCACGCGCTTCAAGTGAAACCGTGAGCCGGGTCCGAAATAAGCGAAATGAAGAAGAAGCTGCCCCAGACGCCGCACAGCAGCCACAAAAAAAAATACATATATACATAAAATATATATATATATATATTAAACTATTGTATATATATTTTTTATGTTTTGTTTTGGCTACTGTTATTTTTTTCTGTATTTTGTTTTATGTGTCAGTCGCGTAGTTTTGCGAAACTATTTCAAAAATGCATATTTCTTGCGGCTCAAATGTGTCCAAGTGACTTGAATTATGTGCATTAATTTATGTGCATTTCGCTGGCAATTACAGAAGTAGTTAATCATTACATTTTTTTTTTTTTTTGCTGCACTTTATACATATATGTACAACATATAGTATGTATTATGCACACCTTTCGATTAAACTTGTTCGCAGAGCCATCGACACCTGAAAAACTAAAAAATCATGCTGACATTGACACGAATTGTCGTCGCCAGCAGCAAACAGCAACAGCAACAGCAAAAAAAAAAAAACAAGCAACTCACCAACAAACAAAACAAAAAGCCAAATCATACAGTTTAAAGTTGAAACCCAACAACACACTTCACAATTAAAGTGCATAAAATTCCAACCAATGTCAAAAAGACGCCAACACAATGAAATATTTGAATTAGTAGCTCTTCAAGATTTCTCTATTTTCTGAGAGGGTTTTGTTTTTTTGTCAAGTGCATAAAATTTATTGATATGTTATTTAAATTTTCAATTTAATAGTAAATATATATCGGAGCTAGAGCGACTTGCATCTTGTAGATAAACAAAACTACAAGTCATTTGATTGTTGCCTTGGCTGATGCAGGCTTGAGCCACCTGTCGGGGCTGGGGAACAAGGTCGTTTACCACCACGCCATATTATACCATATTATCAAATGCAAATGGGCATTATGTCTGCTAAATGCTGGAAAATTTCCTCAAATTATTAACCAGCAATTTGTTTGATCGCTCTTCGACCATAATGAGCATTTTTAAATTCGTTTACCCTTGTGATTTTTTAGTTTTTTTCAAGTTTACATCATATTTAAAAAAAAGCTTAATAATAGTACATGTAATTACCAGAGAAAAAGAGTCCATAAAACGAGTTCAAGCTAATTAAATTTCTTTTTGTTCTTGTGGCCTCTAATTAAAAGAGAAGAGATTATTTTTAATCGGTTCTTTTAATAGCGGCCTCTGCAATGGAAAGCCATAATGACAGAGTTCTAGAATCTAGATCCTAGACATTATGATTTTCTTAATATTTTTATGGTATTAGTTGTATAATTTTTTTTATTTCAAGACCATGAGTTACAAGACTACTATTTACAAAGAACTACTATTTTGTTTTTATTGTCATCTGGTTAGTGTCATTGGGTAACTGGGCCAGAAGGTTTCATAAGCCAAGAAATGATAGAGCAGTTGCTGATTAGGTCAGCCAGCCGGCTCCAGCCATGAGCTGTGAACCATAACTGGCAACTTGATGCTGTCAGAAAAGCGGGATCTATGGAGCCATATACATATCTATTCCCCTATTCCCCTACCCCGAAACTCCAAAAAAAAACTGTGTCAACTATCTATGTAAAGCCCAACATTGCATGCAATTGCTGCCACATTGTTGCACTGTATACCGTTTCCAAACTGATTTATGGCTTATTGTTTTTTTTTTTTTTAGTTTGTGTTCTGCATTGGTAATGAGTTCTTTTTTTTTTACTATATACTTGCCACTAATTGCCTGTTGCAAGTAAGAAATAGATAGATAACTAAACACAACCGACGAGAGCGGAAATTTTATGCGCTGCTGGTTTTCATGATATTTCTTCGCCTCGAATTGGATCGGCTTCCTCCCTTTTTTTTTTGAACTTTTTTTTAGCAGAGTTGGTCGTAACAAACAGGAAACAACTACAAGCGATGCGAAAATTGGCCAAGGAAATTTTGTAAACATATTTTTTGGGGTTTTTTTTCTCTCTAAAGTTGTACTTTGAAAGACAGCGATTGGACATTTTGTGGCAAGTTCGTTGCCTAAGTCTTTCGTTTTGGCAAGTGACGTTGCGACGAAAATCAAAAGGCAAGTCAGGCTTTTGTGTCGTGAGTTGAGTTTGGAATTAAAATAAAAGGTTTTTGGTTTTAAAATTAAAAATTAAATTTTTATTTTAATATATTTTTAGTTTTTTTTTTTTAATTTTTATTACTAAAGACCATAAAATCCAATAGTTTTGTGAAATCCGACTGTAGGAACCTATAAATCATTTGTAGGATTTCTTCATCACCTGTACGATTTCTTGCCGGAATTCTCCATAGAGACGATGGAGAGTGAAGTGGAGTCCATAGAGTAATAATAATAAAGACTGCCTCTATTGCGCTGAGCTTTGTTTTTATTTCTGTCATGTCGTTGGCTTGACAAATCAATCAAATCGCTTCATGCGAATTTCGATTGCACAAAAAAATGAAAAAATAAAACAACAGCGAAGACAATGCATTGGTATTATACTTGGTTGGGGTCTAAGGGGGATTTGGCAATGTTGAGTGACCATTTCCATTTCCATTGTCCGCCATACGTTTGGCTCACGTCCAGAGAGCCTAATGAGACGAATGAATGGGACAGTTGGACTGACAGACTGGCGGACTGACGGACACGCGGACAGACTGAACGGACAGTTCAGGCAGAAGGTAGAAAATACCTGAGACTTTTGCGGCGATTTTCTTTGGCATGGTTCGGTTTTCTCAATCGATTTGTTGACTTTCCCAGCCAGTTCTCAGATCTTCTCACTTTTTATACACTGTTATTTAAATGGGGGGCCGGTAGAGGCTTAGAAAGGTATTAATAAAGGGGAATCTTAAGGAACCTTTAAAGCTTAATTCGACTCTAGTCCCTTCTTGTTGGGTTTTGTTTTTTATACCCTTGCAGAGGGTATTATAATTTTGTCCAAAAGTGTGCAACGCAGTGAAGGAGACATCTCCGACCCTATAAAGTATATATATTCTTGATCAGGATCACCTCCTGAGTTGATATGAGCATGTCCGTCTGTCCGTCTGTCCGTCTGTCCGTCTGTCTGTTTCTACGCAAACTAGTCTCTCAGTTTTAAAGCTATCGTCTTGAAACTTTGCACACACCCTTCTTTCCTTTGCACGCAGTATATAAGTCGGAACGGCCGGGATCGGCCGACTATATCCTATAGCTGCCATATAACTGATTGATCGGAAATGGTATAACTTTGGTGTTTTTAGAGTTAGAGAGTTCAAATTTGACATGAGAGCTATTTTTGGCAAAATAATACGACATGCCAAATTTCATAAGGATCGGCCGACTATATCCTATAGCTGCCATATAACTCAACGATCGGAAATGACCCAACTTTTGTGTTTTTGAAGATAGAAAGCTGGAATTTAGTACAGACTCTATTTTTGGTTAGTTGATCCAACCTACCAAATTTCATTAGGATCGGCCGACTATATCCTATAGCTGCCATATAACTGAACGATCGGAAATGACCCAACTTTTGTGTTTTTGAAGATAGAAAGCTGGAACTTGGTACAGATTATATTTTGATCCATCCTACCAAATTTCATAAGGATCGGCCAACTATATCCGATGTTTGCGATATATATCCGGTTTTAGCTGCAAGGGTATATAAACTTCGGCTCCGCCCGAAGTTAGCTTTCCTTTCTTGTTTTATTTAAACATTTTTCTATATAGTTTTTCTCACAGTGCTCTGATCAGAGCCACTCGTTCTGTGTAATGAGCTGAATTAGCCGCCAAACGCGAAAATGAGCAGCGAAAAGCGTCAGAGCCGCCAAATTGGGTTAATCTGTTTGAAAGTGGAAGCACTGGCCGGTAGAGCCACCAAAACCAAAACCACCAACCACTTTTAACTTCATCTTTGGCTTCAGAAAGTCTCCCCGAGTCTGCCCCAAGAAGTCTCCCCATTACCTATTGCGTTACTTTCCATTTTGATGCTGACGCCTGTGATGTTTGTCGCTGCTTTCTCAGATATACAATATTTTTTTCTTTTACCTTTGTTTTTCTTCATTTCTTTCTCTTCATTTTACTTCAGTCACCTGTCAAGGTGGCTTCTTCGTTTCTATTCTTTAACGGTACTCGCATTTTAATTTTACTTTTCATCGGATGTTCACACGAAGTGGGGTCGCGAACAAAGGGTCTTGAATCTCGAGATAATGACCGCGGAATTGGATCGCAGTTAATGAAGATGATGATTAGTTTTGACGGAGCAGGTGTGGGGGGGATAGATATTAGATAGATGAGGCTTTTTATTGACAGGTAAAAATTAATTATCAACGGATATTTGCTGAAAAATTAAATGATTTATGAGGAGCTTGTTAGGAGAAGTATTTAAAATGAAAGTACATAAAATATAAGCTAGAGAGACTTTTTAGACTTTATACTAACATATACTTGATGTTTTGGGGATAAAAAAAGGATGCCAGAGACTTTTATCCTTAACAAATCAAAAAAAATAGAAGATATAGTCGTCTGATAATAGTTCAAACTTTGATATCTTGTATGAAACTAAGGATCTTCTTTTGATAGTTTGAACCTAAATATAAGTTTAAAGCAGCAGAGTTCTTTAAGTGTTAGTTCCTTTTAAAGTCTAGAAATAATAATACTCTAAATACCCTCTGTTAGGGTATAAAATAAAAACCACAAAATGTATTTTTTATAAAACCAAAATATGTTAATTTTCCATTGATTAATAAAAAGGTTTTTAAAACTCAATCAAGTCGGTTAGTCATAATAGTTTCAAGAAAAGTCTTCAATAAAAAAGTTTAATTTATGAAAGGAAGCTAAAGGAATGCAAAACTTTGTATTTTAAATAAAATTCATTAGTTTCTCAGAAGTCTGTTTTATGTGGTTTTATTTTAATCAATTACCTTTACCATTTTCTATCTAAACCCAAGCCAGAATCTCAAAACATTAATTAATTAATTGGCTTTAAGTTATTGGCCAACTTTTATAGTTGTTTTTAAGCAACTACACTGCAATTGCAATGTGTTAATTATAATTAACAAAAACAAAAAAAAAACGATGACAAAACACTTTCGTGGACAAATAGATACAAATGTATCTGGGCATCTCTTGCACAATCTTGGATGCTAATTGATAGATCACGAAAACTGAAAACCAACGAAAGTGAAATGATGTTACTTGTGGTTTTATGCTTTGACTTTTGTGAATCGATCGGGAAGACTGTTTAGGTTTTTGGTTATGGTTACGGTTATAGGTTTACTCAGGTTTCGGTGTCAGTTTTTTATTTTTGTGGTTTTTTCGTTCAAAGGTTTTCACTTTCGTTTGTCACATCGCCTCCACTGAGTCACGCCCATTTCACACTATATTGGCTTTTTTGTTGACTGGTTGTTTGGTCTTTTTTTTTTTTAGTTTTTTGTCTCATACTATTTAGCTGCTGATTTTGAGTAAATTAGCCAAAAGTCAACAAACGGCAATATGTCCGTTTGGTCGGCGTGTTTGTTTATTCAGCTATTGTTTGGTTTTTTTTTTTTTTTTACTCACCGCCTATTGACCCAAATGTGCGGCGGCCAAAAGTGGTCGAGCTGGATTCGGATTTTTTTTTGCTACGCCAGAATGCTCCAAGTCCGAGTCCGAGTCGGAGACGGAGTCAAGTGTAAGGTCAATGGCCAGAAACAAACAGACCAAGAGACAATGTTCAAGATGGGAGGAGACAGGCTGCAAGAGACAAGAGACACCAACGGAGACAAGAGACAACGGCCAGACGCACATGCGCAACATCCTGTTCGGGCGGCACTGCAACCGGCCTATTATACAACGGCACTGGTAGTAGCTCTGCACTGAAAGAAAAATATTTAACAAATTTAAGGGGCTTTTAAAATAGTAATATGATTTTAAATAAACTTTGTATACCATTTTTAGAGAGAAATCTTTAGGGAATGATGACTTTTTAAGGCTTTTTACTAGACTATATGATACACGGTATTTATTATAGTTAAAATATATATTCTTATTAGTATGTATGTCTATATGGTATATGTTATATACATTTCAGTTCTCTCTTCTTACTTTTGATCTCTTGAATGCATTTATTTCTTAACGAGTACCGGGTATTAATATTCACAAAATCGAAGCACCATCGAATGGAATACCTTCTCATTTAATGAATACTATTTATTATATTTATGTTTCTTAAGGAAACTCTGTTATTAAATATGTAGGTCTTAACATTATTATAAACTAAATATTTGAAATACCTTTATTAAGTACTTTTTTATTTAAATATTCAACACTAAGAACTACATATCACCCTAAAAAAAGAAAGGCTTTTCCTGTTTACTTTCCCCCCCAGGTCCCAGGTTCGAGCCCTGATTCGGGCAAACCTTTTATTTTATTTATTTTTTTATTATTTAATTACATTTTTATTATTATCTATATTATTTTAAGATTATAAACCATATTTTTTCGGCTCAGTGCCTTCTGTTTAAGCCGTTTAAACTCACCAGAGTGTTTTTGATTTTCTGTTTTGTTTGTGATTGCAGACGACTGATCGCCAGCCATCAATCAGGCCATCAATCAGTCAATGCCGCTTGTCGCAAATTGGAGCTGAAGTCGGAGTCTGGGCGTATGTGGCTCTGGAGGTTGAGTTTCACCCTTCTCGGAGAAAGCCATATGTATATAAACCGATATAAATGCCTTACCTGATGCTCTGCCTTGCACATAATTCAATCAAGTAGTAATCAGCAATCGAGGATCGAAGCTTTGGAGATTCCACCGAGGCATTTTTTTTGTTTTTGTTGTTTTGGAGACAGTTTTGGAGTGTCTGCCACTATTTTTACAATTTTTGTTTTTTTTTTTTTGTAACTTTAAAAGTCAGTCAGTGAGTCAGTCATAGTTATAGTCACGATTCCGTAGCCGAAGCCACCATCTCGTCTTGGTTTTGGTTTTGGTTTTGGCTCGGCTGGCTTTTGGCTTTAACTTGTCGCCCGGCAGGTTCACAAATAAGTGAAAGTGAATTTGTTTATTGTGTATATTTTGCTATTACCAAAGCAAAAAAAAACAATAACAACAATAATAAAAAAAAAAGACACACATAACACTGACTACCATCGAGCAATGTTCACTGGATCTTCAACAAAAAAACTAAAAGGAGAAATATAATAGAAAGATCTCGGCAATTTAATCAATGAAGATCGTTGTAGAACAGCGGAAACATGTCGACTGCCAGCCAAGTGATTTATCTTCTCTTTCTTCTGATATTCCACACGGCCTCTGGAAATGGAAATGAGAAAAGTGAGTATACGCCCCGTGGGCTCCATTAACTAATTGCCAGACATTAACTAATTTACTTAGCGCTCAACAAAGGAGGGGGTACTACACTACACACACCATACTTGAAAACACTTTCATGTGGGTGGTTATTAGAGGGGGATGGGGGGTGGAGGGGTAGCTGTAGCTGTCTGGCAATTGAGAAGACGATCAGCGAACCACTTCACGGCACAGATTGCACAATGGTCCGGGGCCTTTGTGGGGCTTTCACGGGTTTATTTTTTGTGATATTTACACATGAAAAAATTAGGTATAATATGGGTCATTTGGTGGATTTTATTGGGCTTAATATTATATTATTTATTAGGGTTTTTATTAACAAAAAATAAAGGTTATCTAGCTGGGAAGCTGTAGGAACTGCAAAGGATCTATGTGTCTTTTAAGCTGCATATTTCTTCGAGTGTCTTTTTGACCCTCCTCCAGACTACACTCACAATTGAGATTAATTCATCCTTGAGGCCATTCCAAGTGATACTATATACCCTTTGATTTAATTTAAAATTTTAAAATAAAATATATGTATATCCGTTTCCTTGACAACCTTTAGACTTTTAAGAGCTATCCTAGTAGGCCTTGGGTTTACGGTTTTTGAAGCATTGGAGTTTATATTTCAGAGTTTAGACACTCCCTTCGGTGTAGCCGGAATGGCCTTAGGTGTAAAAGCCCTAGGCTCCGAACCCGGGGTCGTGTGCCTCCTGTCTGTGGGGGGGATCGAGTCCGGGTCCGATGGTCTATAGTGATGTGATGTAAATATGTCATTATCGTGAGTGTGTGTCTGTCAAATGTTGTGATTTGTCTCTCTGGGTCTATCCTCCTCGTCTATAGTTACTGTCCATGTCCTCGTCCATAAGCGGATCCGTGTATACCGGGTTCTGGGTATCTGGGGCTTTCAAGGCGCATTTCGGTATTTTGAATCATCTAACAATTTTTTTCCCCTTTTTTTTTCGAAATATATTTATTAAAATATATTAAAAATTCTTAGGGTTACTATTTCCTCCATTACCAAACTGGGCGGCGTGTGCGTAAAGATATTTTAGTTATTTTAAAAACGCAATCACGCTCCAACGATTTATTATAAAAAAAAAAAAATACAAAAAACACTCCTATGTGGTTATGTCATCCGCATGGCGTGCATTTTGAATGGTTTGGAGGAAAACGTAAGACGGAAAATTAAATTTAAAATAATTCACGCGTTGTCATTAAAGAAATTACAAACAGTTGGCGGTTTGTCACTAAATCAGTAGAGGGTAGAGGGTTTTTTTTTAAATATTTTTTTTATGGTCCATAAGAAAGGCTTTAAAAAGGCCCTCAACTTCTCTTTAGATTCTATAGCTCATATATTTTTTAAGCTTTTTTTTTCTGCCTTTTTATTTTGAATAATTATAGAACCACAAAACCCACCGAATACCCATCCATATCAGTATCAGTAATGTCTAATGTGTCAGTCGGAATAAGAACGTGATTTTCATTCAAATTGTTGAATTTCTTTCTTAATTTCTTTTTTTAACGACTCGGGAATCTCTTAAAAAATAATTGTGTGTTTTTTTTTTTAATTTATTTATAGCTCATGCCTCCCAGGAAGTCTCTACTGTGACCTCATCTCCACCTTCCTATGCCAATTTCACGGAATTATCAAAGGCAGTGGAGGATTCCATCAAAGAGTTCGAGGAGCGGCAAAAGGAACGCCAGCGGCCAGGACACACAAGGACTCGCCGAGCTGTGAAGCGAGTGTGCTATGGCGAACTGGGCTGTTTTGAGGACTCGGGTCCTTTTGCCTACCTGGAGATGCTGCCATCCGCCCCGGAGGAGATCAACACAAAGTTCTACTTCTATTCCACCCGCCAGCGCTCAGATCGTCCTCTGATGGAGTTGTCCTTTCTGAATATGACGAGTGCTTTCCGCGGGAAACGAGACGCGGAAAATAGCACCAGTTCGCCCGAGGGAAGTGGTCGCTCCTCGGGATCTGGTTCGGCATCTGGCTCTGCAGGAAGCCAGAACTTTACCACAGAAAGACCCACTAGCCAGAAGAAACCCTCAACACCGTCGATTGAGGATCTGGAGGGCTTTGACGAGCTCTCTGTTAGGGTCATAGTCCATGGCTTTGGCTCGGCCTGTCCGCATGTCTGGATTTATGAAATGAAAACGGCTCTAATGGCGGTGGTGAGTTGGGAATTTTTAATAATTTTAATGACTTTAAGTAGTTTTAAACTAAATATTAGTACTTATATTATAAAAAGAAGATGCTATTTTAACTGAGAAGTTGGTGTAGGGCTTTAGGCCTTAGATCATCAACCCTTTGGGTAAAAGGTTCGAAACTGCCCTGAGGCCAAGATGAATTTTTATTTTATTTATTTTTTTAATTCCCCCGTTTAATATTTTTTTCCAAATTTCCAGGAGGACTGCATCGTGATCTGTGTGGACTGGGAGAATGGAGCCACCTTTCCCAACTATGTGAGGGCGGCGGCCAATACACGTCTGGTGGGAAAGCAGCTGGCCATGCTCCTGCGGAATCTCCAGCAGCACAAGGGCCTGGATCTGATGAGGACCCACATCATTGGCTTCAGTTTGGGGGCTCATGTGTCGGGATTTGCGGGCGCCGAGTTGCCCGGACTCTCGAGGATTACGGGCCTAGATCCGGCCGGACCCCTGTTCGAGGCCCAACATCCCAAGGTGCGACTGGACAGCAGTGATGCGGAATTCGTGGATGTGATCCACTCGAATGGCGAGAATCTGATACTGGGTGGACTCGGCTCCTGGCAGCCCATGGGCCATGTGGACTACTATCCGAATGGAGGACGTGTCCAGACCGGGTGCTCCAATCTGTTTGTGGGAGCTGTAACAGATTTTATTTGGTGTAAGATGTCCTTAATTAATGAAGTTATTTTTTTTATGAAAAAATATTAACTAATTATTTCGCCACACAGCTGCCCAGGCGGCGGAGGACGAGGAGGGACGATCCTTGTGCAATCATCGACGTGCCTATAAGTTCTTCATCGACTCGGTGGCACCTCGATGCCTGTTTCCGGCCTTTCCCTGCGCCAGTTACGACGACTTCCTCAAGGGCCGCTGCTTTCCCTGCGCCCAGGACGACGAGGATCTGGCCGAGGGTGTGCCTCGCTGCGGCAACATGGGCTACTATGCCGATCGCTCCACCGGTAGGGGTCAACTCTACCTACTGACCCGCGAGGAGGAGCCCTTCTGCGCCCACCAGTTCCAACTGCAGATCTTCAATTCCTTCAACGACCTGCCACTCCGTACCATCGGCCGCCTGGAGGCCATTCTCGAGGGCGATGGTGGTCTCAACGAGACCTTCGAGATATCCGAGTAAGTATTCCTTGTCCAGCATTGTCCTTCGATTTTGAAAAATTTTTTTTTTTCAGGAAAGACGACGCCGAGTTCTTTGCCGGCGACATCGTCTCCAAGATCATCGTCCCCCACCCGGCTCTGGGCTTCCCCACCACCCTCAGCCTGCACTACAAGTCGTACAGCGGGTGGCTGAGCAAGGGACTGCCCCACTGGGACATCGACAAGGTGGTGCTCACGGACAGCTTCGGCCGCAGCCACTCGCTCTGTCGTCCCTCCACCAAGCTGAGCAGCGGCAGTCCGGTGCGATTGCGCCTCCAGGCCGGAAACTGTGAGTTGGACAACCAGGAGGACTACGGAGCCTACACCACACAGCCACCGGGTCAGAATGGCGGAGGAACTGCAAGCGGAGGGGGAGCAGGATCAGGAGGTGCTACTGTCTCCCCCACGGATGTCCCCGATTCCAGTGTCCAGGAGTCGGCGGTGGATGGCGTGGAGACGGTGAAGCAGCGCAAGGACATCTTCAACTTGGGCACCAGCTTCAAGCTGGCCCAGAACCAGACCTATCCCTTGGGCCAGGACGATGAGTTGCCGTGGCAGCCGATCCTCGTCGGCAACTCGCTGGACAATGAAACCGCCGAGGCAGCCGAGTCCAGTCGCAGCTTGTCCGATTCCCCCGGAGAGATCTTTGAGCCCGTCCTCAAGGATCGCCGCTTGGCGGTGAATAAGGGACGGAATCTCCAGGACTATTCGGGAGATGCCAGAGGCACTTCCGGATCTGCTGCCGTTTCCACTCGACCGGAAATCGTGGAGCCCGTCCTGAAGGCCACAACGCCGCGCGTTAAACAGGGCAAGGACTTGGACCTGGGACAGGATCAGCCCGGGCAGGTGACAGCCACACCGCCCAAGATGATGGCCCAAATGGGTACGGGCCGTTCGCCGGATCCGGATGAGCCGCAGACAGTGCAGCTGCTGCCCTTCCGCTTGGGGGAATTACTCCAAAAAGCCGAGCGCTACGCCCGGGAAACCCTATTGCCCTTGATATCCGTCCAGGCTCCCAGATTTTTTGGCTTCAATGTGACACCCCACGACCGGGAGGCAGTGCGTCCGGGTGAGTCCCGCAAGCCCCGGTACATTCCACGCTACGAGGAGTCTGCCTTTCTGAATGCCAGCAGCTCGTCCAGGCGGCGCTCCAAGGCAAAGGCCTCCCGACGATCGTCGGTTGTCCAGCAGCAGAGGAATCTCTTCCGGTTGATGCGGGCCAGGTCCCAGAAGCAGGACCCTGCAGCTCCCATCCCCGACAGAGACAGCGAGGAGAAGACCAAGGAGCCGGAAGGGAAGCAAAATGATTTCAATTATTATACCAATATGCTGCAAACGGAATCCAGGTCGATGCGTCCTGAAAATCCGGAATACAGGCCCGTCTTCATAGATCTTCCCACCTATAGGCCGCCAACTTCCGGTTCGGCGGCTGCTGGTGCTTCCGTCTCCACACCCTTGGCAGCAGCATCCGTTTCCGCCGCGGCTTCCGTTTCGAAGGCCCGAAGACGCGGCAGATCCTCACAACTGATTCCCTGATGTCCAGAACTCCATGAAACTCATAGCTCTCCCGCCAAAGGGGATGAACACTTTGTGATATGCACACCAGATCGTGGCTATGGCCCCCCGAAACATCATCCCATGATGTAATCCATCATTACCTGAAACACACACACACACAACCAATCCAATCCTCACCTGCTTGGAAGAGCACTGTAAATATCCGAAACGAAAACAAAGATATAGAAATGGAATTTCGAAATGCTGGCAACACGCATAGAATATAGTTTTAAGTTTATGTTTATAATGTGAGACAAAATAAAAAATAATTATATTTAATACAGTCGAGGGTCTCGACTTTAAGATACTAGAACTGGAGTGGTGTTTTGTTTTAAAAGTGGGGGAACTATGGGTGTTCCCATGTGCATATCTTTCTTAAAGCTCTGCTCTATATCTGCTCTATAAAAGTGAAATATAAACCAACATTGTGCCGAAGATGTTTAAGTTTTTATTTCAAAAATAAATGAAATAAAAAAAAATGAATTAATTAAATAAATAACGCCCTCCTCCTCGATTCTCAAAGGTCGCACTTAAGCTAGCCTGAAAATTTCAACCCACCATATATATTTGGAAAATTATTGTTTATTTTGATTATTGTTTGTTGCTCCTTTCATTGCATAACATTAACATTTCTTAAATATAATTTTAAATTTTTCGAATTTTTCCTAGAGGTACCCCTACAAAATTGAGGGTTTTCGCAGTTTCCCCACTTTTGCTCCTTCCGATGGCCATAGCTCTTCCAATTTGTATCCGATCAGGAAACAAAGTACCATTTAGTAATCAGGGAACTCAAAAGCTACTTTCCTCATTCAAAACTTTGCCCTAATATCGTTTTGAAATTTTTCGAATTTTTTCCTAGGGGTACCCCTACAAAATTGAGGGTTTTCCAAGTCTCCCCACTTTTGCTCAGTCCGATGGCCATAGCTCTGCCAATTTGTATCCGATCAGGAAACAAAGTACCATTTAGTAATCAGGGAACTCAAAAGCTACTTTCCTCATTCAAAACTTTGCCCTAATATCATTTTGAAATTTTTCGAATTTTTTCCTAGGGGTACCCCTACAAAATTGAGGGTTTTCCAAGTCTCCCCACTTTTGCTCAGTCCGATGGCCATAGCTCTGCCAATTTGTATCCGATCAGAAAACAAAGTACCATTTAGTAATCAGGGAACTCAAAAGCTACTTTCCTCATTCAAAACATTGCCCTAGCATCGTTTTGAAATTTTTCGAATTTTTTCCTAGGGGTACCCCTACAAAATTGAGGGTTTTCCAAGTCTCCCCACTTTTGCTCCTTCCGATGGCCATAGCTCTTCCAATTTGTATCCGATCAGGAAACAAAGTACCATTTAGTAATCAGGGAACTCAAAAGCTACTTTCCTCATTCAAAACATTGCCCCAATATCGTTTTTAAATTTTTCGAATTTTTTCCTAGGAGTACCCCTACAAAATTGAGGGTTTTCCAAGTCTCCCCACTTTTGCTCAGTCCGATGGCCATAGCTCTGCCAATTTGTATCCGATCAGGAAACAAAGTACCATTTAGTAATCAGGGAACTCAAAAGCTACTTTCCTCATTCAAAACATTGCCCTAATATCGTTTTTAAATTTTTCGAATTTTTCCTAGGGGTACCCCTACAAAATTGAGGGTTTTCGCAGTTTCCCCACTTTTGCTCCTTCCGATGGCCATAGCTCTTCCAATTTGTATCCGATCAGGAAACAAAGTACCATTTAGTAATCAGGGAACTCAAAAGCTACTTTCCTCATTCAAAACTTTGCCCTAATATCATTTTGAAATTTTTCGAATTTTTTCCTAGGGGTACCCCTACAAAATTGAGGGTTTTCCAAGTCTCCCCACTTTTGCTCCTTCCGATGGCCATAGCTCTTCCAATTTGTATCCGATCAGGAAACAAAGTACCATTTAGTAATCAGGGAACTCAAAAGCTACTTTCCTCATTCAAAACATTGCCCCAATATCGTTTTTAAATTTTTCGAATTTTTTCCTAGGAGTACCCCTACAAAATTGAGGGTTTTCCAAGTCTCCCCACTTTTGCTCAGTCCGATGGCCATAGCTCTGCCAATTTGTATCCGATCAGGAAACAAAGTACCATTTAGTAATCAGGGAACTCAAAAGCTACTTTCCTCATTCAAAACATTGCCCTAATATCGTTTTTAAATTTTTCGAATTTTTTCCTAGGGGTACCCCTACAAAATTGAGGGTTTTCGCAGTTTCCCCACTTTTGCTCCTTCCGATGGCCATAGCTCTTCCAATTTGTATCCGATCAGGAAACAAAGTACCATTTAGTAATCAGGGAACTCAAAAGCTACTTTCCTCATTCAAAACTTTGCCCTAATATCATTTTGAAATTTTTCGAATTTTTTCCTAGGGGTACCCCTACAAAATTGAGGGTTTTCCAAGTCTCCCCACTTTTGCTCCTTCCGATGGCCATAGCTCTTCCAATTTGTATCCGATCAGGAAACAAAGTACCATTTAGTAATCAGGGAACTCAAAAGCTACTTTCCTCATTCAAAACATTGCCCTAATATCGTTTTTAAATTTTTCGAATTTTTTCCTAGGGGTACCCCTACAAAATTGAGGGTTTTCGCAGTTTCCCCACTTTTGCTCCTTCCGATGGCCATAGCTCTTCCAATTTGTATCCGATCAGGAAACAAAGTACCATTTAGTAATCAGGGAACTCAAAAGCTACTTTCCTCATTCAAAACTTTGCCCTAATATCATTTTGAAATTTTTCGAATTTTTTCCTAGGGGTACCCCTACAAAATTGAGGGTTTTCCAAGTCTCCCCACTTTTGCTCAGTCCGATGGCCATAGCTCTTCCAATATGTATCCGATCAGGAAACAAAGTACCATTTAGTAATCAGGGAACTCAAAAGCACCTTTCCTCATTCAAAACATTGCCCTAATCTGGTTTTGAAATTTTTCGAATTTTTTCCTAGGAGTACCCCTACAAAATTGAGGGTTTTCGCAGTCTCCCCACTTTTGCTCAGTCCGATGGCCATAGCTCTTCCAATATGTATCCGATCAGGAAACAAAGTACCATTTAGTAATCAGGGAACTCAAAAGCACCTTTCCTCATTTAAAACATTGCCCTAATATCATTTTTAAATTTTTCGAATTTTTTCCTAGGAGTACCCCTACAAAATTGAGGGTTTTCCAAGTCTCCCCACTTTTGCTCCTTCCGATGGCCATAGCTCTTCCAATTTGTATCCGATCAGGAAACAAAGTACCATTTAGTAATCAGGGAACTCAAAAGCTACTTTCCTCATTCAAAACTTTGCCCTAATATCGTTTTGAAATTTTTCGAATTTTTTCCTAGGGGTACCCCTACAAAATTGAGGGTTTTCCAAGTCTCCCCACTTTTGCTCAGTCCGATGGCCATAGCTCTTCCAATATGTATCCGATCAGGAAACAAAGTACCATTTAGTAATCAGGGAACTCAAAAGCTACTTTCCTCATTCAAAACATTGCCCTAACATCGTTTTGAAATTTTGCAAATTTTTTCCTAGGGGTACCCCTACAAAATTGAGGGTTTTCGCAGTTTTCCCACTTTTGCTCAGTCCGATGGCCATAGCTCTTCCAATTTGTATCCGATCAGGAACAAAGTACCATCTATTAATCATCTCTACAAGAATATCCATTTTTTATTTAAAACAGCTTATATAACATTTTCGGAATATTTCCTATGGGTACAAGCTACAAGAACCTCCAATTCTTAAAAATCGTTCCTTAATTTTTCATTTGTTCCATTTCTAAAATTTTCCTGTTTATTTTTAAGTATATTTGTAACACTTTTATTTGAAACACTGAACTAAACTCAAAAGCCGAAAAATATATGTGTTTTAGGAAAACAAAAATACAGAATGGCAATTTACAGCAACGTTGGGATTCGATCTGGCGTCTCATCCGAATCTCACTTCTTGGAGCGCCCTCGCTTCTTGGGCGGCACATTGGCTTCGTTCGAACCTGGAAGTGGGGACAGTGTTAGAGGGTCAAGTTTGAAGGATGGAGTACACGATTCCTTACCTTCGGAGATGGGGGGCGTGCGCAATGATCTCTGGGACGGAGCCGATGACTCGGCAGCTTCCGCCTCGCTCTTCTTCACGCGCTGGATTCGGAGACGCAGTTGCCGGGGTGCGGAGGTGCCAGGAGATGGTGGATCTGTTTTGTCGGTCTTATCGCTCTTGTCACTTAGCTCGGAGGCCCGTCGCCTGGTTGTGCGTCGCAGCCGGGGCTTCTCCTCCTCCTCCGGCTCTGGCTCCGGCGGTTCTTCTTCCTCCACCTTGCTGTTCTTCCGGGATCGGACGGCACGGCGAGTACCCCGGACTGGGGTTGTTGTGATCGCCGGGCTGGGCGGCTCACTGATGCCGCGACGCAGGCGCGGTGCCGGATTCTGGACATCGGAGAGCAGCGAGGTGGCCCGCTTGGAACGCGCCATCACGCCGGATCCGGGGGCAGGGGCATCCGAGTCGATGCTGAGTCGCGTGCGCGATCTGGTGCGCGGCAGGGAGGGCGTGTCCGGCGAGCCCTCATCGATGACCTCCAGGAGATGCTTGTGTTGGACGGGGCGACGCCTGGGCGTCGACACGGCGTCAGAGCTGCGCAGACGCAGCTTTCGGGCGGACACCGGGGGCGTCTGCACGGCGGGACTCTCCGTGGGAATGGAAGTGCTGCGTCGGGCACGCAGAGTCCGCGTCGAAGTCGGGATGGCTGGTGTGCGGTCGTCATCCTCGGACATAAAGCTCTGCTTGGAGTCCTCTTCCTGAGCGGGACGGGGATCTGGAGTTGCTCTATCTTTGGCCTTTTGCTTGGATGTGTCCTTGGAGGACTTTTTCTTGGTCTTCTGCTCTGCTTTGATGGGCTCTACAGGAACTACCAGCACGCAGTCGTCTTCTGAGTCCTCTTCTTCTTGGATCACTTCCAGTGTCATATCGTGCTTGTTCCCATGAGAGTCCTCGATTTCCATCTTCTCCTCATCTGTAAGCACCAGGACAAGCTCTTGCTCCTCGTCATCCTCCTCATTATCGACCACCATCTCATCCTCTTTTTCTTCCTCCTGAACTTTCTCCTCCTCCTCTTGTTGAATCACCGTCTGGACTTCTAGATTCTCTATAGCCGGTTGTTCTTCCTCATCTTCGACTATAATCTCATTCTCATAATGGACCTCTGGTTCGGTCTCCACTACTGGCTGCACCTTCTCCAGGACTACCTTTTCCTCCTCATCCAAGACCACCATCTCCTCCTCGATCTGTGCCGGCGCCTGTTTGGTTTCAGTGAAGGACACTGTGGCCACGGAATCGTTGCTGGATGCCGGCTCCTCTGCTACTGTCACTGGCACCGTCACCACCTCTCCCACATCCACATTCACGGACGAGGACTTCACCTTGTCTGGTTCCCTGTCCTTGCGAGACTCACTGTCGCTGTCCAGCACTATGGTGTCCGCCACCACAGAATCACTGTTGGCAGTGGCGCCCAGCGAGAGCGAGGGACACGATCCGGCCACCGCCTCCTCCTGACACTCATCCTTGAAGGCGAAGAGCTCGGCGCTGCTGCAGGCCGCCGGCTGCTCCGGACGTGCTACGTATCCGCGCACTTCCGTACCATCCAGCGCGATCACGCAGTCGTCCTCGTAGTCCTCCTCGGCCTCCTCTACGGAACCCTTGGTGGTGTCCAGATCGTCGACCGTTTCCAGGCTGTTGGCCCGATACAGCGACCCATCCTCGCCAGCACCGATCGGCACCGAGACGTTGGAGGCGCTGGAATGGTACGAAACGATGGAGCCCGTCTCCGTGGTGAACAGCGGATTGTCGATGTCCTCCTGGGTGGGGCGCATAGGATCGACATAGGTGGACCGATGATGGTCATAGGATGAGAGCTCGGATGACTCTTCGCTGCTCAAACTGTAGGTTGGCGAGTAGAGTGGCTCCTGGACGGGCGCCTCGGAGCTAGCCATGAATGGTATCTGGTAATTGGCCTCGGTGGTGCTTGCCCTCTCCTGATCCTGTTCCGCTGTCTGCTCCTCTTGCTGCATCTCGGCTGCTATTGACTCCTCCAGCTCCAGCACCTCCTCCTCCAGCTCTTCACGCGGTTCCTCCGCCTGCTCACGCTCCTGTTCACGAGGCTCCAAAGAAGTCACATCGTAGGTGGACATGCCAAGGGTCGTGTCCATCATTTGGAGCGGCTGGCCCTGTGCACGCGACTGCGGCATAGACCATTCGGAGCTTGCCGCCGTCAACGCGGCAGTTGTCTCCGGAATCAGATCGGTGGACTCCATGTCGCCGCAGATGGTGGTGCGTTCGGAAATCTTAACGCCACTGCTGGTGGAGGCGAGTCCGCCGGAAAACAGATGCATCTGCGAGTGGGTCTCGTACATCTTGGAGGAGCAAATGGTTGGCACGAACTGCGATTGCGACGACGTCTGAGAGGCCTGGACTGTGGCGAAGCTGCCGAAACCGCTGCTCTCACTGCCGTTCCCGTTTCCGTTCCCATTCCGGCCCTGAAAGAGGGAGGAGCGCGGCTGAGGTCCGCGTGGCGGGCCCATGATCCTGGGCGACGCTTCCGCCACCACTTCCGACTGATTCGCCAGCGAGACATTCGCCGAGGCCATCGGGGACAGGAACTCGTCCTCTGACTCACTGTTTTCGGTGGCCTGCGGGTCGCTTCTGGACTCTATGGCCATGATGATCTCGTCCGTTTCCTCCTCCTCCGTCTCCGGCACCTCTTCCTTCGATTCGGCGTCCTCATCCACCGGCTCCTCGCCATCCACTTCCATGGAGCCATCCAGACGCAGCGGAATCGGCGGCATGAAACGGAATCGCTTCGTTCCCGACAGCTTCGTGGACGTGGCCACGAGCGGAGTGCCGCCCAAGGATTTGATGGCTGGGCGCGGCTTGAGGACTGCCACCGGTGAGCTGCTGCCCTGCCGGTTCGTGGACTGGCGCGACTGCACGAAGGATGGTGGCTGCAGAAGTCGGCTCACCGAGTCCGTTTCGGACTCCGGCTTCTGGGCTGGCGACTTTCCCAGGATTTTGTTGACGTGACCGCGCATATCCTCCACTAGCTGCTCGCCCAGCAGTCGCCGCCGCTTCCTCGGCTGTATGGTGACCTCGTCTCTGCGGTGGCGCTCCTCCCGCTGCAGCTCCTCCTGCTCGCGCTGTCGCTTCTCCGCCACCTGGTGGAGCACTGGCTTTACGACACGACGCCGCCGGGGCTGTTCCGACAGGCCGTATTGTGCGCGCCGCAGGAAGGGGATGTTGCTGTGCCCCTTGTTGGTCGCTACGGACAGCCCAGGAGCGGGCAAACCGGATGCCAACTCGTCGTAGCGCGTGGCCCAGTGGGCGCTGAGGGCCGAGCACTGGAAGATGCCGCCCACCTCGCCGCTGGCGTTCTGCTTGACGAGTTGGCAGCTAAACGGTTCCGGATTGCCCCAGTTTCGGCTGGGCACTTGATTCATTCTGTCCAGCTTGCCGCGAATCTGGAAATAGGTGCCGGCTATGTTCTGTGCCACCGGAGCCATCGTGGAGCGGTACGCCGAGATGATGGTGCTGGAGGAGTCGTCCTCGCGCTGTCGCTCGTCCGCCACCTCGTCCATGAAGGACACTGCCTCAATATACTTGCTCTTCTGCAGCAGCAGGATCAGCTGGACGCACTCCGTCTGCCGCGATCGGCACTTGCGCAGCAGCCGGTAGACAAGTCGCTCCTCCGGCTCGCGCAGGCAGAGCTCGGCCAGCACCTTGAATCGCCGGTTGTCGATGCAGTGCTGGAAGAATCGCTCCAACAGCGGTTGGGTCTCTTCCTCGTCGTAGAGCCGGGCCATGTGGAAGGCCTCGGGGATGCTTTCGTTGGCCAGGAGGATGCGCAGATGCAGCCAGACGTCCACTGGGCCCGGCGGCTGACTCACCACACGCATGGCAGCCTCGGGGGCTCCAGCATCCAGCAGAGTCTCTAGCAGCAGCCTCGACTGCCACTCCTCGTAGCCAGTGATCGGAGTGGCAGCTTCGTACAGCTCCCTAACGCATTCCTGGAAAGATCAAAGAGCCATCAGCCTATGTCCTGGGGTCTAATCTTCCTGAAAAACTCACCTCAAAGTCACCATGATCCAGAAACCAGAAGGAGCGCACCGACAACACCAGATGATCGCTGATCTGGAAGGCACCCTGGAACCGCAACCACAGCTTCGGAGCGGCGAGATCCATCAGAAAGTAGAGGACGAGGGCGTGCTTTCGGTCTGTCTGGGTGTCGGGGTTGAGCATCAAGTAGAGGAGCGACTGTAGCGTCTCCGGCGGATAGGCATTCGACAACCCAGTGCGCTTGCCGAGAGCGTCTATGTAAAGGGTTCGCTTGTTTTTCCGGAGATCAGCATAGGATCGACGCAGGCGGACAAGTACCGACTCCCGCTGGGCATTGTTCTCCATGTGCTGGCCCTCCGGCAGCAGGGCCTGCTCTATGAACCAGTAGAGGACTCGCTGGTACATCAGAACAGTCTGGAGAGCCCGCTTGTTGGTCTCACATTCCATCAGGATGCTGGGTGGCATGCTACGATTGCCCTGCTCCAGGATGTAGGTCTGCAGGCGCAGGAGTTCACGAAGCTGGGACGAGAGGGCCTGGTATTCGCGGCGCTCGCGCTCATCCAGGGAATAGCCACCATAGTCGAAGATGCCCTGGCAGAGCTCCGAGCAGTGGGCCTTAATGAGCCCGGCACGGCGCACAATCCAATTGGTGAGCGTGGAGAGGGAGAGCTGGGTGGAGTCCAGCGTATTGCACAGGAAACTGCCGTCCAGCCAGCTGCGGGCGCAGTCGTTCAGCAAGGCCACGCACTTGTGTTCCAAAGCCACCGACAAGATCTCATCATACATGGCTGCCTTGGACACCGTGGCGTCCGGATGCAGCTCGCTAAACTGTGGCATCAGACGCAGGCGGACAATCTGCTCATGGTAGGGCTGTGGATTCAAAAACAACGTGGCCCTTTCCCAGCGCAGAGCGTTCAGGAATCGATGCTGGACTCCATCCTGGGCATAGTACCGGCAACCAGTAGACGTTAGCAACGAACAATCTGCGAGAGAAAATTATAAAGTGACCCATAAAGCCTCTAGAGCCACCGCCACTTACCGAAAGTTAAAGATTCCGGATAAAAGTGCTCGTCGAAGCGGTGCAAGGAGATGAAGTGCAAGATGGTGTTAGGGCGCAGCTCCAGAGCCAGGCCCTTGGGCAGTCCGCTCAAAATGTAGCCGGCCAGGTAATGTGGAGTCTCGCGATGTCGCACACTGGGCGGCATCTCGTCCTTGTACCACTGGTTGATGTCGAACAGCACCAGTTTGTTGCGCCGCTCGGCGTGCGAGTGCCAGCTTAGAATGGCCAGCAGTGTGCCGTTGTCGCCGGCGAAGCTGAAGGTGGAGGCCGTGGTGCAGCCAATGATGGAGCATTTTCCTTGGTCGAACACTTGCTGGTTGCGCAAGAGGCTCGAATGGAAACCCTGCAAACCAAGAAGTTTTAGTGGGTATTTGAGGAAGAAGACGATATGGGACTTGCCTGGAATCGATAACCTTCACCGTCGCTGGTCATATGGGAGCGTCTGTAGCTCACCGAGTGCAGCTGCAGGCTAAGCCTGTCCGAGCTTAGGTACATAGCGCAGACATAGAAGCATGGCTTCGGGTCGTCGGGCGGCAGAATGCAGCAGATACGTTCAACGGAAACGTCTCTCTCGGGTGGCGCTCGCAGCACGGTGGTGAGATGAAAGTCAACCAGGTCATAGATCAGAATGGTGCCGTCCTCCAGGCCGGCTGCGAAACCGGGGGCAAATCTTATGCTCGCCAAGCAACGGATGCCGATTCGAGCAACTGCATCAGAGAGACAATGAGCTAAGCAAGAAGCCGACATGGGTTACAACTCACCGTCCACCTCAACAGCCAAATGGGCATCTCGGGAGCGGCACTCGTCCAGCAGAGAATCGATACGCATCACAGAACCCACACACGGAAGGCGGAAAACCTCAGCGGATGGATCGGCCTCTGATCCGCGGATGCAGCGATTGCGGGTCTGCAACAGATGTTTGCAGTTAATGTCCAGCAGAAGGACGAGGCCCTCCTCGGAGGCCACGGCCAAGCAGCCATCAAAGCGGGAGAGGTGCGTTCCCTGGCACAGCCGGTCATCGAGGAAGACGAGGGCGCTGCAATAGAAGCTGTCCAGATCGAAGCGGCGCAGTACCTGGTCGAAGGCGACCGAGTATATGATCAGCTGTGTCCTAGCCGCGGAACACTGCTGTGGCCGGCTATTGCCAGCACTCCAAACCTCTAGGCTGATGGCCACCAGACTGGGTACATCCACTTGCCCCGGGAACATCTCTTCCACGGCCTGGATGCTGCAACGCACATCCTCCTGACCGGGCCGGTCCTCGCTCCAAAATGTGTGTCGAGCCACACTCTCGCCAGTGGCGGTGGCGCACACCAACATGGTGGCCTCGTTGGAGTACTTACATGTCACCCATCCCCATTTTCCGCCGCGCAGATAGCCCCCTATGTGTTCAGCTGCTGGGTGGAAAAATATATATTCATGTATGTCTGTCTGTGTATGCACCAAGGAGCTAACATACCCGATTCCTGACCATGGCCAGGAACTGCCCGCTCCGGAAATGCCGTGGTCCGGCTTCCGTCCAACTCCACTTCGTGCCACTGCATGCCTGCCCAAATTATACTAGATCGCGTTCATAGGCAGCGTTATCAAGGAATATTTTTATGAGAATACGATTCTGTTCGGAGCTATATGTCGTGTGACTGCGTAGATGTGTGAGTCGCTTCGTTTTGAAATGTGTTGCCGGTTGTTTTTGTTGTTGCTGAGTTTAGAGTTTTGTCGGTGTTGGGAAGCTTTAAATGAGAAGTCCGCAAATTTCGTGAGCTAGTGTTGCATAACGATGAAGGACGAGTTGTAGAGCTGAGAAAATATCGATACAGTCGATAGTTTTTTTTTCAGCCAATAGATCCGTTATTAAAAGAATTTTTAAATTTTTTTATGGCTGTTTTATGTAATATACAATCAATTTCATTTCTTTATTTTTTTTTTGTGATTTAATTTCAATAAATCTTAAAGAAATAAATAATATTTGGTATAATCGATTGAATTGATGTTTTTTTTTTCTAAAATATCGTAACGAATCAAAGTTCGACAAGTGGCAAGGCGATGGGAAAGCATGAAACAGGCCTGGCATCGCCAAGGCATTGCAAAAATATCGCGCGAATTTCATAAGCCATTTTACCTGTTTGTTAGTTGTCAGTCAATACCGACACATATCCAAATGAGTTTGAACAAACTACACCCCGAATTACTCACTTATAAAATAGTAATAAAATAAATCACAAAATTTGCACATCTCACCGACATCGCGTGCCATCTGGCAACATCCGCGAGGCGGCTGTCAACCCTGCCCGTTTGCGATTTGCTGCACATTGTTCTAACGACCAGCCGGAAAGGAAAGGAAAACCATTTCCGTGGGCCACTTGAATGCGATTCAAATGTGAGACCCTCGACGCCGAATGCTAAGTTCCCTGGCATTGGCGCAACCCAAAGCAATCCACCGGAGACACTAAGAGCCACAACTAGAGCACTCAGCAGACCGCACTCGGCAAACCACACTTCGCACAGCCACACGCACACCCTAACATCCTCACCCTCACCCACATACGGCTGCCCCCCCCCGCCCCACACCCCTAATCGAAAGAAAAACGTTGTCTGGCTGGCTATAGCTAAAACCGCATTGGGCAGCGGCAAGGAAGGGGGCACGGAATCCGAAGATCCGAGGAAGAAGCGACCGGGCAAGCGAGCGGTAAGTGGCTGGAGCACATGCCTGCGCATCCACCCTCTCAGTATACCTATCCCTCGGCAGAGAGCCATCAGCTAGCCATGGCCCAGCACGTAGCCGGCGGAGGAGGAGGAGGCACCGAGGCTCTGGCCGCGGAACTTGCCAAGGCGGTGGACCTCATAATGCACCCACTAACCCAGCAGCAGGCACGTCTGGAGGCCTACATGGCCTGTGAACGTTTCAAAGAGGAGTCGCCGCTTTGCGCTCAGGTGGGCCTCTTCCTGGCCAGCTCGCCCCAGTCCAACCAACAGGTGCGCCATTTCGGGCTGCAGCTAATCGAGTACACAATTAAGTTTCGCTGGAACTGCATTACGCACGAGGAGAAGGTTTATATCAAGGACAACGCCATCAAGATGCTGAACGCGGGCGTAGGCCCAGCGGAGGATCGCACACTCTTGCCGACCAAGGACGCCTTGTCGCGGATTATCGTCGAGATGATCAAGCGCGAGTGGCCGCAACAGTGGTCCGACTTGTTGCCGGAACTGAGCCAGGCCTGTACCAAGGGCGAGGCCCAGACAGAGCTGGTGCTGCTCGTGTTCCTGCGACTGGTGGAGGATGTGGCGCTGCTGCAGACGATCGAGTCGAACCAGCGCCGCAAGGATATGTACCAGGCACTGAACAACAACATGAACGACATCTTTGAGTTTTTTCTGCGGCTCGTGGAGCAGCACGTGACCGCGTTTCGCGAGACGACGCAACTGGGCAACTTTCCTAAGGCGAACGCACACAGCCGTGTTGTCGAAATAGTGCTGCTGACGCTGAGCGGGTTCGTGGAGTGGGTCAGTATCCAGCACATCATGTCGAGCAACGGCAAGCTCATACACTTTTTATGCATTTTGCTAAACGACAAGGCATTCCAGTGCAACGCGGCCGAGTGCCTGGCGCAGATATCGAACCGCAAGGGCCAGGCCAAGGAGCGCAAGCCGCTGATGCAGCTTTTCAACGAGGAGCCGCTCCGCTACATCTACCAGGCCAGCCAGATACTGCCCGATTCGGACTCGGGCCTGTCCATCGAGCAGCATCACAACTTCCTCAAGAAACTGTTGCAGGTGCTCAGCGGCATGGGCCAGCAGCTGGTGGCGCTCTGGGGCAAGGATGACGCCACCCAGCGCCCGGTACACCTGGAGATTCTGCTCGAGTGCCTGCTGGTCCTGGTGCAGCATCCCTCGCTGACCATCGCCCACGGTTCGGCACTGATTTGGCAGCTGCTGCTTAAGCACGAGCCGAGCTCCAAGGACTTTGCCACAATCAACTACATTCCCAAGCTCATCCACACGATTGCGCCGCGGATCGTGAAACTGCCATATCCCCCTGCCACAAGTGCACCTGCTACCATGTGCACGGACGCCTACATCCGGATGGAGTACGACAGCGAGGAGGAGTATGCGCTCCACTTCTTCCGCTATCGCACCGACTTCCTGGAGATCTTTCGCCTGGCCACGTTGGTCCAGCCGCTCGTCACCTATGGATACTGCGAACGCTGGCTACACCAGCGGCTGCGCAACGCCGCCACCGAAGCCCAGGCAGAGGTCAAGACCGGTGTCATATCATGCAGTGTCCTGGATCCCGTCTACCTGGAATGGGATGCTCTGGTCAGTGTTCTGGACGGTGTCCTTAGCCGCATCCTGCTCGTGGCGGAGCGACCGTCGGTGCCGGCGGGTCTGCGCCTGCTGGAAGAGTGCCTTGAGCTGGAGACCACCAATCCGCTCACCTACTCCATTCTACTGTCGTGCATTTCGGCGCTATTCGTCTTCCTCAGCATGTCCTCGTGCCAGATCACGCCCAGCAATTGTGTGGCCATGAGCGGGGTCAGCCTGCTGCCGCGTGTCCTCGACAAGATCTTTCGGGCCCTGGTCATGAAGCCGCCCAACGAGCTGGAGAAGGTGCAGGCCAAGTCGGCCAAGAATCTGCGGCGTCATGCTGCCTCGCTGCTCGTCAAGCTGGCCCACAAGTACCCGCTGCTGCTGCTGCCCGTCTTCGACCAGATTAGCGGGCATGTGGAGCTGCTGCTGAAGGAGCCCGGCCAGCACCAGCTGTGCCGCATGATGCGGACCACGCTGCAGGAGGCGCTCATCCTAATCTCGAACCACTTCTGCGACTTCGAGCGCCAGACCCTGTTCATCGAGCATATCATTCAGGACAAGCGCACCGAGTGGCTGGCCATCGGCGATGTCCTCAAGTCGCCGCTGGACTTTATGCGCTTCGTGGGCCTGGACAAGCCGCCCATCTTCGCGGTGGAGGGCGACATCACCCTGTCGAATCGATCACGGCTACTGGACGCCCTGCACGTCGTCCTCGGCGTGGTGAAGCGCTGCACCTGGCCGGACGACCCGGACCGCGCCCAACGCGGTGGCTTCGTCATCGGCTGCACCGAGCTGGGCAATCCCATCTGCCGCAATCCGGCCACCAAGCACGTGGTACCGCTGCTCTCCCAGGTACTGGGACTGATGCGTATCCTAAACGAGTTGTTCGCCCCGGAGGCACTGGCCGCCCTGTCCGAGGGCTATCGCGGCATCCACGGCATGCTGGAGCACGAGAAGAAGCTGCTGATGGGGATCTGTGCCTTGCCAGCCGATCCACTGGACACCACCATTCGCAGCGAGCCGACTGCCTTCGAGAAGATGCAGACCTTCATGATGATGATCACCGAGGGCTGTTACCACCTGATGGGCTCGGCGGGTCCGTCGCTGGGTCGCGATCTCTACCAGCTGCTGGGCCTGGCGGACGCTCTGGTTACGAACGTCTTCGCCCGCCTGGACGTGGTGCCCGACTACCGGCTGCGCCCCATCATCCGTGTCTTCTTCAAGCCGTTCGTCTACTCCTGCCCGCCCAGCTTCTACGACAGCGTCCTGGTGCCGCTGTTCTCGCACCTGGCTCCGCTCATGTGCGAGCGCCTGTCCCGTCGATGGATCTACATAGCGTCGCTGTACGAGAGCGGCCAGTTGGACGGCGAGGTGAACGACACGCAGGAGGTGCTCGAGGACCAGCTGAACCGCACCCTGACCCGTGAGTACTTGGATGTGCTGAAGATCGCTCTGGTGGGCGGGCAGATCGGAGCGGATCATGTGTCGTCGGGGGCCAATGCGAACGTGAATGCCAACAGCAGTGCCGTGGCGATGGAGAACGAGGAGCATTCGATGGACAGCGCACCCCAGTCCCGGGCCAGCCAGTCGGCCCTGCTCTCGGACATAGTCTCGGATCTGGGCGGCAAGCTGCTCCGCAACGGTCTCATCGGCAACTATGTGCTGATGACGCTGCTGAAGGCCATCGCCTGGAACGACGGGATAACCAGCATGCGGGCGGTGAATATAGCGGCGCCAGTGATGCGATTCCTTGCCGCCGAGAAGCTGATGGACGAGAACAAGGCGGTGACGGCATTTACGGCGGTGCTGCAGGGCATGCAGGTGCATGGGCAGCACGAGGCCAACCAGTCGGGTCTAGTCACGCTGGGTGTGCAGTTCTATGAGCTGTTGCGCCCGCACTTCCCCATCCTCAGCGAGGTCCTGCAGCACATACCGAGCGTGAACGCGGCCGACATCCAGAAGTTCGACGAGAAGATCTCTGTGGCGCCCGTCAAGGGCAACAAGGTGGATCGGGCCAAGAAGGATCTGTTCAAGAAGCTAACCGCCCAGCTGGTGGGGCGCAGTGTTAACCAGCTGTTCCGGCACGAGGTGCAGATCGCCAACCTGCCACCGATGCAGTCGCACAAGTCCAAGTCCGGTTCGGGCGACATCATGGACAGCAATCAGAACGCGAGCCTGACTCGGCTATTTGGTCCGGAGAAGTGACAGGGACTGTTGTCCCAGACACGCTCCACACAAACAGAGACGACGACGACGACGACGACTGCACACAAGGAAACACAAAACACGAAACAGAGAAGAAGGAGGAGGAGGCGGCGTCGCAGCGGAGACGCAGCCATAAGCGGAGTAGCTCGTCCGGTCCTGGTCGTAGAACGGGATCGGATCAACGAGCCGGAGGCCACCTCAGCTGCCAAACTAGCGACGACTGAACTTAAAATAATTGTAAACTAGCCAAGACGATGGAGCATTATGTAGCCTGATGCAGCCTAGCCCAGGATCTAGAACTAGATCTCCGCTGCCGCAGGACCCGAAACCGTAACCGTAACCGAAATCGAAATCGAAACCCGACATCCCAACATCCCATAGTGGAATCAATCCAGTTATCGTTCAGTCTTGAGCAATATTTGATTTATTTATTTATTTTACGAACTAAATTTAATGCCCGCACGTAACATTTAGTTTTTTAAGTCTAATCCCCAATCGGGAGTCTTATCCCAATATCCGCCTCCGCTTCCGCATCCGGTCAATATATTAAGGGGGGGGGCGACCATTGACTTGTTACTACTTTGTTATTTATTATTCGGAATTTTGTTACAATCTTTTAATTGCAAATACTCGAAAATTATGTTTCAATTATATATATGGAGTGTCCTCCTTAAGGACTCGTTGCTCCTCGCCCCAGCCCCTCCAGCCCGCCAGCCACCCAGCCAGCAGCTCTATTTTTTTTCTAGTTAATTAATTAATGAATTGTGTGCTTTCTCCAGTTTTTTGTATAGTTACCTATGCGAGTGCATACTGTAATTTATATATATACATATATATATATATCAATATATATATATATATACATAACATATATCCTTTGAACATTTCTGAAATTACGCTTAGGCTTAGTTGATAGGCATGAAAAGTACGAGTTATTATTATATAATACATCGATCTGTATATGAATACAACCACCCCTCCTTGCAAAATCCACACATACCCCAATTCTCCCTCCCATTTATACCCCCCACATTATCCTTCCCCCCACCCCCCACAAAGAAAAAAAAAAAAAAAAACACACATCGGGATTCTAAGAATTATAGTTGCGTGAGTATGCAATATATACAACTGAAATTATACACACATATTGTATTTATAACTAAATGAAATCGAAGTGGGGGTTTACCCGCAAACACACACACAAAATCGAAATAAGCAAATAAATTTGAAATAAATTTACAAAATCGAAATGAAGATAATGGTTTTATTTTTTAATAATAATGGTATACCTATCCCACCTTTAGACCACTTCCTAAGACTATAATCCTCTTCCGGAAATATAATTACTGGAACATTACAGATATTCCAAAGCAATATCTGATATGGAGTTGGAAATAATAGATTTCTCTTAAAACATATATTTTTATTCTTGTTTTAATTTTAATTTAAAAACTACATATGTCGGCTTCTCATCAAACGCTACGTGATAACGTTAATCGTGGTAGTCCATCGATTAAAGATACCGAACCCATGACTTTTTGTTTAAAAATGGATTTATTTTATCAACTGATGATACATTGGCGAAAAAACCGATACCATAATTATAATACATCTATGCAAGATATACAAACATATAATACAAAAAATATAGCGCAAGAATGGTTAACAGACTTTTTAAAATATAAAACAAAAATTTCAAAAACGGAAAATCCAGAAATTCCAAAATATGGACCTTGTGAAGGCCATATCTCGGCCAATATCTATCGGATCCTCCAGAGGAATACCTCAAACGATTTCTGGATTAATTCTCCTTAATTCTGCATCAAAACCTCAAATTAAAATTTTCGATCAAATTTTTTCAAATTTTTCTGAGGGACCCCCTTTGAAAATGGGGAAAATCCAGAAATTCCAAATATGAACCTTGTGAGGGCCATATCTCGGCCAATATCCATCGGATCCTCAAGAGGAGTACCTCAAACGATTTCTAGATTAATTCTCCATCGATCTGCATTAAAACCTTAAATAAAATTTTCGATCCGATTTTTTCAAATTTTTCTGATGGACCCCCTTCGAAAATGGGGAAAATCCAGAAATTCCAATATATGGACCTTGTGAAGGCCATATCTCGGGCAATATTCATCGGATCCTCAAGAGGAATACCTCAATCGATTTCTGGATTCATTCTCCATCGATCTGCATCAAAACCTCGAAAAAAAATTTTCGATCCGATTTTTCCAAATTTTTCTGATGGAGCCCCTTCGAAAATGGGGAAAATCCAGAAATTCCAAAAAACGGACCTTGTGAAGGCCATATCTCGGGCAATATTCATCGGATCCTCAAGAGGAATACCTCAAACGATTTCTGGATTAATTCTACTTCATTCTGCATCAAAACCTCAAAACAAAATTTTCGATCCGATTTTTTCAAATTTTTCTGATGGAGCCCCTTTGAAAATGGGGAAAATCCAGAAATTCTAAATTATGGACCTTGTGAAGGCCATATCTCGGCCAAAATCCAACCGATCCTTGAGTTCATAGATTTTGTTAAGCTTAATTTTATTAAATTTGTTTGTTTTATAAAATTGTATTTTCTATAATTTACACATGCAGGGGAAGGGTAAGGAGAAGGATACTTTAGGCTTATATAATACAATTTCAATCAATTTCAATAAATAACTGTCGGTAGTGCGTGCTTGAATAGATCTAAAGCGTGTATCGTGTGTGGTTTTCGGCTTTAAGACCCTGTTGGCCGATTATCGCAGAGATTACTCCAGTCGGGAACGTGCTCGTTCTTCAGATAGGTGTCCTTGGCCAAGGAACGGGTTTGAACGTGGTCTGTGGCGCCGCACAATGCTCCACCCAGCCAGGCCGTGAAGTTCTGATGCCCGACGGCGGGGAAAAACTTGAACTGCAAGTCACCATGGAAGCGTGTCTTGTAAAAGGAATCGTGGACGAGCAAGTGCTGCAGTTCGTGCTTCAGGCGAGCCAAGAGCCCAGCATGCATTGAGCCACCACCGATGAGGAAAACACTTTCGATCAGCGACTTCCTCACGTCCACGGTGCAGTCGAGAATGGAGCGTAGAATGAGATGGGGCAAGCTATCCCTCTCATTGCTGGCCTCAAACATCACCTCGAAGGCGGTCTCTCTCAGCCGGCCGGGCACCTGGATCATCTCTTCATCATCGGGATCATCGTTTCTGACAATGAATTCCACGGCTGGCGGAGGCTTGGGCAGATCTTCACCACCCTTGGCGTATCCCTGCGCCCGCTCGAAGGTTGTCACAAAGCAGGTTCGTACCTTGATCTCCTCCAGCACGCCCTCCGACAGCAGGCTCTCCTTGACGCCAGCCTCCATCAATTGGCGCTTGATCTCCGCGTGAACGGCCCTGCCTCCGTAGCTCTGGTCTCTAAAAGCGGACATGATTTGTACGCCGCTAAAGACGGGCATGACACTCGTTTCACTGTACCCGATATCAACAACCAAGGCGGTGGGCACGGCCAGCGTGGAGAGTGCCATTAGGTGGACGGGCACAAACAGCACCGAGGAGGCATCAAAATGGACAAAGAGAACTCTCGCCAGTTTTTCCCTGAAGAGGGTGGGGCCGAAAGTGTTCTCCACCACAACGAACTTGCGCTCTTTGGGACTCACCAGCAGGTTCCTAGAATCATCAGGAGGTTATAATCTACCCAATATTCCACATCTTTTAAGGTCACCTACTTGAAGAAAATGGACTGCAGGAAGTCGACGATTTGATCGTAGAGCTGCTCCGTCGTGTCATAGTCAAACAACCGCTTGGTACACCCCGTCGTGGTCAGGACAACCTCTGTGCGAACGATTTTCCTCGGTGACGGTTCGGCCGCAAAGCCCAGCCTGAAAATATGGACAGTAAAGTGTGATGATATCACCTTTATCAGCAACTGGGACAGAAATTACTTTGTGTAGGCGGTACCGATTTCCAGGACGATAGGAGGCTTTTCCTGCATAACGCTTTCGTAGATGGGCATGCTGGGAGTTTGGTCGTTGGCCAACCGTATGCGGTTTTGCCAAATAATTGCACTTATAAATGGAAAGTGTAAAGTGTTCTTTACCAAAGAAATGTAAACTCACCAACACTGGCTCCGCAACTATCGATAACAAAAATCATCGCGTAACTACTATCACGAAAACTGATCCAACCTTATTGGATTTTATGACAGTATTTCCAGCAGCCGATCTAATCCATTGGGATCTAATTAAAGAAATAACTCTTGAGTTAAAGATCAAAATATAATAAAAACATTTAATTTATAGTGTTATCGTTTATAGAGTCTCACAATCGGTAATTATCTGTCATCTTTAATCGACCATAGGCCATCACTAATTTAAAAGATTTGTTGTGGTCGGCAAGACCGCCAAATCGTAAACAGGATGAGTTACATACAATTTGAGAGTGCCAGGGAAAAGGACAAGGCTCGCCAGGAACTGCGAGAGGCCCGCGCCGAGATGCTCCAGCAGGCTAAGGACCGGGCTGAGCTTCGCAGCCAGAGGGAGCGCCAAAAAGAGCTGCGAGGTGAAGGTGCCACCTGGATGCTACCGGCAGTGGCACAGAAACTGGAGAAGTCTTCATCCTCAAAGAAGGCAAAGAAGAAGAAAAAGACGGAACACAAATCCAAGTCGAAAAACAAGAAATCATCCAAGAAAAAGAAGAAAAAACACCACAGTAGCAGCAGCAGCGACAGTAGTAGCGATAGCGACAGTTCTAGCTCCAGCTCTTCCTCGTCCAGTGAGGACGAAAAGGAACGCCGGCGACGAAAGAAAAAATCTAAGAAGAGCCACCAGGAAAGCCACAGCGAGGACGAGTGGGTGGAGAAGACTTCTGCCGTTGAGGTGCCTCTGCAACGCGACAACTGGATGACGAACGAGTCTCTCATGCTGAAGACCTTTTCGAAGGAGCAGAAACAGCCCACAAAGCCGAACGAGAAACTCCAGCAAATCGATGCCTATGATCCGGCCAAAAGCGGTCGTGAGCTGAATCCTTATTGGAAAAGTAATGGCACCGGCCTGCCCGGTTTCCAAAAGCCTCGGGATGACGAGGACGAGTCCGAGAAGCGGGAGACAAAGCAGCATTCGACTTCTGGTCCGAGTTCCTCCTCTCGCGGATGGCGAAAGCCCTCTGCTAAGCCACCCTCACCCTCACCACCACCAAGGAGAGAGAAATCTGTCTCAGAGAACGAATCCTCGGGCGAGGAACCCGAACCGGCTCTCCCCTGCTTAACCAATGACGAGCTCAACGCGTTGGCAGGCAGGGCCATCAAAGCAGAGATCAAGGGCAAGAAGGAGCTGGCGGCTGAACTGAATCTGCAGCTGGAGAATGCACGAAAGGCGCGGGCCGAGTATTTGGCATCCGGCAAATCCATACCGACACCTAATGCCAAGGTCTCGAAGAAGAAACCCACATCCGAGCATGTTCTTCTCACCAAAACGGATCAGAGCGGCAATGTGCGGCCACTAATGCACACTGGGACGCACAGTAACCCCAATGATCTCTATGGGGGAAGCAAAGGACGGAAGCGAAGCAACAAGAAAGTGGAGACTCATGTGGACGGACAAAGGGTGCGTTACTTCGCCGATGATGATCGCTATGATATCAAGCAAATGGTAAGATTATACTTTTATATCCAAATCTTTGAAGAAAGACTCTAAAGAATCTCTTTTCAAAACAGTTCGAGCGAGAGAAGCATGCCACTGCCGCCGAGTCCAACCTGCAATACGCCGACATTCTGTCCAAGCACAAGAATCCCAATGATGATCTTGAGGACTTGTTTGCCGACAAAGTGCGCAAGCAAATCTCACCTGGCGACGCCGAGAAGAAGGAGCTCCAGAACGCCATCAAAGAACACGAAAAGCTGGCTGCCAGTCTTGAGAATTGTGAGCGATGCTTTGACTCCGCCAAGCTGGATAAGCAACTGTTAGTTTCCCTCGGCGACAAGATCTACCTGAGCATACCGTGGTATGTGGGCCTGCAGAATGGCCATTGCATCCTGACAACATTGCAGCACGTGTCCTGCTGCACGCAGCTGGACGAGGATGCGTGGGAGGAGCTGAATAACTTCCGGAAGGCGCTCACCCGCATGTTTGCCGCCCGACGGCAGGACGTGGTTTTCTATGAGATTGCCAACAAGTTGCTTCGCCGACCGCATCTCACCGTGCACTGCATCCCCATCCCATCCAGTCAAGGCGAACTGGCACCGTTCTATTTCAAGAAGGCCATCGAGGAGTCCGAACAGGAGTGGTGCATCAACAAGCAACTGGTTTCTCTGCGTCAGAAATCTCTGCGGGCCGCAATTCCGAAGGGTCTGCCCTATGTGTGGATCCACTTTGGCATGGATTCGGGCTTTGCCCACGTCATCGAGGATCAGGACCGTTTTCCCGCTAACTTTGCACAGGTAAGCAGCTGAAGAAGATCTCTGGAGATCTATGAATATTAACAAATTCTTTCTTTAAAGGAAATTATTGGTGGAATGCTAGGACTGAATCCCAATTCCTGGCGCAAGCCACGAAAAGAACAGAATCCTGTGGGAAGGGTCAAGTCGCTGGCGGAGATGTGGAAAAATTACGATTGCACTGAACAATAATTATTGAAATTATAATTTAAGAATGTTGTTCTAACACAATCTATTTTTGGGGGGGGCTTATGGGGATGGGTGGCTTAAGATAAACAATCGTATGTTTTACTTTGAAAATCTGGTTCACATTTATTGATCAAGTCCCCCCTTCATCCATGGGAATGGAGGTGGCTCGCTCATGGTTTTACAATGGTTCTTATCAGCTAACGCGTTTCATGCACTTCGACATAGATTTATAAAATGGAATTTTGAACATTTGCTGCAATACGTTTTTTCACATAATATGAAATTTCTGTTGGAGACATTCGTTGAATGCACATAGATCCTCTATAGATAATGCATGTAAACTAAACAAAAAATCTTTAAAATGTATGCTAGAGTTGATGATTGGATATTGTTGTGATCCCTGGCCAAAAATGGATGCATCTAGGAGCCCACAATGATGTTGTTGATGGGGATGTGTATCAGCTTGACGAAGAAGCCGATAAAGCCCATGATACAGAAGCCAATGGCGGTGGCAATGGCGATTTTCTGGAACTCCTTGCGATCGGGTTTGGTGCAACGCTTCACCAAACGGATCGAATCCTTGGCGAAGGCGCGTCCAGGCTCAGCAAACTTCACAACCTTGTCCATGTCTTATCAAAAATATATTGTTGGCAACTGCAAGATAATGGAAAAGAGAGAGACGTGTTAGCAGGAAGGTACTTTCACGAGAATCACAACACAGGCGACGTGGCACACTCGTCGACGTCACAGGTGAAATTTTGGCCTGCCCTCTTTCAGCTAAAATATAACATTTATGATGGGCGTTTTAATATTAGTAAACACGTTGATTTACTCTACAAACAATGGTCTATTATTAACACTTGTTTGACTGTCTCAAGTGGGGTAATTAAATTAATGAACGTCAGTTTTATGAATGCATGTACAGACAAAAAAAAAAACTACAAAAGTCTGAGAAAACGGTATTATTAGAAAGTAGTTCTCTTAGTTCCTGTTTTCAACAAGTGTGACGTTGCAATAGCTATATTTTTATTGAATAAAAAACTACTTAGAAATACACTGTTTAAGAAAACAAGACACACCTCTGCTTCAATTGAAAATTTCTACTCGAATGAAACACTTTCCTTGACTGCCGCGTCGGCTCCCGATTCGTTGACAGTTCCACGTCAATATGTCAAAACCCAGGGTTGCTTTGGGGGTGGGATGCCAACCCCCATCAAATGGATGACATCTGTCATGTCTCCCATTAACAATTCCAAATAAAAATAAGATTTGAAACAATGTTAAGTTATTTGCTTATAGAATTCATTATTAAATATTGTTTCATTCATTAAATTATAATTATTTAGAGTTTCTTGAATTACAACTACAGTTTGAACTGATAACGATACTATCGGCCAAGGTAAAAGGTCACATTATTGCCTGGAAACTCGCTATGGTCCTATACTTTATTCGGCACATACATCTGCTAGTAGTATTGTTTTATTTTTTTCGGCATTGGATCAAAACGAACATTAGTTATATATCAAATCCTTGTAAAATTGATCAGCCTTTCCAATTCCATTTTGGAAAAGCCGACTTGTAACAGATTTCTGGGCCCTATACCATCGAAACCTGAACTTTCGGCAAAAGACATCGACTCTTGTATATACATTCTGCAGAAACCGTATACTAGCTTCCTACCATCATGAGTGCTCAGCCAAGTCCGCTTATGAATCCCCAACAACAACAACAACAACAGCAGCAACAGCAAAGTGAGCAAGAAAAGGTAATAGAGTGTCTTGGAATGATGATGACTAGCAAGTATGAACCAGTAACTGGACCCGTGTCCATTCCGTACCAGGTGTACCAGTGGATAAACGAGTTGGCGCATCCCGACACTCGTGAGACAGCCCTCCTGGAACTGAGCAAGAAGCGGGAAACTGATCTAGCTCCCATGCTGTGGAACAGCTTTGGAACAACGTGTGCTCTATTACAGGAGATCCTCAACATCTATCCATCGATTACACCGCCCACTTTGACGGCCCACCAATCGAATCGGGTTTGCAATGCTCTGGCCTTGCTGCAGTGCGTTGCCTCGCATCCCGAAACTCGAACTGCCTTCCTCCAGGCCCAAATACCGCTCTACCTATACCCGTTCCTCTCCACTACCTCGAAGACCAGGCCCTTTGAGTATTTGCGCTTGACCAGCCTGGGCGTTATTGGAGCTTTGGTTAAGGTAAGGTAAGAACCACTGTTCTATTAAACTTTTGCTAAACTTTTGAGCTCATTTCCAGACCGATGAACAGGAGGTCATTACTTTCTTGCTAACCACGGAGATCGTGCCTTTGTGCCTCAGCATTATGGACAGTGGCTCTGAGCTAAGCAAGACTGTGGCTACTTTTATTATTCAGAAGATACTCCTTGATGAGTCCGGCCTGTCGTACATCTGCCAGACGTACGAACGCTTCTCTCATGTGGCCATCACCTTGGTAGATATGATTTCAAGAAGATTATGATCGAAAGCTTACTTACTTCGATTTTAGGGCAAGATGGTGATCCAGCTGGCCAAGGATCCATGCGCTCGCCTGCTAAAGCACGTCGTGCGCTGCTATCTCCGCTTGTCGGACAACACTCGGTACGTATGGGGAATGAACTCTCCTGATAGACTTGAAATAACCAGAAATTCTATATTAAATAGTGCCCGCAAGGCTCTAGGCCAGTGTTTGCCCGATCAATTGCGGGACGGTACCTTTGCTCTGTGCCTGCAGGATGACAAATCCACCAAACAATGGCTACAGATGCTACTCAAGAACCTGGAACTGGGAGTAACTCCCCAGCAGATCGGTATGGCTCCGTTAGGATCATAGACCGAATTATTGCGATATTCTCAAGTATTGCTTAGGCATGGGCTCCATTCGCTAGCTCCTGCACAATTGTGACTTTTGCAAAAAAAAAAAAAATAAATAAATCCTAAAATCCATAACTGCCCAACCCCCTCTCCCTACCATGTACTACCATATACATAGTTAACTAATCGACCGATATTACGGATAATAATATTGCACGAGGTTGCCTGTGTCTAGCCTAAGCAGAGCTGTAATATATAAATATAAATACCGGATAAATAATGTTATTGATAAGCTCTTCACTGATAGCGTATAATTTACAAAGTAAATAAAGATTTCGTAATGTTAAAATTGATAAACTAGTTGAGTTTTAATTATGAATTTTTGGTAAAATTAGTAAGGAATTGGAATGTTCTATAAATGGAATCCAAAGGCATGAATTATGATGAAGATTTATTTGTTTATACGATGAACTAGACAAGATTCCTAGAAAGATTTTCGAAAAATGATTACCTTTTGGAAGGAATTTCACTATATTTTTAGTAAAACCTAATTAATAACTTGTCTTTTAATAAAAAAACATATAAACATTTAAGAGAGGCCCACAAATCACTTAGCAATGCACTTTCAATAAAATGCGTTTTATTTTCGCAGAAACCTCCTCCATGGGAGATGCAACCCTCGTTACCTCCCGTTCTAGCCCATGCAACCGATATCTGGCCATCTCTTTCTACTCCGGCCGGGGAGATGGGCCAGCCCTCGGCCCCCCAAAAAGCTACAACAATAATAAAAACAATATCGGATGCAGTAACGGCAACACACAGTTTCAAATGCTTTTAATACACGGACACACTTATACAGCTGTGATAATTAAAACAATTACAATATACGATTAATATTACAATATAGTACACACTGAATAAAACATTTAACTTCCTAGCAGCACAGCTCTCGGCTCAATTGGCATCTTATCCTGCACCTGTGAAACACCATAGTACATATAATTAACAAGCTCCCAATGTACTCCTCCATCTGTAGATACTGCTGTTTGCGATACACGTACATCCATACACTAATATGGCAATTAGAGGGCTCCATAGAGCAGTACATACATATATGGGTTGCATTGGCATTGGGGGGGGGGTCGGTGCGATTAGAGAGTGCGAATAGACGGGCTTCACTTTGTCGGGGCCTAACAAGGAGGCGGAAAAGAAACCAGTAGAGATAGATGATCATCTGGCAAGTCGCCTTAAGTGGGTGACTTGACTTGTCCGGCGGCGGCCGATGCCCGCCTGGCCATTTCGGCCTGTCCCTCCGCCGTTTCCAGCTCCGCCTGGTTGGCCGGTGCTGTTTGCAGTTGCGGCAAGGCCAGCATTTGATCCATGAGGTCGAAACCGCTCTTCCAAATCAACAAATGGGCACGCAGCTTCAACTTGCTGCGATTGCGCAGCAGGTGCTTCTCCATGGCGAAGCCCTGCCGGGCACAAGCAAAGTCGCAAGCTCGCTGGCGCAGCACAGGGCAGATGTCGTTGTTGCCATCGCCGACATAGAATACATGATCGTATCGGATGCTGCGTCGCAGATCCTGTTCGATGACAAAATGCTCCAGGACGCGTCCCTTGCACAAGTTGCTGGCGCTGAGCTTGCAGTCGGTCTGCTGGTGATGGGCACGAACCTGCAACCGCCCTGTTTCGTCAAACTCGGCCGGATTGGTGAAGATGGCCAGGAAACAGTCGGACAGATTGTGAGCCCGCAGCCACTCATCGATGAAAACACTGTTCGAGTCACTGATGATGATCAGATCGAAGTTCATTCGCTTGGCCAAGTGCTTGATGAGCCGCACGAAGCCGGGCACCTCGGGGATGCCGCGGATTGTATCGCGGATGCGGGCCTCGGGCACCTGTTGCTCATGCAGCAGGCGGAACACCTCCGCCATGTACTCGGTCCAGCAGTCGTTCTCCACCAGTTCGTGAGCTCGGGCACTGGTCACCTCCGTGGGCAACAAATCGCGCACAACAGTGTCCGTATTCTGCGAGACGATCGTATGGTCGAAATCGAAGGCCGCCAGGCGACGGCGCTGCTGCTTCTCCAGCCTGCAGCTGGCCACGGCCGCAGCCACAGCAGCCGAGGACGCGTTCGAGGACATCTTGCTCCGCTCCGCTCCAAGTTCTCTTTGCTCCAAGTTTTCGATGCACCGATTTAACTTGCAAAGCGCCAAAATCCTGTTAAAGCTTTGTGGCGGAACGCGTTTTATAGTCTTTGAAGTTTGGTCACACTAGGTCCTTTGGCGGGAACTTATTTCTTACTTTAAAGGATATAAATATGTCCTGGACTTGTTTTCATTTGCTTTTTACATTTTTTATCCTTTATCCTTAGTTTATGCCTCAGAGAATAATAAAACCCATTGGAAAGTATTTCCGGTACAATCAAGAGACAACTAAGTGATCTAAATTTAATTAATCTTTTAATTATATAAAATATATTTTCATGAGGCAATATTAATAGCATGTTAATTAATTTTTAAAAAGGAAAACTTGAGTTATAAGATATTTAATTAATATTGAATCAACCCTATTGGCCAAAAATAGTGTGCCCAAAGCATGCACTGATAAAATTCCAGACGATAACCAGATTTAGATGGAAATGAGGTCTGGTCACACAGTACATTTTCATTAGTACCTCGGAATCGAAAAGAAAAAAACATAAGCAGACAGGCGAAGCAGATCATACCGTTCAATAATGAATTCCTAAGAATGTTCGACGCGCGCTGAACAAGTCTGCGTATGTATTCAAGCTACCGGGGCAGCGAGTGGATATTTTTTTGGCGTTCAACTAGCATTAAATGCGTTGTCTTACTGCCAGTGCCAGTGCCCGTTCCCGAATCGTTAAAAGTGCGTGGAAAAGTGTACGAAACCAATACACGGAAAGTGGGACAACGGCAAAGGCAGCCGAGAGCGCGAGCGTGTGTGTGCTTGTGTGTGTGTGTGTTGTCTGCTGTAGTTGTGGTAGTAAGTAGTATCAGAGTGTGTGTGTGTGTGTGCCTACAGTCTTCTCAGTCTTTCGAGTGTTTCAAAAAATAAAAAAAAATATAAGAAAAAGTGTTTTATTACCACCCGTTTACCGCCGAACACAACCGCCTAAGACACAACATTAGCACCCCATAAGTGCGGCAGAATTTGCCTAGCGTGCGAGCAAACGCTTGCATTGATAAACATGGAGCATGCCACCAACAGAAGTAGCAGCCGCAGCAGCAGCAGCAGGGAATAGCCATCGCACGAATCGCGAATTGTGCATGCAGAGAAGCAGGCGCTCAGTCGTCTCTTCTACTCCATCTTCTTTTGTCTGACTCTGACCGACGACTTTGCCGCATGGTGAGTTTGTGGTTGTTGTTGGGTCAGGGCTTCGGCGTCGTTTTCTGTTGCTGTTGTTGCCGTCGGTTTCGGTTTCTGTTTCTGTTTTCTGCATTGAGACTGAGACTCTAGCTGATGAAGCTTGCTAATATTTCGAGTTGTTGATGTTGACGCACTGAAATTTTTCATTGCCCTAGAGAGAGAGAGAGAGGGCATGCATGCTAGTTTCGTTTTAACCAATTTAGAGAATATGTGCATGTGTGCGACCCCCTTGCATTTGTGTATGTATTTTCTCCATGCAGCAGCAGCACCAGCAGCAGTAGCAGCAGAGCAAAGCGTAGAAGCGGCAGGGCAGGCGGCAACAGCGGCGCGACTGTGGTGGGTTCGTCGGTCAGTGTGGTGAATTTGCCCGTGCGGCGACAGTGTTGCCAACATATACACCAGCAGGCCGTGGTTCGTGGCGGCTTCCTCAGCATTGCTTCTTCACCCATTCTCTCGCTAGCGCTCTCTCTCTCGCTCTCTCTCTCTCTGGCTGCCTGAGTGCCTGCTTGCCGACTCTTACCCTCTATCCACCATTCTAGTGCTCCGTCCGGCCGTCCCTCCGACCATCCATCCGTCCGTCTGTCCGTCCGACAGCTGTGTGCGCATGTTTTCAACGCTTATTTATTAAATGTTGTTATTCGGCTGGGAGTTTGCGCGGCAATTTTGTTCATCGATGCTTGCTTGTGCCTGTGCCTGTGCCTGGAAAGGAATAGCTCTGGAAAGTGCCTTCCAGCAAATGCCTTGAATCTCCAGCTCCGGTTCTATTATTTTGGATATCGGCTAAAATTAGATCCTCCACTTAGTCCGGTTTTCATTCTTTGATCTGCACCCGTGCCCCTGCTAGTGTATGTGTGAGAGATCAGAGGTCATTAACCCTTGAAATTGGGGTCCATCATGTGTCCAAGTGGGTCAAGATCCTGTGGAATAATGAAAAACCTTAATGTTACAGGCTGACGGCCACTGGACAACTGAATATAGCAATGAATGATTTACGTCAGCAGCAGATGGTAGCAGCGACATCGTCATCAGGATCGGGAACAGGAACAGTAACAGTAACAGGAACCGGAATACCAGCATCAATTGAATCAGCACCAGCATCCTCAACAGCAGGAGCAACCACGACCACGGAGCAACGCGTCACTAGCAATTCAAATATAAAATCCGGAGGAGCCACTGAGAGCACCACGAACAGTAGCGAAGAGGAGCAGCGGGTCAGCTCCACGTCATCCCCGGCACAGCGAGAGCAGCAACTGAATGCGGATCACGAGCCGGACCAGGACCAGGGTCAGGACCAGGAGCAGGAGCAGGAGCAACACCAGCAGCGGCAGGAGGCACTGCATCGACGGCGTCATCATCAGCCCGGGCATATAACTAGTACTACAGCGTCGCCGCCGCCACAGCCGCAGCCACCGTCGACGCATCCGCATCCGCTATCACTGGCTACGTCTCGCGACGATGCTCCAGGCACCACTGGAGTCACAGCATCAGCGTCAGCAGCCCCATCAGCAAGCACAACAGCAACAGAAGCCGCATCGTCCGCGGCCGGAGGAGGAGGACCGGCGATGGCTGCCACGGCGATCGACGTAAAGGGCGAGGAGCGGGACGGACACAAGATCATCTTGAAGCTTTCGAAGCACGTCGCAGCCGCTCCCAACTCAAATCTAAATGAATCTCAGCCCGGTGGCGACGAGAGGCGCGTCGAGCCACTGCGTATTCAGCTGTCCAGCGACGGAGGCGTGGCCAAGCCGCAGGACGCCTCCGATGCGGACGCCTCGTCGTGTTCGTCGTCCTGCGCCGAGGACGAGGTGGCCAGCAGCCTGGCCCAGCATCCACGGAGCACCCCGCACATAGTGCCAAAGCTGACCATCCGTGCCGCCAACGAGGAGCGAGTGGGCAGCGTGGTGCCCAAGCTGACCATTAAGTTGCCCGAGAATCCCGCCGCCTCTGGATCCAATTCGGGATCAGGAGCTGGATCGGCGACAGCAGCTCTGCCGTCTAAGAACGACGCCCATCTGTCCAGCCTATCGCCCGCCTCTGCCTCCTCCTCTTCGGCCTCCTCATCATCCTCGTCGTCGTCGTCGTCTTCGCTCGCCGAGATGCAGACGGTGCCCAAGCTAATGATCAAGACAACGCTGTCCGGAAGCAGCTGCATCACCAGCAGCAGCGAAGAGCATCCCCACCAGCAGCAGATACCAAAGTTAACAATCAAAACGGGCGGCGGCGGTGGCGGCGGTGGGGGGCAGGAGCAGCAGCACATGCACACCGTGATCATGAAGCACGACCTGAGCAACGCCCAGAGCATACCCAAGCTGACCATCAAGACCAAGTCCATCGATCTGACCGAGGACGATGCGTCCGGCAAGCCCCTGGAACAGCTCCAGCCCCTGCCCAAGCTCACCATCAAGAATCTGTGCTCGCCCAAGCACAAGGTGCGCGCCGTGCTCGAGGAGAAGCTGCCCTCCGCCGCCTCCAAGCTGGCTACGGCCGCGCCCACGCCCGCCCCGGCCCTAATCACCAACGGCATGGAGTCGAATAGCAGCAGCCAGGAATTCTGCGGCTTCTCCGACCTGGACGCCGACCAGGCAGCGGCGGCGGCGGCGGCGGCGGACGAGGGGCGTCGCAACTCGGACGACATGGACATCGATGAGTCGCTGTCGAAGGAGCACGACCCGCAGATGTTCCACCGATCAGATCTGCCGCCCAGCAACGGAATCGCCGGTAGTGCCGCGAGTAAAGCCAGCAAGGCTGGAAAACAACCGAATCCTGTCCAGCTGCCGGCGGCGCAGCACAACGTTGTGGAAATGGTGGACCTTACGTCGTCCCCGTCGCCGGGCTCCTCGCCGGCCCACGTCACGAATAACTTCTCCGGTCGGATTTCGCCGGCCCAATCCCGGCCAGCCAATCTCATCGATTGCCTGCGGATGAAGGCCGACGGCGGCGTTGGAGCCTCCTCCTCGCCCAACTCGACCATACTTCTCAGTCAGCTAACCGCCCCGCCCAAGAGCTTCGCCACGGCCTCGCCGAAGAGCAACTCCAGCCGGTATCCGCAGCTGACGGAACGGTTGCTGGCCAACGGTGGCGGTGGAGCTGGCGCTGCAGCAGCGGAAGCGGTGGCAACCTCGGAGGGCGATTCTATTGGCGCCCCCATCGAGATACTGGACACGCCGGAAGGTAGTCCCCACATCACGTACATGGAGGACGAGCATCTGGACAGCCAGGTCCTCAACAACCACCATCCGGTCAACCGCAAGGACCAGCAGCCCGAGGACGACCTCCAGGAGGTGGACAACAATAACGAGAACCACCTGAAACGGACCAGCAGTGCGGGCAACGAATCTCCCAGCAGTGGCGTAAGTATTTCTAAGATTCCTGACCTCGCAGCTACTAATGACACTCCTCCACCGTCTACAGGTTCCGCCCAACAAGCAGCGGCGGATGGATAACGACGAGAACGACCAGCCCATGCAGAACTGCCACGATCCGGTCAAGAAATCCAATGTGGAGCTCTCGACGCCACCACACTCGCATCGGTCGCGGAAACAGAAGCACGAGCGCATCCTCAACACGGAGATGGAGGATCCCATCTTCCCGTCAACTCAACAGCCGCCGGTGGCTCTGCCGGAGCAGAACGGAACGGTGGCCACGTATCCGGAGCACGATATTGGCGAGGCCAAGGCGCAGGATCCCATGGATCTGGCGAGCAGTCAGCTCTCGCAGGCACCAACACCGGCCAGCACCGGAAAGCGGAGGGGCCGGCCGAAGCGGGTCCAGAATCAGAGCGTCATCGAACCCGCCAACTTGCCCAACCAGTACACGCCCACGGACACGCCGCAGGAGGTGAAGTCGCGGCGGGTGCAGTTGCTGCGCAAGCGCCTGGCCATCGACATGGTCAGCCAGGATCAGCTGCCGGATGCGGCGTCAGTGGTCGGTGCTGGCGTGGGGGAGCCGAACGCTATCGCGGAGGATGAGCCGGCTGGGATTGTGGAGACACCGACGCGCCGCGACCGCCAACTGAGAGCGTCGCGGCGCACCGTGACGCCCAGCCAGCAGGCCACCCCAAAGGCCACCAGGAAGCGCCAGAGCAAAGCCAATGCCCAGGCCAGCCAGCTGCCTCCGCCGCCGCCGCCACCCATGCTCGTCAACTTCGGTGGCTCCGATGCCGAGTCCAACAACAACAACAACAGTACCAGCATCTTCGCATTGGCGGCACAAATCGATCTGACCATGTGCTCGTCCAGCTCGTCGACGTCTTCGGGCGCTCCGGGGGCCCATCAGACGGCCAGCGGAATCAGTGGCAGTGGGAGCAGCTCCATGCTGCCGCCCACGACGATTCTGTCGTCCTCGGACCGCCTCAAGGACGTTATTTTCCAGCCAAACGACTTCTCCTCCATCATGGCCACCCAGCAGCTGCGCTCGCCCCGCCCCTCCAGCACCAGCGGCGGGAGTGCCGGTGGCAGCCAAGCGGATTCCCATGAGGAGGACAACTACAACAGTGCCCTGGACAACTCTGGAGGTGAGCTGAGTGGTATATCTTCTTACATGCCTTATTTTAACCTTCATCATCTTCTATTTTAGATGAATCTGTGTCCACGATGCCGGTGCTCTCCACACCGACTCCCACACGGGGTCGCGGACGTGGCCGAGGCTCCAGGGGCGGCAGCCGGGGCAGCAATAACGGGTCTTCCTCGTCAAACCGAGGCGGTGGTAGTGGCGGTGCCGGCCTCTCCTCCACAAACTCCCAGCCGAGGGCCCCGCGGATGAGTCGAGGAGCCAGCGCCGTGGCGAAGGCCATTGCCATGAGCCGGCCGCGCTGCGTGGGCGGTCTGAAGCACACGCCCGATCCGGAACGGCTCAAAGGACTCTTCAGCCCAGTAAGTAGAATTTTTAGGGTTTTTTTTATTTAATAATTTAGATTTAAAATTAATAATTAAGAAAAGATTAAGATTACCTTTTATTTTATTCTGGCAATGCCATTTGGAGTTTCCTTTTCGAACAAGTCCTATCATGCTCACCATGTCCCGTTAATGGAAGCTTTCGAATACTAACTTTTGGTATTAAAATACCATTTCCATGTCAAGAAACCTAACTGACCTTTCCAATAAAAAATACTTCCATGGGAAAGTGGAAAATGGTTCTAGGAGCTAGAATCTAGATTATATAGTAGTAATGATACTTCGAGGAGGTCGCACCTCGGAACTGCACTGCTGCTGCTGGTTGTTTATGTTTTGCTTGGCGTTACGTAAATGCTGGCTAAACGGCAGAATGGCACCAGAACCAGCACCAGCCAGCCAGCCACCAGCTACCAGCACCAGCACAGCACGAGAGGCGGCTAACGTGTCGTACTTTAAATCAAAGGCGCGCGCCATGTCATGAATTCATTACCAATGCTTTCTATATTAGCCTAAGTTAGTGTGAGTGCAACAAAAACAACAACAACCGTAGAAGAAGAAGAAGCACTAACAGTAGCAGCAGCAGGAGGGCAGTAAGGCAAGAAGAAGAGAAGAAGTAGCGTAGCGCAGCGCAGCGCAGCCGCTGCAATTGTTGGCTTTGGCTTCACCTGCGATTTTAATCAGCTGAATTTTTTGTTTGGCTCTCTTTGGTGTGTGTGTGTGTGTTAGTGTGCATGTGCATATTCAGGTGTGTGTGTGTGTGCTAGTGTGTGGGTTCTGAAAGCTTACATGTGGTGGTACGTGTACTGATTCGCTGCTACTACCAGTCCACCTTCACCACACCTGCTGCTATTGCCGCTTTTCTTCTTCTTCTTGCTGGTTTTTTTTTTATTTGTGTGATGCTCTCTTGCACACGCTCTCTCTTAGCTGGGCTCTCTCTTTCTCTCAGCGACAAAGCTCAGCAGTTGGCATAAAAGCTGGCAATGCCATCAGGAGTTTCCGTTTCGGCAAGTCCAATCACGCAAGAAATCAAAATATCCTGTCATATGGTTAAGCTACCATATGACCAGACCAGAGCAGACCAATCTAGTTAATAGTTTAATGTTTAAATATTTTAATAAAAATTATAAGATATAATTATATTTATTTATGTTATTTTGATATTTTCCAGTCGCCGCAAGTGTTCGAGGAGGACACGCGCATGAGCGCGGATCTTAGCAACAGCATGCAGTCGATGAGCAGCCTTATGGAACCTCCTCTAACGCCACAGAAGTAAGCCCTGCTAGTACTATAACCATTTCCATAAGAAAACTATAACACTTTGTCTGTAATCCTTAGGCAACCCGATTTCCTCAATAATGAGGAGTCACAGTCGTCCATGGTGAGCAATGCCAGCCTGTTGGACTCCAACCAGGGCCAGTCTGTGGACACCATCATTAGCTCATCGCAAAAACGTCCAAAGAAAAAGAAAATGGAGATCTGTGTGGCCGAAGAGTAAGAAAATCAAGTCAAGTTATGTCAAGAAACCGAAACTCAAGAAATCCACTTGCAGTACCGACTACAGTGCCTCCAGCATTGCCGAGTACGACTGGCCGCCACCCAAGGGCTGCTGTCCGTCGAAGAATCGTGACACGTTCATGATTCAGGAGCAGGTGGCCCTCTATCTCGGCATAACCAGCTTTAAGCGCAAGTATCCTGATCTGCCGCGGCGTGCCGTCGATATGGAGGAGCGCAACTGGCTGCAGGAGAAGGGGCTGGTCAGCGAGAAGATGTGCGATCTGGGCATCACGGCCGTCTGGGCGTCGGACATCCTGGACATCATGTATGCTGACTTCTATGACAAGTACGAGGAGTACAAGGAGTACATCCGATTGAAGCACCTGCGCGAAATCGAGGCCAAGCAGAAGGCGCTGGGCCTGACCGTGGGCGCCTCTCGAGGCCTGCAAGCCCGCGACCGAGCCATGCTTTCGGCCAGCAAATGGAATGTCTACTTCAACAAAACGTAAGCACTCTTTGGATAATCCTCCTATAGATTCTAACGAAAGATTCTCGCTTCAGCCGCAAAGAGGAACGCCTGGCCTGCCTGGACTTGCAGACGTTCACCATGAATCAGCCGCAGCATAGGACGGCGCCCCTCTGCACTCGCCTCCAGCGCTCCATATCGAACTATGTGCGGGCGGCGGCCGAGGCGGAGAACATGGAGGCTCCACCGACTCTTGTTTCGCCCCGCGTCTACGACCAGGCCTTCCGAAGCTCGGACTACGCGTATCCTCTGACCGTGGTCCCGGACCAGTTCTCCTTCGCCTACAGAGTTTTCAAGCCCGCCGAGCTCAGGTGAGTTTCCCTTATTCCTGCCTTGATTCACAGCCCTCTGATTGATTTCTTTCCACTTGCCAGAGCCTACCCGTTGGACACAGCGCTGGACCTGCCGTCGACTGATCAGGAGGCAGAGCTGCAACAGCGCATCAGCCCGGAGTCCAGCGGCGATGAGGCGACTGTGTCCAAGGAGCCAGAAGTCGCGACAGCTAAGACCCAGGCGCCGGTGCCGGTTCGCCGCAGCAGGAGAGCGCTCCGCCAGCAGTCGGACAAGACGCGTAGCGCCAGCAATGGCAGTACTTCCTCCGCAGCATCAGTTTCATCCGCCTCCAGCGGCAATGCCAGCAGCAGTGATACGGTGAGTCCTTCATTAGAGAAGAGAGAGATTTAAACCTTTTCTCATCCATTCCATTTGGCCTTACAGGATAGCGGCGATGACAGCGACTGCAGTAGCTCCTCCACGAGCAGTTGCAACTCTCTGGGTGCCTCGAGCAGTGCTGCCAGCGACGATGAAGCCGGACGCGCCTCCTCCCAAGCCAGCAGGCTTCTTAACTGCGGGGTCTGTCTGCGCAGCCAGCATCGCAATGCCAGGGACATGCCCGAGGCCTTCATTCGCTGCTACAGCTGCCGACGGCGAGGTAAGTGGATTTGCCGTCCTCCTCACTGTACTCCATGCTAACCCAACACCCTCTCCATCCTGTTACAGTTCATCCAAGCTGTATCGATATGCCGCAGCGCATGGTGGGACGTGTGCGAAACTACAACTGGCAGTGTGCCGGATGCAAGTGCTGCATCAAGTGCCGGAGCAACCAAAGGCCTGGCAAGATGCTCTTCTGTGAGCAGTGCGACCGAGGCTATCACATCTACTGCCTGGGGCTGAGGACGGTGCCAGATGGTGAGTGTTCTGACTTATCCCCAAAAGAACCCAAAGTGACGTATACTTTCTCCGAAGGTCGCTGGAGCTGCGAACGGTGTTGCGTGTGCATGCGATGCGGAGCTACACGTCCCGAGGGCTTGTCCCAAGTTGGAGCAGCGTCGCCGGGTGGGGAGCGCGGAAAGAACTCGCCGCGCGGCAAGCGAGCCAAGTGGGTGCACGAATACCGCACCGACCATGTCACCAAATTGCGCGAGCACTCCGCCATGTTCTGTGCCCCGTGCGCGAAAACCAAGGCCGCCAACGCCCAGGCGGCTGCACTGGCAGCAGCCGAGTCCTCCTTGCCGGCGAGCAGGGACTCCAGTCCGGCACCATTGTCTGTCCCTGACCCGAGTCCCAGTCCGACGCTCAATGGCGGTCCCGATCTGTCGCCGGGGGAGGCTCCAAGTCCCAAGTTGGCGGCGGTAAGCAGTGCATCGCCGCCCGTTATGCTGGAGGTGGTGCCGACATCGATGAGTCCTTTGCCGTCAACGGTCGCAACGATAAGTCGAAGGCCACAGGGCACGCCAGTCACCATTAGTACGATGCAGTGCAGCAGCAGCTTAAGCCGAAACGGAACTGAAGAGTCTACAGCATCTACAGCAACGACAACGACAACCATTTCGGCAACAACGACAGCAGTAGCGGGAGCAGGAGCAGCAGCAACAGCACCACCAAGCACTGCCGCGTCCGGAGGAGCATCGCCTGCCACGTCCACGACGCCAATCGGCATAGCACCGCCGCCGGTTGTTGCCTGAGTGGGGGTTATACGTTATTGTGCCAAACGCACATTAACGGACTTATAGTAAGCGCCGGACGCGGCTCCCACCCACACACCCACATGCATATATATATATATATATATGTATACAAATGCATAGTATTAATAATGGCAACCAGGAAGAGAGATGGATAGAGAAGAGGAACCTGACAAAAGGGAACTATCTAAGCTATAATTTTTTTTTACTTTATTGTCAGTACCAGGTATTGCGATAAGCATATATACCAATTATAGTTATGTTACTTAACTTACACACACATACACACATCTAACACACACACACACATGACAAGCACACAACCAGAGGGGAGCATATTAATTTTAATCCTTTTTTGTCAAATTTTTGAATCAACTAGCACTTAAGTCATAATGTATTAAGTTTTTATTTACGCACCTTAGTCTATATTAGTTGAGTTGTTAATGCTAATCTAACCGATACTAGCATCAAATCCTTGTCCTTTGTGTCCCTCATCCACATCCCTGTTTCACGTTACACATTTTTTTTTTATATATTTTCTATTTTTTTTGTATTTGTACTTTTTTTTGTAACCAAATAGTGCGTTATGATTAAGTTTAAAGATGTCGTTTAGTCTCAGCCTTTAATAATCCCCCCTAACCTCTGTACTATATCTATTATATATATATATATACATTATTTACGTTTCTATATATACAAGAATAAGCGAAGCGAAACTACTTTATTGATTTTGTGTATCTTATGAGCCGAATTTTTCATCATGTATATGTATTTTTAGTAATAAGAACTAGGTATACTAACTAACTAAGTAAAAGGAGGCTTGAGTCTCAAGCTTGACATTATCCGTTCAGGCAGGATGCTCTGCTCTGCTGCTGCAACTGCTACTGCACGGTTAAGGATGTATTATATATGTAATTTATGCTAAAAACACCACACCCACACCATACACTCTCACACACACGCAAAAAAGCTATATATATATATATATATCTATATATATATTGTACTATCTTTAGGATAAGAAACAAAAAAAAAAAAGCACAAGAACAGAACTATTTTGGCGCGAAAAGGATCCGGGGTGCAAGAAGGCAGGATATATAGAAAGAAAGAGAGAGATAGAGAGTTCTGATACCGCCGCAGCCGTAATAGCGATCGTTAGAAGTTAGTAAGCCCCCCCGCCCCCGCCCCCAACTACTAGAGAGTACATCTACTTAACAGAAAGTGGATTATTTAACACATAAGCACGCCCAGGTGCAGCTGAGCCCTCGGTGGATCTACTTTTCCATGGAGTTAATGGTTAAGTCTCCCCCCCTTTATTAAGTAACAAATTATGTACACGTATGGAAAGATCTATTTTTAAGTCGAATAAAACAGCAGCATTAATAATCAAGCTAGCATTTTGGATAGCAAATTGTCCTCCAGCTCGTATCCCGTACGCCATGAGATCACCTTGCAGCACAGGTCCTTGCCGTGGGCGGTCATCTTTCCGTGCAGCTCGTATCCGCGTCGGATGCAGGCCACATCGTCGGCCCGTAGACGCTGCATGGCGCACAAATCATTACAGCTATCACCCACATATACCACACGCTGGTAGCGCCCGGTGTCCATCAACTGCTGGAGCACAGCACCCTTGCAGAGATTGGCCGGGCAGAGGTCGCACTGCGACTGGTCCTCGAAGGGCAGCACCAACAGCTCACCGCTGGCCTGCACACAGCCCGGATTGGTGTAGACGGCATGGAAGAGATCCTCGATGCCCCGGTCACGCAGCCATTCGCCGATAAAGTACGAATTGGAATCACTAATGATGCACAGGTCCAGGGCCGGCACCCTGGCCAGTCGCCGCAACAGTCGCACCATCCCCGGCACCGGTTCCATGAGCCGGACGCACCGTCCCACCGCCGTCGAGTCCACCTTGTGCTCGCAGAACAACTGCTTCAGAACGGTCTCGATAAAGGACGTCCACCCATGACGGGCCACCAGATCCTCCAGTTTCTTGCCGCGCTTCTCGGCCGGCAGCAGTTCACTGATGGTCAGATACGAGTCCCGCTCCACAATCGTCTTGTCGAAGTCAACGGCTGCCAGGATACGATTGGCAACGACTGGGGCGCCGCACTGGTTGGCTGCGGCACTGAGGCTGCGACAGCTCCACAGACCACAGCCCAGCCGACGGCGGCTCATCGACCAGAGGCTCCTGCCGATCACAAACATTGAGACGTGTATGGAAAACAAACGATTTAGACTTTAATATCAATACACTCATTTACACATATACATATACATAAAGGTCAAAGCACATCGATATCGATGGGGCCATGTTGTGGCAAGTGGCCGGGAAACCGAGTTCCACTTCAAAACAATGGCCCTTCTCTCACAAAACTCTTGAACATGCAACGTTAATAGCATAATTTTAAATATTGTCAATAAAAATTATTATTATTATTATTATTATAATTTTTTTTTTTTTGATCCATTTTCATCGTAAATATTTTCCAAAAAGTTAAAACATGTAAATACATTTATAGTTTTGGTAATTTATGCAAAAAGCTATGCAAATGCAAATCTCAAGTATGTATATTTAACTACATATATCAGCGAATTTATTGGCTAACTATAACAATTGGAGTTTTTTTGGTTTATGATCTGGGTCAAAGGTCACAACCCACAAAAAATTCAAGCTCTTCAATCCGAGCATTCATTTTAGACAAATCACTTCCAGGAATAGGTATTCTATGGTATATCTTGGGGATTCCTTCACATAGGATACAAATAATTTGAAACCCAAAAATGGAGATAGTTTTCTTTAAAGATCCATAACTACCAGTTTCAGAAATACTTTCTTTATAAGAAAAGTTCTTCAAGAAACATAGAGATCCTCGCAAGGACTGGTTCTGTCTGGCAAAAAAATAATAAAAATCGGTGGAAGTGATACGATACTTTGGATATCTTATGATCCATAGATAACCCCCACCCCAATCCATACTCCTGATGATACTGCCATCTCTTTCGCTTTCCAGCACGACCTCTAAACCGTAGTCTGAACATTCTGCACGGCCTTGGAGAGCTCCACTTTGGAAGGTATCAGATAGAATGCTGGCGTCATGGTCTCTCCACAAGGACATTTGCAAGCTGCAAGGAATAAAAACATAATTTATAATTAAATCATTAAGAAAGATAAGTTAAAATCCAAACCATTGATCCAACTATAGTTGCCAAGTTTCTGCTCGCACTTGGGACAGTGGAGACGACCTTGGGTGTTCAGCATGATGCGATGCATCCAGGCGATGGGCTCTATAAACAGAATGCTGCGGCAGTAGGTGGGGCCGCTTTCGTGGCCCGGCGATCCCAGCGATGACTGGCGTATCCGTTCGGCCAACTGCTCCAGCATGCGCGGTTCGCCTTGGGCCTCCGCCTGGGCCTCCTTTGGGGCGGCTGATGCTGACGGCGCTTCCTGGGCCGGCCTATCCCGTGGCTTGTGCTCGAGCACGTTCGATTTGGAGGCCAGGATGCGACGGCAGCGACGACAACGGAACACAATCGGCTCGGGATTTTCGCGGGTGATGTCCGGATCGGGACGCACCACACTGTGGAAGCTCTGCGGCAAGATCTTGGCCTTTCGCATCTGCTCGCCGGCCAAGCGCAGCCGGTGCGTCTTGTAGCGCTGGCATCCCGGATCGATGCGGCAGCCCATGCGGCGGAACAGCTTCAGCTGGGTGACAAAGCCGGCGTTGGGCTGGACGAAGCGCCTCTTGGCCTTCACCATCTCGTAGGCGGGCAGGAAGTCCAGGTTGTGGCGCTTCATCATGTACGCGATGACGGTCGAGGAGCTGCGGCTCACCCCAAAATAGCAGTGCACCAGGACATTGCCATGCTGCTCCAGGGCCGAGCTGATGAACTCCACGCAGCCCTCCAGATGCTGCAGGATGTCTTCGCGGGGCATGTCAGCAACTACAAGGACACAATGATTAGGCCGGAATGCAATATATCTCGAGATTATTAGCTCACTCTGGATGTACTTTGTGGTGAGAAAGCTGGCCTCCAGGATGTGCTGCGGCAGGGGTACCGAGTCGAGGGTGAGTATGTGGGAAATCTTGAAGGAACGCAGCGTCTCCATATGAGTGGCTGCCGTCAGGTTGCCTGGTACAGAAGCAAGGGTAACTACATAGATTCCTCCAGAAACGGAAATCCAAAATCTTACCCAGAAACAGACCCGTCTCGATCTCATCGATGCTCACGGGACCGCCGTCGAAGTCCTCGCGTGTCAGGGTGCCAGAGTCCTGGGGCTTGCCCCCCGACGAGGACGAAGCAGCCTGCTGTTGCGGCTGTTGCATTACTCGTTCATTGAGAAATCGATCGGAAGCGGAATCCAAAACCACATTCCTAGTGTGACCAGCCAGCTTATACATCTTCATGAGTTTCAAACTTTGGCGGGAAACCACATGTCCCCACAACCATGCCTGTAACTTTGCCAATTTTCAACCGATTGTCAAGCGGAGTACCTTAAATGATTTGTGGATCGATTATCTATAAATCTGCATCAAAATCTATAGAGAAAAAAGTTTTCAAAAATTTTCGAAATGGGGAATCCCATTTCTTGTAAAATCCGCGATTTCCACATGTCCCCACAACCATGCCTGTAACTTTGCCAATTTTCAACCGATTCTCAAGCGGAGTACCTTAAATGATTTGTGGATCGATTATCTATAAATCTGCATCAAAATCTATAGAGAAAAAAGTTTTCAAAAATTTTCGAAATTTTTGTGGGCCAACCCCTTGTAAAATCCGCGATTTCCACATGTCCCCACAACCATGCCTGTAACTTTGCCAATTTTCCACCGATTCTCAAGCAGAGTACTTTAAACAATTTGTGGATCGATTATCTATAAATCTGCATCAAAATCTATAAGGAAAAAAGGTTTGAAAAATTTTCGAAATTTTTGTGGGCCAACCCCTTGTAAAACCCGGACACTGTCAACAGTGTTTTAGTAAATGAACAAGTTGTCATTATTTTTTCATTTTCATTGGCCTGGAAATGTTTTAAAAATATTGGCACATAAGTTTTCTATTTGAAAGCTTTCGCGCCCTTCGCATTTTATCGATTACAGAAATATCGGCTTGTGCGCATCTCTATTGGTTACAGCTGTCAACGGGAACATTGCCGGTAGAGATTAATTGGAAATTCCACTTCATTTTGGGGAATAGCTGAATGAGTTCCATAGTTTTAGCAGAATGACTACTCTTAGACCATTTACGTGCGACGACCTCTTCAAGTTCAACAATGTGTGAGTAGCTGAAAGATACAAACACGTGCGAATCATTAAGCTCCTTCCATCCATGATGTTTCGCTAGCAACTTTGACCCACTTACGGAGACCTATGGGCTGTCGTTCTATACTCAGTACCTGGCCAAGTGGCCCGAGTATTTCCAGTTGGCCGAGTCGCCCAGCGGCCAGATAATGGGATACAGTAAGTATAGAAAAAATAGCGCGAAAATATCTTAACCATTGACATTGGCTTTAAGTTATGGGCAAGGTGGAAGGACACCTGGATAACTGGCACGGGCATGTGACCGCACTGACTGTATCACCCGATTACCGACGCCTCGGGCTGGCTGTGTTGCTTATGAACTTCCTGGAGGATATATCCGAGAAGTAACCATCTCCCGCAATAGTTCCTGGGCTACCACTGACCTACTCTTCCCATTATTTTAGAAAACGAGCATATTTTGTGGACTTGTTTGTACGCAAGAGTAACCAAGTGGCAATCAACATGTACAAAAATCTCGGCTACATAATATACCGGACGATACTTGAGTATTACTCGGGTGACCAGGACGAGGACGCGTATGGTAGGCCATAGAATAAGTTACACCATTTAGTTGAGATGTCTTACCTTTGAACCATTGCAGATATGAGAAAGGCGCTGTCGAGGGACGTGAACAAGAAATCGGTCATACCGTACACACAACCTGTACGACTGGAAGATATAGATATGAATTGATACGACTTCTATACCCAGTAGCGCCCACATCCGCATTTATGTCTAACAGATCCCGATATACCGTTTAAATGGGCGCGAGCGCATCAATTCGCTGCCCAGTTTACCTGTAAATAATCCGCAGTTCCACATCCTACCGCCCCAACCAATCCCGGTGGTCAATCATCAACTTAACGTTAGTCGCTGTCCTGCTTGCGAATTAAATTCCCAAAAAATATCCACACAATACTCTCATGCATATCACCAATCCCAAGAGATGTATTAATATGTCTGATCCATAACGAACTCGACCCGATTATTACCTATATAATTCAATTGACTTTGGAATTATTTAAAGATTTCTTAAGCCGATGAGTAAATAACCGTAATTGAAAGAATGTTCCACACTTTCGAAGGTAAATAACGTAAACGACACGTTTACATCAACATTTGTAAATGACAAAAAGTATCTAACGATCAACAGTATTCGAACAAATCAAACAAAATAATGTATCTAACGAATGTATCTAATAAATCTGAATGTTTCTTGCAGATAACGATGCGCGAACTGCGCCGACAAATGAGCCGAGATCACTGATACTGGGATACTGGACTCAATTGGATGGCCAAGGAGACATAAGAAAGCAACGTAGTTTACATTTGTTTAGTTTATCGGCCAGCCGATTCCAAATTATTTTATTTTTTTCTTCCCCCGTAACCATCCTCCTATTATAAAATATACATGTTAGAAATGAATTTTGAACTATTTTGGATACATTTTGGATATGAAAAGGGTTCTTTATCTTTGGAGTCGCAAACAAAATTCCAAAAATTAAAAAAAAGAAATAACTTTAATTAGAAAATACGTATTGAATTTATTGTTATAGGTTATATCTTAACGTGGTAGGGTACTAATCACTAATGGCGACCCCTGTTGTGAGCAATCCCCCCAAGGAACTCTCCTGGCAACCGTCGTTTAATCAATACTTTTGCAAATGTCCTGACCGCGATGGGTACGACTCCGTTGTGGGTTGAGTTAGTCTGCAAAAAATGGCAAAGAAGGGAGGAGTGCAACAGCTCCAGGCGGACCTCTCCACGGACGAGGAGTTTGAAAAGTTCCTGCTACGGTCGGGGCTACTGGGTATGCCTTATAATCTGTGTGTGGTGTGGGGACAAATGGGACTGGGGTTAACCGATAGCCTAACGCCTGTTCTTCCATCCGGTTCAGTGCTCGACATCTATTCGGAATGGTGCGGTCCGTGCCTGGGAATGGTGGGCAGCCTGCGGAAGATCAAGCTGGAGCTCGGCGGCGACAATCTTCAGCTGGCAATCGTAAGATGTCCGAGCATTCTACTGAATTCTGAGTATTCTTTTCCGAACTTCAGTGCAAGGCGGGCTCCATTTCCTACTTGGAGAGGTTCAACAAGAAGAGCGAGCCCACCTGGATGTTTGTGACGGTGAGTATGTACGAAGATTAGGACTGGTTCTTTGGGGAAAGGATGATCCACCATGCTAGTAAGTTTTCTCAACTTTTCAGAATGGAAAAGCCATCAACATTATGTTCGGCACTGACGTTCCCAAACTGGTGGCCATGATCACCCGTATGCTCCAGTCAACGATGGCCAAGGAGTCGCACTTTGGTTACGAGATCACCGAGCTCCAACCCATCGAGCTGGAGCAACAGGAGGAGCGCAACAAGGCGCTCCGGCTGGCCCAGGAAATAGAACTGGCCGAGAGCCGGCGGAAGCGGGTGGAGTACCTTAGCAGCGTCACAGACTGCATCATGGCCAATCTCCCGGATATCGGGATAACCGTGTTTGGGCCACAGGTCAACCGCGACATGTTCAAGAAGCTCTCAGAACCGGCCGATCCCCTCAAGATCCAGTGCAAGGATCGAAAGGTCTTCCCAATCACACCCAGTGACTTTGCCACCGTGAACTTTGCTGCAGAAAACCCACTGGCTCCGGAGGTCATCGAGCAGTTGTACGACAAGGAGCTGCTCATGTGCTTCTGGAAGGTCGAGGAGGTGCTCGGTACCCCACCCAGCGTGCTGCGTCAGTATGCCCACGAGCTCACCAAGGAGACGATCAAGCCGCCGGACGAGTTCAACGAAGAGGAGATCACAGTGCCGCCCATGATTGTTCCGCTGGAGATTACAGTGGAGTTTCCCGCGGAAGGTGAGTATGTCCCCCTAGTCTTGGTCCAACTGTATCTCTTTCGAATGTGCTTTATACAGATCCTGCTTCCGAGGAAGCTGTGGCGGAGGCTATGAAGCAGCATAGCGAGGAACAGAAGGACCCCGATTCGACTCCGAATGAAGGTGGGGCTGGCGATGAGGAGCCCGAGACTGATCCCGAACCGGCACCACCTCCGGAGCCCGAACAGGAGCAGCCGAAGAAGACCAAGATCGTCCGCATTCCTCCGATTTGGGTTCCCAGCGACCAGCGTACTCATGCGGCTCTCATCTACACGTACTTCCGGGGCCAGACCTCGGCCTTCCTGCCGCCGGATCCTGTGCCAGAACCCCCACACATTGTGATGACCTTCGACGCCTACAAGAAGAAGGATCTGGCCCTTATCCTCGAAACCTGCCGGGAGGACATTCCGCTGTATGGATTCTTCACCAGCGACAATCCACAAACAGCTGTCTTCATAGCCAACTCGGTGGAGAAGTACAATGCCAAGCCCTATGTGCCGTAAGTAGCTTCTTCTAACTAATCCTGCTTGATCCTGCAGATCCTTTCTAATTCCTATAACTTCCATTGCAGCACGGATAAGATTGTTTTGAAGGTCAACAAGGTCAACAGTGCCACCATCCCCACACTGAAAGCCTATGGCCCGAGTTATGTCAGTATCAACTCTGTGATCGGTCACAAGGAGGCCGTCCAGTTCTTCCCGGCGAACTACAAGTCCGCTCTGCAGGAAGAGGCCGAACTTCATGCTGTAAAAACCGAAAAGCCGAAGAAACGAAAGAAGGTATCGTGTTGAGTAGGATTTCTTCCTCAAGATATAAATATTTTAATCTATATTTTCTTTCTTTTTAAAGAACAAAAAGGGCGCTGAAGCCGAGGAAAGTGGGAAGCCGGATGCCGGGCTAACGGATGCGCAACAGGAGGCGGACGAGGCGGCAAAGACCTCTCCAGAGGAAGGTGCCTCCACCACGAGCAGTGGCGAGGACAGTTGCGAGAGCCGCCCTGCGACTGCCGATGGCGCCAACGCAGAAGGGGCACAGGCTACATAAAAGCATTATATTTGAATTTTTTAAAAATAGTATTTACTTAAAAAACATATTTTAAAGAAATCTAAAGCTTCTGTTCCAAAAATTATCAAAAATTATGTCGATTTTTTATTCCTGAAATATTTGGAAAAAGGGTAAACAAGATTACTTTATTTAAAAACAGAAACCGCTAATCCAAAAGCTTCATAATTTTGGATAACGTTTTTTTTAAACCTTGGCAGGTTTATGGATTTAAAAAAAATAGTAACAATATTTTCAAAAAAGCTTTCGATACTCCGATAAAGCTCATTCCAATTGACGCACTATCGATAACTTAATATCGGTTTTCTAGGAGAAGCAGCTGATTTTGTCACGAACGTGACGGCTTGGAGAAATAAATTGTATAATTGTGTATTAAAACTCAACTAATTTGGAAAGCATACCCATGGATACCAACCTGCGTAATGTATGCTACCCAATGCTTAAATCCCTTTCGGACCAATGCTGATATACTTCGTATCATTCCAGCTCAAGGACTTTCTTACATTATACAACAAAGTGACGGAGTTGTGCTTTAGCCGATGTGTGGATAACTTGAATCAACGGGAGCTAGGCGGTCAGGAGGTAAGTACCACCCCCATATTCCCATCTGCATGGCACGAAATACATTTCCTGATCCCGTTTAGGACGTCTGTGTGGACAGGTGTGTCACCAAGTTCGCTCGTTTCAACCAGAATATGATGAAGGCATATGTGGATGTGCAAACAACAATAAACGCCAAACGCATGGAAGAGGTGGAGGAGAACGCTCGTAAGGCGGAGCAGCAGCAAAGGGAGGAACGCCAGCGTGAGGATCAGCGCCTGAAAGAGGCCGGTTCAACAACGGTGCTGACACCAGTTCCGGCCAACGCTGCCGGCAACTTGCCCATGTAGCAGTTGGTCGCTCCGCAGCTGTTGTTCTCGATCCTAGATAGCTAATCTACTCCACCACGCACAGTCCCCAAAACCAAGAACACTTCTCTTTAATTACTTAAACCCCATGCCGCGCATCGCCCTGCTGGCGCTTATTGGCCTGCCGGGGGCGGGCAAATCCTCGCTCTGCAACTGGCTCGTGAGCCAACAAAGTGCCCATCGCGGCCGTTACATCGTCCACTTGTGCTATGATGACCTCCTCGACACCCGGCTGGCTTACAAAGACCAGCGCGCTCTTGTTTTCAGGATCCTCCAACAACTCATTTCCGCCATTCAAGATGCTGCTGAGTGGCCCGCTCAGGTACCACGAACTACCTCCTCCGACAGCAGCAACACAGACTACATAATATTGTGCGACGACAACTTCTACTACCGTAGTATGCGCTACAAACTCCATCAGCTTAGCCGTTCAGAGGGCTGCATTTACGGACAGATATACGTGGCCAGTTCGCTCTCGTCCTGTCTACAGAACAACTCTCAGCGCTGTGGAAACACTAGAGTGCCCGATCACGTAATCCGACAGATGCAAGACCGGCTGGAGCTGCCATCTTCAGCTGCCTGGGAATGCCAAACTCTTAAGATTTGCGACGTCAGCTCCGAATCAACACGCTTATCTGTAATGGGATTCATAGACACCCTGTTGGAAAGGGCTACGGGGGAGATGCCACAAGTGCCAGTGCAGTCACAGCCACACACACAGTCTACGGCTCACCAGCTGGACCTGTTACTGCGGGCCCGCATAAAGACAATAATGGAAGGACTAACCGAACCGGGCGAAAAACAAGAGGCGAGCGGTCGATTGAACGGGCAGCGTAAGCAAATACTGACGCATTTCCGAGCGGAGGATGACGGCATGCAGACAGACTTGAATTGCTACGTAAAATTGTTAAATTAAGCTAAGGATAGACTAAATCGTTTGTATGCAACACTTTCACACAGTGATAAATACACAGCCATGTACATATTCGTTAGTTGTACTAGAACTAGATTTATTTAGGCAAAAAATACACGTTAAACACTAGGGGGAAGTCGTCCTGCCGCATCTTAGACCACCTTGACTTGGCTGATGTCACGCTTCTCGATCATGCGCATCTGCTTCTTCTTCATGCGCTTCAGCTTTGCCGGATTCTTGATCACCTGGACGACCTCCGAGCGTCGCTCGTTGGCCAGGCGACGTTCTGCGTTCTCCACGCGTCGCTGGTGACGCTGCACGGCGGCTTCTTTCCGTTGGTCCTTGATCTCTTTGGATTTTTCCTTAATGTAGCGCAGTTCGTTGCGAAGAGCAGTTTTCTTCTCGAAAGTGGCTCGGTTGATGGTCTTTTTGATCTTGCTGAATCTGGAAGGAAGGATTATGTGTTATGTTTCCATGCTTCATATCTTTGATGCACTTACTTCTGTTTGGGGGTCTTCCAGGGCCGATTGGATTTGGGCTGCCCGCGTGGTATACTGGCCTCTGGCTTGGCGGCTTTCTTGGATTTTGCCTTTGGCTTCTCAGGCGCAGATCCTTCGGCAGGAGTAGTTTGGATTGGAGCCTTTGTTTTAGTCATTTCGCTAAGATGTTGTCTAAATACAAACAAAACGCAACACACGTGTTACCTGCCAGTCTATCGATAGTTCGTAACATATGTTTCGTGAGGCTATCGATTTCGATAACACTTTCGTGTGGCGCGTAGAATATAATTTGAATTTCTATTGCAAAATATCTTTTGAAAAATTTAATTCTTTTATGTATATAACATTTTTAATTCTCGAAACATATATGGGAAAACCCCATTTTCAAGGGATCCATCAGGAAAAATGGACAAAAAATCGAAAAAATATTTTGTCTCAGGATTTTGATGCAGAATGGTGAAGAATCGATCCACAAATCGTTTAAGGTACTCCGCTTGAGAATCGGATAAGAATTGGGAAAGATATAGCCATCCCCTTGGCCCTATAGGGAAAAACCCAATTTTCAAGGGGTCCATCAGGAAAAATGGACAAAAAATCGAAAAAATATTTTGTCTCAGGATTTTGATGCAGAATGGTGGAGAATCGATCCACAAATCGTTTAAGGTACTCCGCTTGAGAATCGGATAAGAATTGGGAAAGATATAGCCATCCCCGTGGGCCCTACAGGGAAAACCCTATTTTCAAGGGGTCCATCAGGAAAAATGGACAAAAAATCTAAAAAATATTTTGTCTCAGGATTTTGATGCAGAATGGTGGCAAATCGACCCAGAAATCGTTTAAGATACTCCGCTTGAGAATCGGATGAGAATTGGGGAAGATATAGCCATCCCCGTGGGCCCCATAGGAAAAAACCCCATTTTCAAGGGGCTCATCAGGAAAAATGGACAAAAAATCGAAAAAATATTTTGTCTCAGGATTTTGATGCAGAATGGTGAAGAATCGATCCACAAATCGTTTAAGGTACTCCGCTTGAGAATCGGATAAGAATTGGGAAAGATATAGCCATCCCCTTGGCCCTATAGGGAAAAACCCAATTTTCAAGGGGTCCATCAGGAAAAATGGACAAAAAATCGAAAAAATATTTTGTCTCGAGATTTTGATGCAGAATGGTGGAGAATCGATCCACAAATCGTTTAAGGTACTCCGCTTGGGAATCGGATGAGAATTGGCCAAGATATAGCCATCACTCTGGGCCCTATAGGAAAAACCCCATTTTCAAGGGGTCCATCAGGAAAAATGGACAAAAAATCGAAAAAATATTTTGTCTCAGGATTTTGATGCAGAATGGTGGAGAATCGATCCACAAATCGTTTAAGGTACTCCGCTTGGGAATCGGATGAGAATTGGGGAAGATATAGCCATCCCCGTGGGCCCTATAGGGGAAAACCCCATTTTCAAGGGGTCCATCAGGAAAAATGGACAAAAAATCTAAAAAATATTTTGTCTCAGGATTTTAATGCAGAATGGTGGAGAATCGATCCACAAATCGTTTAAGGTACTTCGCTTGAGAATCGGATGAGAATTGGCCAAGATATAGCCATCACTGTGGGCCCTACAGGGAAAAACCCAATTTTCAAGGGGTCCATCAGGAAAAATGGACAAAAAATCGAAAAAATATTTTGTCTCAGGATTTTGATGCAGAATAGTGGAGAATCGATCCACAAATCGTTTAAGGTACTCCACTTGAGAATCGGATGAGAATTGGCCAAGATATAGCCATCACTGTGGGCCCTACAGGGAAAAACCTAATTTTCAAGGGGTCCATCAGGAAAAATGGACAAAAAATCGAAAAAATATTTTGTCTCAGGATTTTGATGCAGAATGGTGGAGAATCGATCCACAAATCGTTTAAGGTACTCCGCTTGGGAATCGGATGAGAATTGGGGAAGATATAGCCATCCCCGTGGGCCCTATAGGGGAAAACCCCATTTTCAAGGGGTCCATCAGGAAAAATGGACAAAAAATCGAAAAAATATTTTGTCTCGAGATTTTGATGCAGAATGGTGGAGAATCGATCCACAAATCGTTTAAGGTACTCCGCTTGAGAATCGGATGAGAATTGGCCAAGATATAGCCATCACTGTGGGCCCTACAGGGAAAAACCTAATTTTCAAGGGGTCCATCAGGAAAAATGGACAAAAAATCGAAAAAATATTTTGTGCCAGGATTTTGATGCAGAATAGTGGAGAATCGATCCACAAATCGTTTAAGGTACTCCACTTGAGAATCGGATAAGAATTGGGGAAGATATAGCCATCCCCGTGGGCCCTATAGGGGAAAACCCAATTTTCAAGGGGTCCATCAGGAAAAATGGACAAAAAATCGAAAAAATATTTTGTCTCGAGATTTTGATGCAGAATGGTGGAGAATCGATCCACAAATCGTTTAAGGTACTCCGCTTGAGAATCGGATGAGAATTGGCCAAGATATAGCCATCCCCGTGGGCCCTATAGGGAAAAACCCAATTTTCAAGGGGTCCATCAGGTAAAATGGACAAAAAATCTAAAAAATATTTTGTGCCAGGATTTTGATGCAGAATAGTGGAGAATCGATCCACAAATCGTTTAAGGTACTCCACTTGAGAATCGGATGAGAATTGGCGAAGATATAGACATCCCTGTGGGCCCTATAGGGAAAACCCCATTTTCAAGGGGTCCATCAGGAAAAATGGACAAAAAATCGAAAAAATATTTTGTCTCAGGATTTTGATGCAGAATGGTGGAGAATCGATCCACAAATCGTTTAAGGTTCTTCGCTTGAGAATCGGATGAGAATTGGCCAAGATATAGCCATCCCCGTGGGCCCTATATGGAAAACCCCATTTTCAAGGGGTCCATCAGGAAAAATGGACAAAAAATCGAAAAAATATTTTGTCTCAGGATTTTAATGCAGAATGGTGGAGAATCGATCCACAAATCGTTTAAGGTACTCCGCTTGAGAATCGGATGAGAATTGGCGAAGATATAGACATCCCTGTGGGCCCTATAGGGGCAAACCCCATTTTCATGGGGTCCATCAGGAAAAATGGACAAAAAATCGAAAAATATTTTTGTCTCAGGATTTTGATGCAGAATGGTGGAGAATCGATCCACAAATCGTTTAAGGTACTCCGCTTGGGAATCGGATGAGAATTGGGGAAGATATAGCCATCCCCGTGGGCCCTATAGGGAAAACCCCATTTTCAAGGGGTCCATCAGGAAAAATGGACAAAAAATCGAAAAAATATTTTGTCTCAGGATTTTGATGCAGAATGGTGGAGAATCGATCCACAAATCGTTTAAGGTTCTTCGCTTGAGAATCGGATGAGAATTGGCCAAGATATAGCCATCACTGTGGGCCCTACAGGGAAAAACCCAATTTTCAAGGGGTCCATCAGGAAAAATGGACAAAAAATCGAAAAAATATTTTGTCTCAGGATTTTGATGCAGAATGGTGGAGAATCGATCCACAAATCGTTTAAGGTACTCCGCTTGGGAATCGGATGAGAATTGGGGAAGATATAGCCATCCCCGTGGGCCCTATAGGGGAAAACCCCATTTTCAAGGGGTCCATCAGGAAAAATGGACAAAAAATCGAAAAAATATTTTGTCTCGAGATTTTGATGCAGAATGGTGGAGAATCGATCCACAAATCGTTTAAGGTACTCCGCTTGAGAATCGGATGAGAATTGGCCAAGATATAGCCATCCCCGTGGGCCCTATAGGGAAAAACCCAATTTTCAAGGGGTCCATCAGGAAAAATGGACAAAAAATCTAAAAAATATTTTGTGCCAGGATTTTGATGCAGAATAGTGGAGAATCGATCCACAAATCGTTTAAGGTACTCCACTTGAGAATCGGATAAGAATTGGGGAAGATATAGCCATCACTCTGGGCCCTATAGGGGCAAACCCCATTTTCAAGGGGTCCATCAGGAAAAATGGACAAAAAATCGAAAAAATATTTTGTCTCGAGATTTTGATGCAGAATGGTGGAGAATCGATCCACAAATCGTTTAAGGTACTCCGCTTGAGAATCGGATGAGAATTGGCCAAGATATAGCCATCCCCGTGGGCCCTATAGGGAAAAACCCAATTTTCAAGGGGTCCATCAGGAAAAATGGACAAAAAATCTAAAAAATATTTTGTGCCAGGATTTTGATGCAGAATAGTGGAGAATCGATCCACAAATCGTTTAAGGTACTCCACTTGAGAATCGGATAAGAATTGGGGAAGATATAGCCATCCCCGTGGGCCCTATAGGGGAAAACCCCATTTTCAAGGGGTCCATCAGGAAAAATGGACAAAAAATCGAAAAAATATTTTGTCTCAGGATTTTAATGCAGAATGGTGGAGAATCGATCCACAAATCGTTTAAGGTACTCCACTTGAGAATCGGATAAGAATTGGGGAAGATATAGCCATCACTCTGGGCCCTATAGGGAAAACCCCATTTTCAAGGGGTCCATCAGGAAAAATGGACAAAAAATCGAAAAAATATTTTGTCTCAGGATTTTGATGCAGAATGGTGGAGAATCGATCCACAAATCGTTTAAGGTACTCCGCTTGAGAATCGGATGAGAATTGGCGAAGATATAGACATCCCTGTGAGCCCTATAGGGGCAAACCCCATTTTCATGGGGTCCATCAGGAAAAATGGACAAAAAATCGAAAAAATATTTTGTCTCAGGATTTTGATGCAGAATGGTGGAGAATCGATCCACAAATCGTTTAAGGTACTCCGCTTGAGAATCGGATTCGAATTGGGGAAGATATAGCCATCCCCGTGGGACCTATAGGGAAAAACCCCATTTTCAAGGGGTCCATCAGGAAAAAAGGACAAAAAATTTAAAAAATATTTTGTCTCAGGATTTTGATGCAGAATGGTGGCAAATCGATCCAGAAATCGTTTGAGGTACTCCGCTTGAGAATCGGATAAGAATTGGGGAAGATATAGCCATCCCTGTGGGCCCTATGGGGGGAAACCCCATTTTCAAGGGGTCCTTGAAATCAGTCTAGTCACTAAAAACAAACCAGTGAAATTAAATACAAATTTCTTGATTTAAAAATTATATTTTTTCATTCTCTGAACATATTTAACAAATATTATAGCCAATATTTACAGCCAAAACTGTTTATAATGTGCGATTATGACTTTTGGGGAACCGGGATTGTTCCGCCATTATTCAGAAACCGAAAAATTCGTGGATGCAGTGTCAGTACCAGCCTCTTCTTATTTTAATGCCGAAATGTAGAGGAATCTTGGTGGGAATTGACCGGTTTGTCGGGACTACTGTTTCCAAACTGAGAAAAACAGATAATTTTTGATTCACTTAACAATTTAACAATGGCGAGGGGGTCGCCAATACCAGGCCAACGATGCCTGCCCTCCTATTTCCTGGCAACTTTGGCATTAATTTACATATTTACATCAATTCACGGGGACAACGATACGGGCTCTAGTCGAATTTTGCTCGACCTCCCGCACCCACCTGGGCCGTGGGATTGTGACGGTTGTGCTGGTCGATGTTGTAGTGATAAAAGAATGATTTCCCGTACTCGAACGATGATATCATGATAGCGCAGGCAGGTGCCACTTTGAAGAGTCGAGGGCCCAGTCCGGCAAAGATAGCAGGAATACCGCCCAGGCGGTAAATGCTGGCCAGGCGCGACATCACCGATTGGGTGGCCATTTGTTTGGGTGGATTATCTGCCGTAATGCAAACCGAACCATTGTGAATGTGTGAATGCGATTGTGAGCCGGTGGCGGCAAGTTGGGCAGCCAGGAGCCTACCTGAGAATATGAACTTTTCGCCAAACTCAATCTGTTCATGAGTTTTGACAACGTCAAAGGGTGTGGTAATAGTGGCGGCCATCTATAATTATGAATATGAAGGACAATTAAGGATGTACAGTGTGTGGCAGAAAAGTATGCTCACCGATCCCGCAATAGCTCCAGCTGCAAAGCTAAATCCAAACGTCGGCTCCACCACGTTGAAGGTACTCTTGAGGAACTCATAGCAAGTCCAGTAGATGCCTGAGAACGGTACGTCGCGCAGAATTGTTGGCGGTAGGCCGCGCCACAGACCTAAAATGCCCTGGGATTGCACCACCTGGCGGACGGTGCCTAACATCTCCGCGTGCGTCATGCGCTGTGATTGCATCTTGGTGCGAATCAGCTCGACGGGACTGACGCAGGTCACTGCCAGGATGCGGGCTGTAACGCCCGCTAGCATAGGAACTAGCATCGGTATCGGGAGTGGAATGTCGGACGCAGTCTCCAGGCGAACTGCGTCTAGTTGACTTAGGTACTTGTAGTGGAACTCTGTGAAGCGGGCCTTGAACTGCTCGTAGGCCACAAAATAGATGATGGTGGATGGCAGTGCCGAAATAAGCGTCGGACTCAGCCCTGACCAGAGGGAACCGAGACCTTCGCTACGGCTGATCTTAATGAACGCATCCTGATGCATAGACTCTCGATTATATAAGGGCCGATCTCAAAAACATATAGCAGTACTCACAATTGTGCCAGAAAAGCGGGGAGATGGTTTTGAGGGAGCGGGAGTGGGTGTGTCCGGCCCGCATGGACAAATGTGATCCATGAGGCCGTTGCAGTATAGAAAGCATTTCTTTGATAGCAGTGCCTGCTGCTGTGCTTGCATTCGAGTCTTGATGACGTCCAGCGGAGTCACTATAAAGTCAGGATAAGCTGGGAAAGCTTTTGTATAAAGGTTTATGTTACTTACTGAAGCAAGCTGTCATCATGGCGCCGGAACAGGCGGAGGCCACTTGCTGTAAAGGTCGGATGCGAAACCGGGGGTCTGTCATCGTGGCCTTGGGCTGGCCCGTACACGAATTCCCGGCCATGGTATCGCACTTGGTCTTGCCGGAGCACGTGCTAGCGGGAGCCTCGGTAAGCTGTGGAAGGCGATGAGTTGTGATAAGTTGCTATCCACTTGTGATGCTATAATCGAAAAGGCTTAATTAGGCAAGCTCCTCGATCATTGTGAAATAGTCTCCAGATCAAAAAAAAAAAAAAAACACCTATTCCGTTGCCGCTACCATTGACCAGCGATCAGCTGTTTTCAAAGTGGTGAGCTCTTGTCCGTGACACGCAAAAGAGATAGCAACTATCGATAACAGTCGCGGCGACGGTCACATAAAAATATAACGTATCTTTTGAATTCAAAAGAATTTTTTTTAAATAATTCTTTGGTGACTTTCCAAATGAATATCCAGAAAGCAAATCGTATGATATATGATATATGATGTATTTTTAGCTTTGAATGTAAAGTCCAAAACTATGAGATCTAAGTAAAGGCTTGCAAGTCGATTGAAAACCAAAAGCCAATATTGTTGGACATAATTATAAAGTATAACTTACCTAAATTTCTTTAGTATACTGTGTAGACCTTACCTGCTTCCTTGAGATCCAGATTGTGGTGAAAGAAGAATGATTTACTATACTCAAACGTGGAAATCATAATGGCACAGGCGGGAACAACGCGCAACATCCTCGGCATGACTCCCACATATAATCCTCCAACGCCCTGCTTCCTGTAGATGTGTTTCAGGCGGGAGAACACCGACGGCTTGGCGGTGATTTTTGAGGACGACCGTGGTGCATTTTTTCCGCCGGAAATGCCATCTCCACCCTCGTAAAGAACATCCTGGCCAAGCTCTATCTGCGTGTGCGTGGTGATCAGATCGAAGGGCATCGTCACCATAGTAGCCATCTGAAAGGAAAGACACGGGGGACTCATGCAGTATACTCATGCACGAAGGCTTATCCCTACCCACCGTTCCGGATATGGCGCCCGCAAAGAAACTGAACAAAAACGAAGGTTCCGTGACATTAAAGGTTCGTTTTATAGACTCGTACGCCGCCCAGTATGTACCGGAGAAGGGGGCATCTCGCATGATGGTGGGCGGCCAGCCGCGCCACAGTCCCAGCACGCCGTGTTGCCGGATGAGGGAGCGCACCACTCGCCACAGCTCCGCGTATGTCATGACCTGGGATTGCATCTTAATGCGGACCATTTCGATGGGTGTGATGGCCGTCACCACGATCGTTCGCGAGAAGATTCCCGAAGCCATGGGCACAAAGTAGGGCAGCGCCAGGCCCGAGGGCGCCATCGTTTCCATGGTATTCCCCCTGGCAGCGTTCGGATCCCTCCTGGAGCCAGTGTGGATCTCACGCGGCTTGTCCGCCCGATCTGCATCTTTCTCCGAAGACATCAGGTATAGGGACGAAAGGGAGTTCTTCAGGTACTCGTAGGTCACGAAATAGATAATCGTCGAGGGCAGGGCCGACACCAATGTGGGACTGAGACCTGCCCACAGACCGCTAAAGCCATTGCCACAAATAATCTTAAAAAATGCATCCTACAAAGGGAGTATGTTGAGTTGGGTCAGGACAGAGGAATACCATTGGTTTACCATCGAACCGCGATGGGGTCGCAGGTTGCGGAGATCACGACCTTTCTTGGGAACACAAGTGTCACAGGAACGGCACACGTGGGTCATCAGGCCGTTGTGAAAGACGTAGCACAGCTTGGAAACGGTTGGACGCTGACGGACGGTGTGCTGGGTCTGAACCCGTGTCTTGACCACCTCCAGAGGAGTCACTGCAAGCGGCGGAGAACTCTGAAGGACTCTAAGGATACTCCGAGTAAGAGCCACTCACCCACGAATGTTGTGATTAGTCCACCTATTAGGGCAGACATGACCTGTTGCATGGGCTTGATGCGGTATCTGGGATCTGCGTTCAGGATCACTGTGGGTAGACGCAACGGATCCTCCTCCTCCTCCCCGGCCGCCTTTTGTTTACCGTCTTTGCCGTGGGAGCGGCCATCTTTCCGGCTACCGGACAGTGGCCGGAAAAAATTCTTCGGTGACATTTCTCACTTGCAATATCCGTAGTGGGCTAGCTCCTTGAGAGAAGTGGGTTTGTAATTACAGGTAGGTTAGAGGCAGCAAAACGACAAGATCTCTGGTTCTCGAAAACGACATCCCTGAACAACACCTTTAATTTTGTAAGTAATGGTCGAGCCCGTAGTGTTGTTTAGCCCGGAAAAGTGTTTTTTTTTCCGAACATACACTAAAGTGGGCAAAAAATAATTTTGAGTGGAACGTCAAAAGTCACTAACTTTTGACCTATAGAACATAAGGAGAGAACTGTAATAGATATAGGGATTTCTTATAAAGATTCTATCTATAATAAGAACACTGTAGATCTAAAGATTTCATTCAATTCTCCCACAATATTTCTTCAAATTGAGGAGATTATAGTAAAAAATATAATCTCTCTATGATATCATAATCTTAAACTCTTCCAGAATCCTTAAAAGAAAACTCAACCATTATCCGTAATTCCAAAAAATTGTTTATTCAAATTTATGCTCAAGACACATTTCTTATAATTTGAGTGAAGAAATCATACGAAGAGGAGCCCAGGATCGAGATATATATTTTAAGAATCCTTGAGACAGGATCATAAAATATAGGAAAGGAAAGGAAACCAATGCGGGGACAACTACGACAAAATTGATTACGTTTAATGTAAAATTATAAATATGAATTAAATTAATCAAATTTAATAATAACTTGAATTATATTTAAGTTAATTATGAGTAGTAAGTCAGTAACATAGTTTAGCTTCATAATTCAAAACCAATAAAAAAAAAAATAATAATTAATTAATCATTTAGATAGGATAGTCCAATATGTATGTATGATGTAGGTAATCTGTTTTTTTTTTATTTTATTTTTTTTTTTATCGCCCAAGCCTCGGCCTCCGTCTCCGTTTCCGTTTCCGTTTCTGCCTCCGCCTGTGTCGATCGGTGGTTTTGGAGATGTCATCCTCTACTTGTGGGCGATGGGAATCAGTGTTTCGCCGGCGGTGAGAGCTGGCAATGGGGCATCAACGGTCAGGACACCGTCCTTGCTGAGGGACGAGCGAATCGACTCGGGATTAACGCCCTTGGGCAGCAGGAACTCCCGGTTGTACTCCCTGTAGACGCTCTTTGTGTCCGACTTCTCCTCGTGCTTGGCGTGCACCTAAAGATCAAGAAAGGACATTCAGTTAGGAGGTCTAGAAAGGATCTAGAAGGTATTCTAATCTTACCAAGAGCTTCTGGTCAACGGTCTTCACAACAATCTCCTCGGGGGCGTATTGGCTGACATCGAAGCGCAGTTTCAGGACCTTGTTGTCGCCCTCATCCTGCAGGAAGAGTATACAGGTTAGTGGATTCAACTAAGAGTTGGATTAGATAGCACCTACCTGGATCAAGGGTGAGCTGATGTCGGAGACATAGTTCTGTTGTTTGGGGATTCGCGATGGCAGGGCCGAATTTGTCGTTGAGCTGCAAGGACATCAAGTTTAGAGGTTAAAGGTTAATACATCAAAAGATAAAGAACTAAAATCATATCACAAATGACTTAAATCAAAAAAGTTATACACAATGGGGGGGGAAGGAGGTAGTGGGATCACCTAGTGGTGGAGGTATTGGTGGTTGTGGTGGTGCTGGTCGTGGTCCTGGTGCTGCGAAAGGTTTTTTGCAAAGTGCGTGTAAAGGCCTCCATTTCTAAGACTATCTAGGATGCGACTGATCCCGAAGACGAGCTCCACTAAAGTGTCTACGAGGAGAGCTGTGGTGCGTGCTTGTGAGTTCCATCCCGGGATTGCACTTAAAAATAGACACCCGACATCCGTTTCGGAGCGGTGTTTATGGCTCTACAAGGAAGCAGCTGCCAGCCAGTCCCCCATTCTTGACACACTAAAACATGTGATCTATTTATATAAACATTCCCCATAAAACATCATTTCCCTCTTACAGACGGCCCGGAATAAGGGCATCCCATATGGGATGGTTGCCAAAGAACATAGCCCTCGCCCCCAAAAAGACGGGGTTCCTGTCATCTTTCATAGATCTTTGCAGCAACCCTGTTTGAGTAAGTGCATCCAGTAAGGGGTGGTACTATACATATGTACTATATATATATTTATAGTTCGTGTGCCAAGATCTAAATAGACTTGTTTTCATCTCGAAGACATTTATTTTTATGTTTCTTAGTGGAGTTATACCATCGATATTTGGGGATTTTCTGAAGCTATGTTTATTTTTTAAAGGTTTAACTTTAAGAATTCCAATATTCTGAATGAAATAATTATGTAGCCCATTTTTCAGACACATTTCCCTAAAAAATGATCTTATAATTCTAATATGCTTTGGTTTTCCATGATTTTTGAATAGATTGGTTATCCTTTTTAGTAGGGATATTTAAGATATGATACAATAGTTAAAAAAAACTACTCAAACACTACAATAACACAACTCATAATTAGATACAAAGAAAAGAAAAAGATACTTTTGGGTACAAAGATTAAAAAAAGGAAATTATAATTGGTGCGGAAGTACAAACCAAAAAAAAAGAAGAACATTTTAGTTGGTATACATTTTAGTTATTTTTTTTGTACCTGGTTGTTGTTGTTGTTTTTTTAGTAGAGCTTTTATATATTTATTTATTTATTTTTTTTTAGATAGGAGAGAAGATTATTATAGTATTGAAATAATTGCGGTTGATTATCGTATTCCAAGCAGCAGGGAAGAGAATAGAGAGAAATAGAGGGAAAAGTTATTTATTAAAAAAGGTAATAAAGGTATCTTACAAGAGCATAGGCATTATTACAGGGTATCAGAGTATCAGAGTGATTTAATTCCCGAATTTAACGATAAGAGTGTGCACCTGTTTCCCCCTCCCTCCCGGAAAGAGAGCACGTGTAGCTTTGTGTGTGTGTGATAGAAGAGCCAGCTAGCGTGGCGTCGACCTTGCCTTCTGCAGTGGGAGTTGCGAGGGCGTTGATCGGTGAGGTTGGAGCCGAAAATCAATACCCACACCGGCCACTGGCCACGCTAATGGCTTATTTCAATAACCGTTAGGAGAGAGAGAGACAAGGCCAGACACAACAAGACCCCAAGAACCCCAAGTCTCCTGCGTTTCTACTCCCACTTCCACATGCGCTCCCTGGCTCTCTCTCTCTTTCGGTGTTTAGTTCCTGTCTCTCGACCCCCCGCCCCCCGTCCCCCTTTTGGCACGTATCACGCCGCCAGTGTGTACATACATATATGTGTGTGACTATATCTCTCTGGCATCTGATGACGATGATGTCATGCATATTTTTTCGTTATTGAAAAGCCAAACCGAGGAAACCGAAGAACAAAACGAAAATAAACACGAAATATAGAAACGAGAACAAGCACAAACACAAAATGTTGGCTCTTTTGTTTGCTAGACCCGTTATATACAATATAAACGGTATATGTATGTCTGTGTTGACAGAAGTTTGAAATCAATTATCGATTACTGGTATTAGTGATGACATGTCACTGATCACTATTATCGAATCTCAAAGATAGCCATCTTTTCCGGTGAAATGCAATCACGATCGCTGATCCGCTGATCAGAAATCTAAAAACTGTCAATGATATCATCTTCGGTTTGCTCATTATAATTATCAGCATCCCGCCGGCGCAGCGTAACCAAATAAATGGCCCGGCCTGGCGTGTATCTCATCATTCACTCCACTATAGGAATTTGCATGTGTTGGGATCGGTGTGAGAAAGCTTTTCGCACACTATAGTGCGCCCCCAATCGCTATTTGCATGATAAATAGATATTTGTTCAGCGCACTTGTTTGTTTAAACTACAAAAACACACACTCGAACACTCGAACCCACGAATATTCAAATAACAGCATCCCCACCCACGCGCAAGGCCAATCAGCGAGGCTATAAATCCGCCAGATCGATCATATTGCCAATATATAGTGTTTTTGCACTAGATTTGAGTGAAAAAACAGATGCCTGTATCTGTGGGTATTGGATTTAATCTGATTTAATCGGATATCTATGATAAATACCCCTAATAGTTGCAGAAAAAAAATATTAAATAAAGATGCCAACTGTCGTCTCAAATCACATGACATTTTTGGGAGAACAAGGAATGCAAATAGAAATTAGGAAAAATATGCAAAATAGACATACATACATACGTGTATGTACAGTGTGTACATAACAACAAAAGTATAGTGTGTCCCCATTCTCTAGTGATGCAACTATGATTTCAAATATTTTTGAGTTTGTTTTTTTTTTTAAAAACTATCTAATAATAAATCTTTATTTTGTTTCTTTGTCTGCCAATATTAAAGTCTAAGAATGCCTAGTATAATGGTAGGTTTATTGGCAATACTTTGGCCCTCTGACTCATTCAGTCCGAGGCGCATTAATCGTAGATGTCAAAGGTCGCGAGGTGGGAGGTGGGAGGAGGACGCTACGCATCGATAATTGTTTGGGTTTGCCAGAGGCACCTCTACCTGTATAAACAGGTGCTTCTGTTGGCCAGCAATTTGGGTTAATTTCCTTCGGCTGCCAACTTTTAGCTGGAAATCCGAACTTTGGCAATATAGTAAAGTGAAATGGGGGGGTGATGGGGAATAGAAACTTTGTCATGGTCTGGCCTCCCAATCATAGCAGGACTTGGTGTCGTAGTTGTGGGCTTTGGTTGGCCTCGAAATGGGGAGGCAAAACTTTCATGTTGTGGCCATGCAAATTCAGTGGCAACCAGGGCAACCAGGACACCTTTTAATTGGTATATTTAAGCCTTAAATATCTCCACAAAAAATCCCTATATATTGTTTTTAAAACTCTAAAAATTTATCCAAAAAAATTGGATAAGAAATCGGTTTGATTATGTCATAGGCCGAGGTCGTCAAAACAGTAACCACAACAGCTCTGTTGGCACAGCACAGCCTCGAGTGGAGCGAGCGGAGGAGCTATACCCCCCACCATTGGCGCCCACGCAACGCCACCGCCAAGTGGCACCCGCCAAGTTGATTGAGAGGCGCGACGAGGCGCGCAACCGCGACAGCGGACAGCGACCGAGACGACGTAATTTGTGCCGTGTATTCCGAACATTGTCTTGTTTATCGAGCAAATATTTGGACCATAAACCCCACCGGGGCCCCAATGGCTGCACACCGAATACACACACACACACACACACACAAACCGAGACACGGCACAGGTGAGCGGGCGAAGATCCCTCCCCAAGAAAAGATCTATGTCGGAAAAAATTCCGTTATGCCCCATATAACGGTTGCATAAAGATGGGGAGATGGGGCTGGCGAGGGTGTCGGACACCGGGAGAAGGTGTCGGAACAGAGATACATGTGTTTTCTTGGGTCGGAGACAGAGCCAGACGTAGTAGAAATTAGAACCAGTGACTCATCCTCACCAGAAAAGTATCTAGGGCGGTGTGTTTGTGTGTATTTGTATCTGGTATTTGCTCCTCCAGGCCATCAGCGGCCAGGCGGTGTGTGTGGCAAGATGTATGTACATACATACGCCTCTATATTTAACCACAGCCGCGAAAGACTTATGAGATGATCCAACCCACAGAAAGTCCAACGAAAAAACCAAAACCTAATCTCCCCGAACGAAAAACTGTCAATTCACCCAATCGGTGGGTAGCGATGATAGCGCTCTCTGTTGGCAACCGAAGTCCAATTAAATGATTAAGACTCACCTGGTGGACTCGAAGAAGTTGGCCTCACGGTTCATCAGCTCGTGACGGAACTTGGCCATCTCCTCCTCCATTTTACGCATCTCGGAATCGAAACGTTCGCGGATGTTACTGAACTCCGTATCGATGACACTGAAGTCGCCCAGCTTGATGGGGATATTCCTCTTGTTAGCCTCGGCCATTATATCTGTGATTTGGTAAGTGCTACTGGGGGGGGGCGGCAGTGGTGGCGGTTATATTTGGTGGTGGATGGCTGATGGCTAATGGCTAATGGCTTTCCTTTGAAAAGCACACACTTGGTACGTTCTATACGTTCTGTTTTGTTCTGCTCGACGCGCTTTCGAGCCGTTCACTCGTTCACTTGCTAATCGTCGAAGCAACCAAAAAACAACAAAAAAAACTGGGTAGTACAAAATGTATCTTCTAAATGTATCTGCGCCTCAAGACGTTCGGTTCGCACAGTTTGCCGCGTTTCTGGTTTCTGTTTCTTCTCTTCTCTGGGAGTGGACGCTTTTATACAGCGGTTCGGCCGCAAGAGCTATATGGCGTCGGAGAGCGTTGCACAGTGGTTGTTATCAATCGAAGAAATTATAATAATTTTAATATTAATCAAGTGCTTATTCTAAAAGCCATTTAAGAATTTGTTAAACTAGTTTATAGTTTAAATTAATTTTAATACAACTTATTAACTAAACATTTGTTTAAATATTCTTTAAATATTTTTGAATTAGAACTGAAACTGTTTTTTAAGATCTTTATATTTGAGAAGTTTTTTCTTGAATACTTTATCTTATTTAAATTATTTAAATTTTAATCTAAATTCATTTGTGTTTGTACTATATATCTTTTATAATGATTAAGATATTATTATATATATTTACCTATAACCACTGGAATCTTATTTTGTTCCCTATATTTTATCTTATAAATCAAATAATAAAACTTAAACCTTTACAATATTTACAACTTTTATTCTTTTATAAGAAAGCCATAACAATTATTATTATTTATATATTAAACCCTAAATAAAATGGAATTTAAAGTGCCCAAATATCGCGAAATCGAACCACTGTACCCTACCTAAAGAGAGCACTGGCACCCAAGCACGCACACTCCCAGCCCGCTCTTGCTCTCTTTCCGGCAATATACCCTACTCTCTGAAATGGGGCTTGCTAAGTTATTGGTTATGTTTGTGCATAATGTTGTTTCTTTAATCAAAATAAAGTTTTTTAGGACATCTTTGATATCATGAATGGCCCAGAACTAATTCATTCACCACCCACTGGTGCGTCATGGGCTTCTACGCTCATTCAAAAAATAGGTCCGATGCGTCAACATTTGGTTATTGTAACTGCATATTGACTTACAAACATAGATGTGTATACACTGGCCACTTTCGGACATTGTGTAATATTTTCATTTTTGCCCTTCAGTTTAGTTTTTGAACTTGAAGTTTAAATAGTTTTAAGACCATAAATTATATATAGTGTATACATTTTTAAACCTTTGGTTTTTAGAGTTTCGTACTTATATTTTCTTTATAGTTTTTTTACTTTTGAAATTTTATAGTTTTTGAATGTTTTTTAAAATGTTACCCACTATAATTTCAGGTTCTGAGAAGTCCTAAAGTATCTTTTTGAGTTTTATTCAGTTTCATCATCAAATAATCTATTTATAGAACAAAGATACATCATAAAATAGACTTAAATGTACAAGTTTCTCAATTAAATAAACAAAATAATGCTGTGAAAGGGTATTTGAATCCAATAAAAACCAAAATATACAATATAATATTATATTAAAGTGGGCGAAAGAACTCCAATCCCGGCTTGAAGGTGACCAAACTTTGAATGTGCAACTGCAGTTTCCCGGAACTGCATCTAGTTCCGGAACCTCAGCTTCAAGCGGATGGGGGGGAGGAGGAGGGTTTTCGCTGACGTGTACAGTACAGAAATCGGGTGGGTGGAATCAAAAGTGACTGTGGAAGGTGGCCGGATAAAAATTTGAACCGGTTCGAGATCAACGCTTTTGCACCGTTTTTGGGATTGTGGCGCGAACGAGAGATGATTTGTAACACCGCCAGTGTCGATGGGTCCACAAATTAGCCCCAGTGGGCGGAACGTTGGCGTCCCATAATCGTATATACGTCCCACGACCCCCTCCCCAGCAGTTTGTTTGTAAACAAATCCAAAAAAAAAAAATAATAAAAAAGGTGACTCAGCCAGTCTGGCTGCGATTCGTGTCCCGTGGGGTTCGTGAGTTGTACGGAGCCGAGCTTAGGATGTCCTTTTACGGAGTTCTCGCCGGTACATGGCACATGGCAAATGCAAATGATTTCATATAGAGCCGACTGCACCGAATGCCACTGCAATTAAGTAAACATTTTTATTGAGTACAGTGAAAGCTTTTATATGACAGGCTAATTTGTATTTTCATTATTCGAACTCAGGGTTGGGTAAACAAATTCCCCCACTGCATACATTTTATTCTACAAATTGTAAATAAATGGTATATATATTTCAAAATGTGTATCAGCTATAGAAGAGAGTCTTTTTCTAAAAATGGTTTGGATCGGATTGCAATGAATATAATTTCTAGAATTATTAATACTAGTAGAATATGCTAAAGAATTCCTCCCCAAAGGGAGCATTGACTGTGCACTGGTCCCATTTCCAATTTAAATTCCATTGGGGGCAGCATCAACAGCAACATCAACCGAGAGCTATACAAATAATAATAGATTTAATCATGAATTACGAAAATAAAATGACAATCATCGGTGTGATCAACTCGTTGCGGCTGAGGTGTTTTGCTTTTGGCAGCGGTAGCGCCCACATGGACGCGACTCGGCCGCTAATGCCCCCGAATAATGTCCAAACAATAAACCCGTCCAAATCGGTGACCTTGGAGGCGACAGAATCACTGGCTAAGCTGCCCAGTTGAGCAGAGGCATCCAGAAGAATCAACAACCCAGATCCCCGAGAATAATGCCACGACAACGCATCCATCCGATATCTTTTAATGCAGACAATGGATTTTGGGAATACTATAGATTTTTTTCTGAATAATATATCCAATTGAAATAGATAGATCTAGAATCTATAAGTTTACAGAACTTATAGAGTTTCTATCTTGTATTATACTAGTCACTACTATATTGCATTTTTCAAAGTAACACCCATAAAACCATAATATTTTAGTTTCTAAAGAGATGCCAATATTTTATTCTAAAACTTGCCGCCTTATTCATTATTTAAACAACTATGTATGCTATTTTTAAGAGGTCCATCCCCTCTGGAAAACCCCACCAATAAATACACGTCCTCCCCTTAAAGCTTAAACTTCTTTATTACCTTACCCTGGAACCCTAAAAATAACTATTATAACTATAACTATTCTGTAATAAATACTAGACCCTAAAACAAAAAACAAATTAAGAATTATTGTTATTACACAAATGCATAAATCTAAATACGTTTTCAAGAATGACACATCCTATAGAGTCAAAAAAAATAATAATTTCACCGCATCTGTAAATTTCGAGAGAATCTAGAAAAAACAAATTGCGGGCAAAGCTTTATATTTTCCCCGCGCCATGGCTGGGGAGGATCGGATCGGTTCGGATCGGAGGGAAGGGAAACGAAAACAAAATTTTCCTCACGTCATCGGAATACATGTTCAAGAGCGACGGACATCGGTGAACGCAAAACAGACCCCAAGGATATAGTATATAATTGCTCTAGTCATCCAATAGTATGTCATCTCATTCCCATTCCAAGTCTCGGCAATACCACACGCCCACCCAGCCACCCTTCTGCTGCTTCCCCAACCATATAGCCAAGTCAGAAATCAATCAAAATTTGCTCGCGATGATTTAGCATGGAATTTTTGGCTGATGATGAGAATTTTTCAGTTCGGGCAAATGGCAGCGGCAAATAGCGATCTCCTCCTGCGTGGGAGGCGTATATATATACATAAATACTATACTCTATATATATATATCGGCGTCGGCGTACAAGTCCACCGACTTGCTTGACGACAGCATTCAAAAATGTGTGACAGCCAAGAAAGAAAGTGTTTGTACTCAGGCGAAAGTGCACGTTACATACTGACACATAGCACTTAACATATATGTACAGAAGCATACATTAATTTAGTACAAAAAAAATTAAATCTTATAAATTCTTTAGACAAGCGACAACGTTAATTGTTTGTTCAGGCGCCCACCAAGAACATTTTCACAAATATTTTGATGACTAAACTCATAACGATTTCGTTTTTTAGCCCTATATATGCCATCATTTGTAAAGATTTGTCTAGAAAGAGTCAAACCTTTGGACTCTTGAAATTGTATACTTTAAATAGGGTTTTAATTTAAACAAAAAAATAATAACAAATCATGACTTTTGCTTTTAGTAAATTATTGAAATTTCCATCTAAAAGTAATTTTGCAGCTATGAGATAACAAAAAGAGTTATTATTTAAACTGCTAAATTATAAATTAATTATTATTTAAACTCAAGCTTAACTGTAGTTTTTTATTAAGCTTTTAACTTTTGAAATTTCACAATTTTAAAATTTCAGTTTTGCCCGCCAGTAGTGTTGTTAGCAACACTTATCGATATTTTTTTTTCTGGCAACTCTGTTTGACCCAAGTACGGTCACACGGCTATTAAATGTGTGCGTGTGTATTCCTCAGAATTGAATAAAAAAAAAAAAAATACAAACAATTTCCTTAAACCCAAACAGTGCGACACCTGGGCATTAAGTCAACAAAAAGTATGTCTGCCTATTACAATCTATACACTGGCGACTACGATGACGAGTCTATCGGCGATGAACGCAGCGAGGAAGGTGGGTACAATGGCGTCCATGGTGGCACTTCAAGCTACAAATTCAATCTTATAGATACGGACGACGCCAGTGAAACGGAGTTCCGTAGTGCTCAGCGGTACGGCGGCACCAACGGCACCACGAATACCAACAGTATGGGCAGCAATAGCGAGCTAAAGGAGCAGTAAGTAGGAGCCTATTTCCTTATCACTTTTTATCATTCTTATCCTTATCATCTTCTTATCTCTTCGGAAGGATGTACCAGCATAAGTTACTCAACCTTCAGAAACAGATGGAGGAACTGAATCAGCTCGTCCACCCAGAGTACGTGAAGAGATTAAAAAAGCTGGACACCCAACTGAAAGAACGACGGAGACTGAACGAAATCTATAAAGAGTATATGAGGGAGTGCGTCGAAAGGGACTATATACTGGAGAAGAAGGCCGCCCAGAAGGAGTACGACGAGAAAATGATGGACCTGAAGGACAATCTGATATCGGACTTTGAAGACCGCAAGCGACAGATCGAAAACGAGCGCTACAGCCTTGAACTGACCAATGATTCCATGGAAATTAAGACGACGGTCACCCGGAAGCTGCGAAGGCGACCCAACGAGCCCCTTCCCGTGATCGAGAAACGAAGGAAGCCCGCCACAGGACAGCTTCTGGTCTACCAGCTGGACGATAAGGAAATCGAATCCGATCTCAAGATTATCCAGCGTGGCAAGCCCTTGGCACCCAGTGCCCTCCAAAATGGACTCAGCTCCTATGCCCAGAGCCAGCAACAGCAGCAAGTGCATGGTCTTCTGCCCGAGTCCCCGGTCAGTAGTGGTGGCTATGTGGAGACCCGAATCGAGGACAATAAGCTGCTGTATGAGCGAAGGTGGTTTTGCCGAGGGCAGCAAGTCTACGTGGAAGGCAAGGATATGAGCAAGTTTGCTGCAACCATTACCGCCATTGGCAACGATGTGGTAAGTAGTTATATCCTATTTTTTGATGATTCCTCCATTGATCTCACTCTCCTGTGGCCCTTTTCCAGGTATGGGTGAAGCGAACGAACGAAAGTAAAGTCAAGATCAATATGTCGCACCTGGCAAAAGGTAAAATATCGATAAAGCGACGATAGTTACGGATCCATCAATAGGCCTACGACGATCGAGTCGTAGGTCGCTTTTAATCCAGAGGGCCGCGAGAGAGTATTCTCGTAGCCTGATCATTGTGTGCACAGAAACTTAGGTTAAGCATAAACAAATTTTTAAATTTAAAAACTCAAATTGTAAATAAAACCAATGCTTTTATCAAAATAAAGTCTTTTTTTTATTCAAGATTTTTAAGTTTTTATTTTATTAATGAGATTATATATCCAGAGCTCTTCTTGAGGAGGATCTGTGGAAAAAGATGGAATATGAGTTGTTTTTAATATTTTTTATTTAAAATTGAAACCAAAACTAAATATCTATTAGGCCTGGCTTGGAGGCAGCTTTAAAGGTTAAAGATTTAATCCAAAAACTATCCATGTGGGAGTTCTTCTCCTCCTCTAAGAAACCAGTTTTCTTGGAAACACTTCCTGGAATGCTTTGGAAGATGTCTTCTTGCCGGATTTTGGACCAAGAGGAAGGACTACCAAGCCTCCCTGACATGGCGCTGGTGGCTAAGAACGCATTCCTTGGCAGCAGCAGACTCTCCAGCCACCTAGCCAAGCCTCATCGCTCACTAAGCTCAGCTTCCGGTTATATACTCCTCCAAAGTGCTTCCGTTTCTCCCGCCCTTTTCCTCCGGCTAGATGGACAACCACAACGAAAAAAAAAAAACTGGGGGTTTCACTTGCGCTTGCTTTATAATTCTTCGGTCATAAAACATACACACGCTTCTTCTGAATCTGAAGTGGTTCTGTTGTTCTTGAGGGGAATATTCTTCAGACCATCATTTTTTTTTTTTTGTGTTTAATTTATACATTTAAAAAAAACTGATTCGCGCAGCATTGGTAGTCGCGGGAACTGCTTAGTTGCGGGAGCCGCGTCCGAATCCTCCGCGGAACTCGACCTCACCGGCACCGGGTCCAACATCACCCTTCTTGTCAACACCGCTGCCGCCGGGTGCGCGTCTGTAGGCCGAACGGTCTTCGCCGGTCTTGGAGGCATCGCCAGGGCCGCGGGGTCCGCCGGCAGCTGGACGAGGGCGCACAGTCTCGGAGCGAGCGGGGCGCTTCAGGGTCGAGGGCACAATCTCGGGGGGGCAGATGCAGGTAGCTGCGGAGCTCCTCAATGCCCTCGTTGGTGAGGTACCAGTAGTAGTGCCTCCAGGCGAACTGCTCCTTGACAAGGCCGCGAGAGTGCAGCGACTGCAGAGCCTTGATGACGTGCAAGTTGGGGATGGACTCCAGCTCGGGATGCTTCTGGGCGTGGAAGTCCTTCTTGGCCACGATGACACCCTCTTTGAAGAGGTACTCGTAGATGGCTACACGATGGGCCTTTGGCATAAACATGCTGCACAGATAAAAAAAATAGACAAAAAAAATGGTAGTGTATTAGTTGACTTTGTTATGATTGTTGTTGTTTGGTCCGGGACTCCTTTTAAAATGTCCCGTTTGGCGTCATCGAAAGCACAAATCACAAAACACAAACTGCATCAGCTGCAGTGGTGGACGGGGATTGCGGTTTCAATTTGTTTAACTTATCACATAATTGGATTTCGCCACTTTTAATGGATTATTTCACGTACTTTGCGTCTTGAACTTGGCGGAGGACCGGAAAGAAAGGAAAAGAAATCTGACAGCGCTCTTCTTCTTAACCACGCACCAGGGTTGATTCCATCATATCGATATATCGATAGTCATGTTATGTTACCGATTCAGAGTGACCGTTGTGTATATTTAAAGACTTTAAACCGTGAAAACGAATAAGCTTATATTTAAATGACAAATTATGAAATAAATTGCCACAAAAAATATAATCGTTGTGTAAATTATCACAATGAAAACATAATAGAGTAACTGAATGTTGGGAATTTCGTTATTCTTTAAAAAGTGTGGCTGATTTTGTTGAATGACAAAATCTTTTTACTGAAAGCTTAAAGAGATATGGCAGCACTTAAATTTACAAAACTAATTATTTAAAAATGTTTTATTTGGTTTTGTAGTTTGTTTAGAAAGCTTTAGATAGCATATCAGCATAAATACTTTATAAGATTCTACTATCTTATCGTACAAGCTCCATATGATGCTTTCAAGGGTTTTTATTACTCATTCCCCAATACTTCCCCTTTAAATCACTACTCTTCCATTCTTTTAATGGTAGACTTTAAGAACTTGTATATTAATATATATTTTCTACAATATATCATAATAGTTCTTTATAAATTCAAATTAGCGCGCAGAATAAAGCAGTTTAAAGCAGTTAATAAAACACTGCTTGTGGCGAGCTTGGGCAATCGATAAGTTATTCGATTTATGAAATGTAAGCAGTAGTAACGGAAAAAATAAAAGTTTTGTTAGAAAATACGCCAAATCGACTTTTAAATGAATTAAAAGTAATAAATTGAAAGCTTTATTTCTCCGAAACTATTAACTAAAGAAGTAATTTTTGTGTCAATAAGTGATGGTCACACCGTCACACCTGGCAATTACAAAAATGAACCCGCCTATTGGGAAACCTGTTTTTCTCAGCTCAGGTTTTTAAGCCGCACTCTCTCCCGGTTACTACCAGCCGACACTCTCTCTCTCTCTGGGCCATGCAACAAGTGATCACCAGCGTGAACCGTTGTTCCCGAGTTTCCGAATGGAATTTCAAACGCTGCTCGACTGCCGGAGAAGTTTGTTGTGCATTTTTTTTTGGTGCGCGGCGTGCCACGGATTGCAAAAAACAAAAAGAAAAAAAAGTAAAAGATACAATTACCCATTCCCACACTTTAATGTTCAAAGCTACACCATAGCCACCAAGCCACAAAAGCAGTCAAAAATTGAAGTTTTTTTTATGTTTTGTTCGTTGTTATCCACACTCGTCAGTGCCGTGCAATTTATTTGTTCTAAAAAGTAATAAATAAAAAATATATATACAAAAAAAAAAACCTGCAACCAAACAAAAATACAAAATATAGCGAGAGAGAGAGAGCGAAAAAAATAATAATCAACTAAGCGAAATTTAAAGCTCGAGCAGAAGACACGAATGATATCCAATCCGAATTCTTCTCGCTTTTCTTCTAATGTTCTTAGTGACGAAGTGACGTTGAAAGCAGTCGAGAAGAGGAAGAGCCACGGAGAAAGAGAAGCGGAAAGAAGCCACAAGAAGAAGAACCGAAGAAAGAGCTAAAAAAAAGTTATATATATATATAGATAGATATAAAAAAAAATAAAAAACCATCACACACATACACTCGAACACGTAACGCTAGCTGCGAAGCCGGCCGAGACGTCAACGCCGGCAGCAGAACTGTTAACTGAAACGCAAGCCAACAACAACAACAACAGAAGCAACAACAACAAAGCCACAAGTAAGTAATGACCGTAGAGAGGGAATACGGAGAGCAGTACGGTCGGAGAGGGCCAATAATACTCGGGTCTCGGGTATATAGTATGTAGATATAACCTTTTGGTAGCAGCTTGCTGCTCTCTCTTGGAATTCAAATCAGATTCCGAAACAGAATCACGGCCAACAGCAGTAGTAGCAGCACCACCAACAACAACAACAACAATAAAAGCAACAACTGCCAGTGACATTAGAACTAGGATTGGCCAGGTCGATAAAAAAAATAGATACGCTTTTTTATTGAACAAGTTTGAAGCGTTCGTTGGAGGAGTTGGAGGGGGATTATAGGAATTTTTGGAATCTTAGGAGCATGAAAGGTATTTGGAATCTTAATGGTAACTATTTTGGAGTTTATAGATGTTTTTTAAAGAAAAAATTAACATCGATAAGCCTTTAACTGTTTGAAACATAAAAAGAAGAGCTCTCAAATGAGTCTTTCCCTTATTTCTTAAATTTAAAGTAGATTCTATACTTTTGTGTTCTTTTTTTGTATTGCCTTGCTTTTTAAGAAACTTTTTTTGAAAAACTTTTACTTAGAAACCTTTTTTTTAAGTTCCAAAGCCTTGGAATAATTTTTAAAGATTTTTAAGAGCTTAAGTTTAGACAAAATCTAGGATATTTACTCTATAAAATGGAGCTCTTTTTGTTATTTTAAAATTTAGGGTATGTATAAAGTGCGTTTATTGCAAATAAAAAACATAAAAGTCATATTTTTATAGTTAGCAGTATTAGTAATATTTTCAAGCCTAGTTATGCTAAAATTTAACATATTCTATTACCTTTTATAGAAAAAAGTTATTAAGAAGATAGAAGATTTAGCTACGAAAGTCTTGAGAGAAGCTAAAAAAAATAACCATAAATGAAACTACAAAAAATTCCACTCTCTCTCTTTGAATATTTGCATATTTTTAATATATTTTGAATGACTAGATTATTGCTTCCGAGTTTTTAAAAAACTTGTATGCAAAATATGGCCAAAATACAAGACCAAAATATAGGATGCCAGTAGCTTATATACATAGTTTCTAGATGATTTAAAGACAAGACTTTTTTCTATCAGAATCTGTTTATATACTTAAAAATCTCCAAAAATATATAAGCCAAAAGCCAAACTGTCAGTCAATTAATCAGTATTGCCAATGCCACTGCCATTGCCCCACTCCCTCGAAAGCCCAGCACCATTACCATTTAGCAATTACCCATTCCAATAGTGGGCTCTCCGAATCGCCCCCATCATGGCTAATTATAGAAAAAGTGTTGATTGCCTTTCGGTTTTTCGTCGTTGTTTTTGTTGTTTATCGTCTCTGACCATGAGCTCATCCCGGAGATGCAGTCTAACTGGGCTCCAACAAATGTTGCACGTGCGCCCTGAGACTCAAGCATTCTCTGGCCACAGATGTCTAAAAAGTGGCTAAAATGTTATGAGATGGGGGGGACCTGTTCTCTTCTGTTCTGGGACCGAATGCGATCGATTTCAATTTGTGTAACGGTACCGACTGCATTTGTTGCATAAGCTCGTCCTAACGGTTCTCCGAATGGCAGTGGCCAGTGGTCTCAACCTGCCACATATTTATGTTTTTTTTTTCTTTAGGGATTCCAATCAGATGTCTCGATTGGTCTCTTTTTGTTGTTGGTTTTTTTTTTTTTTTGGTTTTTGGCCATTGGTTTTGGCAAATCATGCCAAGAACGCGACTCGACGCGGCTATTTGCTGCTGCCAACAACGGTATACGATGGCAATACAGTTAGGCGTGCAAAAAGCCAGAAAAAAAAATGAAGAAATATACTCTGTATATACATATATATATAAAGAATCGACGAAAAAGCAACGCTAAAGCTATAAAACAAAAAAAAATTGGTGGTGGCGCAAAAGAAAACTGGTTCCGGCCATCGAAGAATGCCGCAGCGGCTTGGCCACTTGGCCAGGTCCGAATGGTTTTTCTATACAGCTCTATGTATGTGTGTGTGTGTGTCTCTGTATGTGTGTGTGTGCGTGCCACTTCCGTACAACAACGCCCTGTCCCCTAGCCCCTTTTTTTTTCTTCATCTCTTTCCCGGCATAGTTAGCCTCTCCCTCATAGTTGCTCCATCTCTCTCACTCACTCTCTCAAGACTTTGGAATTCTTGCGTTCGAGTTCGCTGCCTAAGTCTTTTGTTTTGCCTTGCTACACGCCGTGTTTTCTTATCGCTGGTAGAGTTTTCATCCACTGTCAGTGACAGTGTGTCTTTATTATGAATATAATTTAGGAAAAAAAATAAGGAATAATAATTCTTACAATTTTTAACATTAATTTAGAAAAAAGAAAGTTTTAATAGTTTTCTGTATATTTTTGTTACCTTCAAAATTGTATTTTTTTATTAAAGCCTTATAATACATAGTTTTAAAATGAATCTTTATTAAAAATAACTACCACTAAATATTCCTCAGATGTATCTCTTAAGATATCTACTAAGAAATCCCTATTTTCTTGCTCTAAAATATATTTTCCTTTAAAAACTCCTTCAAGATAAAATCATAAACCAACAGTATTTATTATTTCCTTACCTAGCTTGTCTTTTATTTATTTTTTTTATGCCACTTGCAGTATCCATCTATTTATTTTTTTTGCTTACTATTCGCTTTCGAGCTCATTTTCATGCTGGCGACGCTGGAAGAAAGAGCTCCCCAGTGCCGCAAATGCTAAAAAATGCATAACAAAAGGCAAAGCAAACACCAATACCAATATCTTGTATACCACTGGGGCTAACATGGCCCAAACAATCACTCACACTCATGCTAATGCGACAAAGATGTTAATTGACTTTTACTTTATTTAAACAAAATAGTCACAGTCACAGGCGGCGAGTCACAGAAGAAAACCGCGACACGAAACCTCCAACCGTTGCTGCCATCTCTCCCCATTGAGTGAAATTTTTTTAATTTACCTTACGTTTTTTTATTATTATTATTAATTTATTGTTTTTTCAACCCCCTCTCCTCCATATTTTTTGTTTCGGTTTTGTTAACTTTATTTATAAATAAAAGAAATAAGAAACATCTCTGGTTCTTCGTCATCGATTTCGTTTTTCGATCGAAAGCCTACACGTTGTTATTAAGTTTTTAATCGATTTGAATGATGCGATAATTGGTGGCATCCAAAATTCATTTGGCCTGGGAACTCAGCCATCAGAGCCATCAGAGCCATCCGAGGTGTTTTGATTTAATAAATTCGATAATAAAGGGTTTTTAATAAATTGGGTTACAAATTGGAAATTATATTTTTGAGAAAGTTTAAGAGAACATTGCGATAATGATGGCGAAGGGATTTTCTTATAGAGTTTGTGGCACAATATGGCCCTACCTTCTTGGCCACCAAACTTGCCAAGGCCTACATACCAAAAACGCCCTCAAAAAATCGCAGCTGTTTTCCATTTAAAAATCTGACAATGTGGTGGGCGCTTGTTTCCTTTTAGATTTTAATAATTAAAAAAAGCTCCAAACCTAAAAGTTAACTATTGTATTTGTTGCCTTGTTGCATGTTGGCCATGTTGCGGGTGCGGCATTGCAAAAAAAAAGTGGCACTCCTCCAAAGCAGACAAACCCAAGTGACACCCTCGATCGATCGTTAGAATACTTTATGCACTCCGCCTGCCACTTTCAATTGTTGTCTTTGTTTTTGTGATTTTGTGTGTTGTTTTTTAGGAGATTTCCCTTTTTTTTTTGTTGCCTCTGCGTGCATAAACTTATCCATACGCCGGAGTATCTGTATCTGTAGCTGTGACTCCGTTTGTCTGTGTTCGAGTATCTGTGGCGCGTATTTGTGCGAATGTGTTGGTGATCGATGAGCAGCAAACCTGGCAACATGGCGCGCTTTTTTTTTTTTATATTTTTCTCCAAAGGTTTATTGGCCTTTTGGCTTACTCTCTTCAGTGTGTGTGTGTCGCCATTTTAGCTCGAACTTGGCTCTGGCTCTGACTCTGACTCTGGCTCTGGCTAGTGAAATCGTGCGCTGACTTCGACTTGGACTTCTTGCTAAATATTTCTTCTTTCTACATAAAATTTTCTATTTGTCCAACCCGAAAAAAGCAAAAAAAAAATAGAGGTATGTGCTTAGGCAGCAGGGCAATTAAGCCGCTTACTGCAACAACACGGTATAATATATGGCTAGTCACCTCCCTAGACAGGCCACAAGTGTGTGCCTGTTGACTGTTTTTGGCCAAAGCTTTTAGCCAATAAGTCAAGCTGTCAGTCAGGCAGTCAGGCATCCAGACATTCAGCCATCCAGCCAGCCAGACTAGGTTTAATTGAATCGGGCCTGGCCTGAAGAAGAAAAGGCTCTTTGGATCTTTTATGCTTGAATTGTGATTATGATTTGGCTTTAAAAATTATGGCCTTTCTGAGTTAGCTTATCATTATTTTTTGATCAAAAAACACACACGCAGCCGACGAAGGAAAAAACGAAAGCCAACTTGCATATCGAAAAGCCATAAACTTTGAAAATTATTTCAAACATCAGCAATAAATAATAAATAATGCATAATTGTAGCGAATGTGTTAAGTGGGTAACAAAAACGCAACTCGAAAGTAAACCAAAAATAAATCGCAATTAATTGCAGCTCACAGTAGCTAGTTGCAAGTTGCAGTTCGACAAACTGAATCTCAATTATGAAAACCAAAACAAAATCGTTTTAATAAACAATTTAATTAAAGTTCGCATTTGGTTGTGCGTGTGTGTAGTGTGATGGCACTCCACTTGAGTTTCACTTTGTGGCAGCCACCAAGCTGCACCCCTCTGCCCAATGTTTTTTTTAGGGCCCATACAAATATTTCAGCTATGCCAAGAATGTGTCCATACCCTCAAAGCTAGAAACTAGCTCTGCCAGACAATGAAGCACATTTTTCAGAGGTTTTTTTTTCCACCAAACCAACACCTGAGTTTATGAATAACTTAACATTTAAGCGTTTAAGCAGGTGCGGTCGGCCATGGGTGTGTGTGAGTGTGTCATAGTTGATAACAAATCATTTTTAGAAATCGAACAAAACACTGCTTATAAAAATTCAAAGATTTTTCGGTTTTTTGGCCGTCATGGGAACTGCTTGAATTTTGGTAATACTTCCCATAGGAATATGTTAATGAGAAGATAGGAATAGTTTCTAGAATGGTACATAGTTCTAGTAATTATGGTAATTTTTGTTGTCTTTTTCAGAATTTTTGATAAAAATTCGAAAGACTTAGGCAACAAACTTGATGATTTGCTTAGGTCTCTTTTTAGAGAATTTGTCTTTTATTTGTTCTAGTTTTTGAGATATTTGTAGAAAAACTCTTCAGAAAATATAAAAAGTATTTAAGCTATAAATTTTAAAAGATTAAATGCATTAAAACGTAAGCATTTTTCTAGAATTAAAATAAAGTGAAAAGCCCTGCTTTTAGACTGGAATCTGGCCAGCATTTTACTTAAGTTAAAGGCTTAAATAAAGTAAAAATATAATGTTTTTAGTAAATTTACATATTCAAAACAAATATTCATAAGATAAATTTTTTAAATATATTTTATTTAACCCGAAAACGAAGTTATAATAATTTCCTATTATAGGAAAGAAGATGCAGCCCTGCAGTTTAGCTTTTTTAATCTAGCTAGCATTTAATTAAAGTTTAGAGCTAAGAATCAATTAAAAATAAATGTTTTTTTTATAATTTAGCATATTTCAAACATCTATTTTGTTTAATATATTTTGTTTAAATATTTTTCTTAAGCAAAAAACTTAACAAATCAAAGAAAACCAACACATATCCTAAACACTTGCTTGATATCCATATCTTTCATATCTTATTTATTAAAATCTAAACAAATCTTAAATAAATCATACACCTGCATATTTTTGATTTAAAAAAATCTTAAGAATTGTGCCATATCCGTTTGTTTGTTGTTGCCAAGTCGTATGAATTTTTTACGAATGATTGAACAATTGGTTTCACACGGAATTCTTCTGATTGTTATTCCACATCATTGGATATTTGCTCATTGATTACGAACTCTCATGATTATGTTTTAGTGTTGTTGTTGTTAAGGCAGCTTCAATTGTTTTTGTTGTTGTTGTTGTAGTAGTTCTTGTTTGGCTTTTTGTTGTTGTTGTTGTTTTTTAGCATCAAACGTGAACTGCAAGGCAGCAACGTCTTAGCATTGGAATGCGGTCGAACTCGTACTTTAAGCCAAGATATTTTAGCTCTTTTTTGTTGTTATTGTTGTTGTTATTGTTGTTGTGTAACCAAAAAAAGATCCAAAAGAGAGGGAGCTAGCTACCTAGGCTAGAAAGAGATGAATGAAAATGAATGAAATTTTGGATCTACGAAACGAGTTGCCACTCGGGTATATGTTGACTCTATTAATTCGTAAGCACTTGCCACTTGGCCAGCATTGGTTACTGGGCCAGGCCCAAAGACTCCAATTTCCAAGTCGTACAAGCCATATCCGATTGACTCACTTTTCAAGACAAGTCAAAAACCAAAAAAAAAAATAAACTGCATGAATCAAATCCAAAAAGCCAAAGCCAATCCAATCAAATGGCGACAACCTGGCTTGTTGCTTTTGGGCATAAATATTTATGTATATGTGTTAAAGGTATTTTGCCGCAAAAAAAAAAAAAACAGGTGAAAGTTGTGCCTGAGAAAAGGCCAACAGACAAAACACCAACAACAACAACAAACCGTTGCCACCAAAAACAATAACAATAAGAAGCATTTCTTTGGAGAGTTTGTCTTTTTTTTCGGAATCTGTTTAATATTCTTTTTGGCCAACCTATATATTCCTGGGCGGTTGGAATTTCATTATTTATGATATGGCTTTTGATTTTTTTTTGGAAATTTCTTAATGAACTTGCATTTTTTTTATTCCAATCATAATTTTAAATACATTCTTTACATATTAATTTGGAGAGATATTTCCCTTTGAACTCGATTCCTTTTTATTAATTCTTTTCTATTAAGTTTAGCCTTTCTAAAAGTTTTTCTTTCTGTGTCTCTGGTGTTGCATTTCATTGCACTTCACTCGGTCTCGGTTGGCAAACATTTTCCAACAGTTATATATAGATATACAAAAGATATATCTATATATCTCGAAATATTTTACTTTCATTCATAGAGCGGCCTTCGCGTCATTGACTTGAAAACGTCGACATTCACTGTGGAATCGCTCACGATTACAATCACAATCTTGTTTATACAGATCTACCTATATACTATCTTAAATATATATATATACATCAAGTCTGATAAGCTGCATGAGCAACTATTTTTGAATGGTATTATGGAAAGGTGCAATAATTACGTGAATTTTATGCTTTAATTACAACCTTACTTATTAAATTTTTGTTGTATCATTTCTTATAGCAATGAATCAACCGGTTTGAAGACCTCTGCCACGCCCCCTATCCATTTCCCAGAGCAGATCCAGTAGAGATATTATCCGCGCACATCCGCGCGCATTTGGTAGAAGCGAAAGCCACGGGGAGCTGCTGGAAAGTCTCGTTTACGTGGACCACCTGACCTGACCAGGACCAGACCAAGGAGAATCTTGAGAAGGAGGAGCTAGCAGCTAGCCAAGAGTGAGCCATGGACTGGGCCGAAGGCGATCTGGTTTGGTTCGATCCGGGGATGGGTCATCCCATACCCGGTGAGATCCAGGAAGTGCATCGCGCTGCTCAGGTGATTGTTGTCCAGGCGCTCATCAAAGGAAAGGTTAGTATACTTATGGTTTAACATTCTTCACAAGAGTTGGGACTTTAGGACCAAAATCTTTAGAAAAGTACCAGGTATCATATCGTCTTTCAATTTTTAGAGGTTTCTCTTCAAAAGTAAACTCTTCTTCAAAATTATACCATTTTTAAAACCAAATATTTTCCAAAACCCAAACCCGAAACCGTTTTTCCAAGTGCATTTAAAGAAATCATTATTTTTCGCACTCACTGTACCGATTTCACACCTCTGTTGACCCAAAACCCATGAACGTTTAGTTTTCGTGGCCCACTGTTTGGTTTTTCAATTTGTTTTCGGTTTTCGGTATTTGGTTTTTGGGTTTTGGGTTTTCGATTTCGCCTCGGCCCATGAATGCTTTTCACTATTTTCACCCCGACCCATACTGTTTGCACTCACTGTGTGTTTATATATTTTTTTTATTTCGGATTTTCGCCGACGAGGGCCCCTTTTGTCGGAATTTATGGAATGTGTACTCTAGCCGGGATTTATGGGCCAATTTTGTAGCCAACATAGTGAAGCCAAACATTGGCTTGCCAGTTGGATGTTTTTTGTTTTTTTTGTTTAAGGTGGAATGGTGTGTTTACTGTAGAGGTTTGCTCGAGGACCGACTGTACTCTGGGCAACTAAATAATTGCACTCGACTGGACCAGGCGCGTTTCCTTTTTCCTTTCCGTCGGCGGTCGAGGGGAGCAATTATGAGGAGCAATCACTGGCTAGTTGCCAGCATTAGCTGGAGGCACTGAAAAAAAATATTTTGAGTTTTAATAGCTCTTCTTAAATCATAGAGAAAGAAGTTCTTTAAAAGCTTTTTAGTTTTCTTTTTTCTGGAAATTTAGTTTGAATGTTATGGTTATTTTTAAAAATTATTTGCATTTAATATTCGCACTTGAGTATTTTTGGGTGCTTCTATAATTTGTAGAAAATATTTTTTAGCCAAGTTTTTACTTTTTATTTGCCAAATAATTGTTACTTTTTATTTGCAAAAAAAAGTAGGAAAGAAAACTGTCATCATACCATATATTTAATACATAATAAGTAGCTCTGGTACTTTTACAGACAAGACTTTTAAAAAGAAAGCTATAGTTTATTATTTTGTTTAATATTTTAATAATATTTGCATGTTTTAGGACTTAAATAATTTCTTAACTAAGTTTGAGAAAGTTTACTTAGTAAAAGTATTAGAAAATCATAAGAAGCTTCAATGTTTTTAGGTGTCTGTTAGAAACTTCATGCTACCTTTTAGAATTACCTTTTTTTTAGACCACTTTTTTCTCAAATAAAGTTATCTCAGTGCACCTGCAGTAGCATAACGTTAACTGTAGCGGTACCAGCTGCCAGATTGTAAAAAAGAATAAAAAAAAACCAGTCACATGTGACTTGCATCCTGTTCCAGGTGAACCTGTTCCAGAACCATGTGTTCTACAGTTGGCCGAGGATCTTCAATCTCAGATCCCAGAACAGATATGATTGGTTAGGATCATGGTTCTTGGGGATAATAGTTCTGGGGATAATAGTTCTTTACCTTACCAGGTGCTGAGAGGTGTAATCAAAGAATTTAATCAATTATTGAAAAGAGTAGTGCGTAAAAGTGGGCAGTCTTCTATTTTTTATTATTGCAGAAGATTTAAGAAAAAATTAAAGAAATTAAAGAAAACTGAACCATTGTTATGGTATATAGCCTACAAAGCTTGTGATTTTTAAAGTAAAATATGTTTGTTTATAAAATATAAATCTTAAAAGTAAAAGTAAAGACTACCAACTTAAAAGTTGACTAAACTTTAGAGTAAATCTTAAAATATGACCTCCTGTAACTCATATTTCCGTTGTGTACTTTTAGGGATGACCAGTATAATTTAATGATTTATTTTCTACTTAATAAACTACTAGAAAAATCTATTAATTAATCAAAAATAGTTTAAAAACTTTAACAAATCTTCGTGTTTTTCTAGAGACTTTTCACGCCCTTGTTTGTTTGTTTTTTTTTGATTAAATGACATATCCCCTCCGCCTCACACGAAGCTTGAAGAATGAAAATTGTAGACCGAAGAAGACCGAGACTCAGAAGACGGCTGAAGACTGAAGAGCCCAAGAACCGGATCTGGGTTTTGGTATTGATCTTGGTGTCTCAGAGATGGATTTAGAGATGGAGAAAGTCCCACACATTCTCCGTCTAATTGAAAGCCGATCGATCGGGTTTCTTCTTTCTTTCTTTGATTTCTATTTAGTTTCTTGATGCTCTATAGTTTTGATTAAAATTTAATTAGTTTCCACTTAAAATAGAGTATTTAGAATTAGAATTAGAATAAAATATAGTAATATAAAGTTCTTTCCAAAAATTCTTTCAAAGAGTATACCCACTTCGTTGTAGTTTCTTGTTTATTTTTTGAATTTTATTTGTTTTGGTTGCGGAGAGTGTGTTCTGGTAACTTGGTGGCTGTAACAGGAGTGTCATCTGGTCTGGTCGGGTTCCAACTAGTGGTCCGGCTCCCCATCTCCTCCAACTCCACCAATTGGCTACAAAAAAAGAACGTGTTTTGGTTGGAAAAACCGTTTTAGAAACGTTTGGGGAAAATTGTGGCAGAGCCACTCCGCCAGAATCCGATTCCTTTCAGTTGCATTCGAGGCGTCTCTCGTGTGGCACGATCTGGATCTTGTTTTGTACTCTTTGTGCCAGTTTTTTTGTGGAATTTTGTTATATTTTTGGGCTGGCTTCCGGATGCGCATCGTCCGGTTCCACTTGGAGCCCTGGCAGCGTGGCGGCGGCGGCTCGATCACCCCCAGTCCCGCCCAGTCGCCATCGCTGGGCCTGCTCTCGCCCCATGTCCTGCGCCGCCAGCGCCCGGCCAGCCTCGACGAGGTGGAGGGGGCCGACTTGCCGGCCCTGTCCGCCCACCATCCGGCCCTGCCCGCCAGTCGGAGGCGCCGCTTAAAGTGCCACCGCTATCCCCAGGTGGTGAAGCGGCTGTCGACTTTGTGCAGCGATGTGATAGCCCGCCATGTGAGATTTCCCATTTAATGGACACCTAAGCTTCCCAAGAAACCATTCTCCCTTGAACTTGAATACTAAAGTCTACTATTTCTCACTTACAGCCACAGACGTTCGCCCTGCAACCCGGCGAGGGCAACCTGCGCGCCCGCCAGGATCTGGGCAGCAGTGGGGTGGAGGACATGACCCTGCTGGATGACCTGCACGAGGCCTCGCTCCTCTGGAATCTGCGCCTGCGCTACGACAAGGGCCTCATCTACACCTTTGCCGGCAGCATCCTGATCGCCGTCAATCCGTACAAGATGTTCCCGGACGCCTATGGCCTAGAGGTGGCCAAGCAGTACGCCGGCCGACCGCTGGGATCCCTGCCGCCGCATCTGTTCGCCATCGGAGCAGCGGCCCACGCCGCTCTGCCCTCGCCCCAGGTGGTGGTCATTTCCGGCGAAAGCGGCTCCGGGAAGACGGAGTCCACCAAGCTGGTGATGCAGTACCTGGCCGCAGTGGTGCCGGGCGGAGGATCCGCCTCGGCGGTCATCACCGAACAGATCCTGGAGGCGGCACCGCTGCTGGAGGCGTTCGGCAACGCGAGAACCGCCAGGAACGACAACAGCTCCAGGTTTGGCAAGTACCTGGAGGTCTACTTCAAGAGCGGAGCCATTGTGGGTGCCAAGATTACGCAGTACCTGCTGGAGAAGTCCAGGATCGTGACCCAGGCGCCGGGCGAGCGCAACTACCACGTCTTCTACGAGCTCCTGGGCGGCCTGTCCGAGTCGGAGCGCTCCAAGTACGGCCTCCTGGAGGCGGACAAGTACTTCTACCTGAACCAGGGAGCCACCGACTGTGCCAGCGGCCGGGTGGACTGGGAGTCTCTCCAGGGCGCCATGCAGGTCCTGGGCGTCTCTGAGGGCGAACGCGAAGGCATCGTCCGTGTCCTGGCCGCCGTTCTGCATCTGGGAAACGTTTACTTCCATCGCCGGCAGCTGCGCCATGGGCAGGAGGGCGTGGAGGTGGGATCCGATGCGGAGATCAAGTGGGCGGCCCACCTGCTGCACATCAGCGCCGACGGACTGCACCGGGCGCTGACCAGCCGGACGACGGAGGCGCGAGCCGAGCGACTGCATACGCCGCTGGGCATCGACCAGGCCCTGGACGCCCGAGATGCCTTCGCCAAGGCGCTGTACGCCGGACTCTTCAACTGGCTGGTGTCGCGGATCAACTCGATCGTCCAGAAGGGCGGCACCCACGACGCCCACCGCATCAGCATCCTGGACATTTTCGGGTTCGAGGACCTGGCCGAGAACAGCTTCGAGCAGCTCTGCATCAACTACGCCAACGAGAACCTCCAGCTGTACTTCAACAAGCACGTCTTCAAGCTGGAGCAGGCCGAGTACGCCCGAGAGCGGCTCGAGTGGACGCCCCTCGCCTGGGACGACAACCTGCCGGTGATCCATCTGCTGGCCAAGAAGCCGGTCGGCATCTGCCATCTCTTGGATGACGAGTCCAACTTCCCGCGTGCCACCGACCTGAGTTTCCTCGAGAAGTGCCACTACAACCATGCCCTGAGCGAGCTCTACGCCCGTCCCCGGATCGGCGCCCAGGAGTTCGGAGTCACCCACTACGCCGGCCAGGTGTGGTACTGTGTGGACGGGTTCCTGGACAAGAACCGAGACGCCTTGCGGGGCGATGTTTTGGAGCTGCTGGCCTCCAGTCGGCTGACTCTAGTCGGGGAGCTGACCAAGCAGCTGCGCGCCCAGCGGGATGCCGGAAAGACCCTTCCCAAGGGTAGCAATGGACGATTCGTGACCATGAAGCCGAGGACTCCGACTGTGGCGGCCCGCTTTGCCGACTCCCTGCAGCAGCTGCTCCAGTCGATGGGAAGGTGCCATCCGTGGTTCGTGCGCTGCATCAAGCCCAACCAGGAGAAGCACGCCCTCCGCATGGACATGCCGTGCGTGCTCCAGCAGCTCCGCTATCTGGGCATGCTGGACACCATCCAGATCCGGCAGCGCGGCTACCCGGTGCGACTCCGCTTCCAGCACTTTGTGGAGCGGTATCGACATCTCCTGGCCAGTCCGCTGGCTAGGGGTACCCCCTACCGGGAGCTGTGCCGCGTCCTCCTCGAGGCCATGCCGCGCACCGGAGTCGAGGGCCCCGACTACCAGCTGGGTGCCACGCGGGTGTTCCTGCGCGAGGCCCTGCACCGCGCCCTGGAGAGCGGCCGGACGGAGCGGCTCCGGCGGGCGGCTGTTAGTGTCCAGCGCCACGTACGAGGTATGCTGGTGCGCCGCCAGCTGGCGCGTCGTGAGACAGCGGCTACGAAGCTGCAAGCCCGTTGGCGCGGTCAGCGGGAGCAGCAGCGCTACCGGAATCTGCGCAAGGGCGCCCTCACCGCCCAAAGACTGTGGCGCGGGCGCCAGGCCAGGAGAAGGGTGCAGCAACTCCGCTCGGATCACCGCCGGAGGCAAGAAGCTCGCGAAGCAGCACAGCGGGCGCGTGAGGCCCGGGAGGCGAAGCAGGCGGTGCTGGAGAGAAGCCAGCTGAGCTACCTGGACATACCCGCCGAGCTGGCCTTCATCTACTCCAAGCTGCAGGGCTGGTCACCGCCGCACGGCGATCGGAATCTGGTCAAGGTCCTGGGAACGGTGCCAGGACCTCCAAACGCCGCCATGCAGCTGCCCGAGGATCTGGCCCAGTTCTCCTTCGGAAAGTTCAGCAGCGTCTACTGCAACGGCATGAGGCTGCAGCCGCGGCGGGAGCCCATCACGGCGCCCTTCCTCTCCAGAGCCGCGTCGCGGGATCAGGACTTCCAGGACGCTCTGGCCGTGTTCAAGCTGATACTGCGATGGAGCAACGACAAGTCGCTGGAGGGCGCCAAGGAGAAGCTCCTGGCCGACTACATCGTCCACAAGGCGCTGAGCTCGCGCGGCCTGAGGGACGAGATCCTGGTGCAGCTCTGCAACCAGGTGCACGGCCTGCCGCCCACCTCCACCGAGGCCACCAGGCTGTGGCAGCTGCTCGGTCAGTGCCTCTGCTGCTTCCAGCCCAGCGCCGCCTTCAGCAAGTATCTGATGCGCTTCGTGGACGACGAAGCTCCTCCGAATCTCCGGCCGCTGCTCCTCCGCCAGCTGCTGCGCCAGTCCGGCTCCGGGAGCCAGGCTGCGGGCGGCGGTGCGGGTAGGAGCTTCGTGCCCGCCTGGCTGGAGTGGCGCGCCTGGACGCGGGGCTGCGACATGGCCCTGCCCCTCACCCTGCCCGACGAGGCCAGCCAAACGGTGGCCGTCGATTCCTGGACGAGCTGCGAGGAGGCCGCCGCCCTAGCCGTCTCCTCTCTGGGCGTCTCCAGCCGGGGCTGGACTCTAGTCCTCGACGACGGCCAGCAGCTGACCGATAGCTGCGGACTGGACTACGTCATGGATCTGATCGCCGAGAAGGAGCTGTGTCCGGCCTTCCCAGCTCCCAGGAGCGACCTGCTCCGCTCGGGAGCCAAGTTCGCTCGGACCCCGCTGCCGGAGGCCGTGAAACGTCCGGCTGTACCGCCTCCAGCCCCGCCCACTGCGGGCGCCAAGGAGGAGATGCCACGGGAGCGACGCAGCAGCCGGGAGCTCTTGTCCCGCAGCTCGGCCCTCAACGAACGATACTTTGAAAGGGAGCCCAGTCCAGGTCCGGGCACGAGTTCCGGCCAGAGCCAGGCCAAGTCGCGCTCCAAGTCCCTGGACGACTTGCTGGCCGGAGACATTGCTCCGGTGCAGACGGACTGCGACTCCCAGGAGCCGCTTCACACACTCGGACTCTCGGAGAGTCGCCTCAACGATCGCTACCACTCCGCGGAGCGACTGGCTCCGATGGGCAAGGAGACGGCGCCGCGCTACCAGAAGTCCCAGCACGCCGGTAGGAGATCCCACGCCGCCTCCCATGGCTCCCACTCAAGCAAGTACGCCGACAAAGCGGAGTACGCCACCCGATCCTCCGCCATGTCGGACACCAGTGAGGCGCCGTCCCTGGCCTCGCACGTCCGTCGGGTGAGAGTGCCCTCGCAGGCCTCCGATGTGGACCAGTTTCTGGACGACTTGTTCAGCCCGGTGCTCGATGGTTCCCTGGACGAGCTATCAGATGCCAGATCCTTGGCAGCCAGCATCCGGGGAAGCGGAGTTAAGAAACAGGAGGAGGAGGAGGAGGACTTCGACTTGGAATCGGAATCGGAAATCGAAGACCTGGATGACTACATCAACGAACTGATGCCCAGCCACTTGGAAAACCTGTATAACCTGAAGGACAAGGAGCACCTGGTGGTCGCCATCAAGGGAGGCGGCAGCACCGACAGCAACGGGGCGGATCCCCTGCTCCATCAACTGATGCAACTACCGGCGGAGACGGACTCCGCCCCGGCCCTCTACCAGCAGCAGGTGCAGCGCGCCTTCCTCCAGTCGGCCATGGCCCAGAATCTCCAAATCCAGCAGCAGCTCCTGGCCCAGAACCAGGCGCTCCAGACCCTGCTCAGCCAGCAGGCAGCAGCCGCAGCGGCGGCCACCAGTTCTGCCTCCCCACCGCCGCCCCCTGTATCGGGATCCGCAGGAGTTCTGAGTAGCCTTTCCATCTCGCCGCCACCACCGCAATCCCCACTGCGGATGAAGACCACACGGAGCAGTCTGGTGGTGATGGAATCTATGCAGCCACCGGCACCGCCACCACCGCCACCAATGCCGCCACCACTGGAGTGCAAGGATCCTTCGGAGACGCGACACTTCCTGGATCCCTACGGGCGGGCCAAGACCGTGCGGATCGGCAAGTGGCGCTGGCCGCCGCCGCAGGATGAGCCCCAGTTCCAGACCGAGGAGGACTTCTTCGCCTTCAAGATGCGCCAGCAGCAGCGGAAGACCACGCCCCAGGCCCAGCACCATTCACACCACCAGGTGGCTCTCAACGGTGGTCCAGGTGGCGCCTCCGCCACGGCTATCGAATGGGAGGAGTTCGAGATCGAGAGCCCGACGCCGCCGCCGCTGATGGGCGGCCAGCCGCAGCTGATGCGGAGCAGTATCCGGCTGGAGACGAGTACCAGTACCACCACTGCCATCACCACCACCTCGGGAGCCGGTGCCGGCAGAGATATGCAGGATGCGGGCGGGGCACCGCCACTCCAGAGTGTCGTCACAACCACGAAGCTGGCCAAGAAGAGCTTCGAGATCGGAGCCGACCGCCCGCCACCCGGCAGCGTGGGCAAGCTGAAGCTCAGCTCCGAGATGCGCCAGCGACTGGAGCAGGTGACGGCGGGCCACTCGGTGCGCTCCACCGTCTCCACCAAGTCGGAGCAGCGGGCGCCGGCCAAGCTGGAGGACACCCGGAAGCTGATGCTCCAGCAGCAGCTCGGAGGCCTCTTCGCCAGCGTGAGTGGCGGCGCCGGAGGCGGTGGCTCCGCTCCTGGTGGCTCCAACGAACCGCATGCCATCCCCGTGCGCGCCCAGATCGAGCGGATGGAGGGCAAGCTCTCGCCGCCGCCAGCTCCACCCTCGGGCGGGTGGCCTGGAGTGCTCCTGCCACCGGCTCCGAGTGTTCCAGCACCGCCGCCGCCCATCCGGCCACCCAGCATGGCCCCGCCAGCCCCTCCGCCGGCCCCCCAGAGTCCTCCGACCACTAGGAGCCCGGAACCGGAGCCGGACTACCGGATAGCCGGCGCCAAGGAGCACGTGCCGGCCTTCATCCAGCGCCAGGAGCGCGACACCTTCGGGGCAGTGCGTCCGCAGCAGCACCATCCGATGATGAACAGCAGCAGCCACCATCTGCACCTGGAGGAGCACCATCACCATCACAACCACTCCGCATCTTCCTCGCCGGCGGCAGCTGGGTGGGAGCAGGCGGAGCGGGAGCGATCCCGCAGCCGGAGCCGAAGCCGCGACCGTGAGGACTACTCCGAGTCCGTGTGGGACCGGGCGGAGGTGGAGGGTCCTGCCTCGGGCAGTGGCAGCGAGAAGGAGCGCGAGAAGCGGGAACGCGAACGGGAGCGGCTCTACGAGCTGCGCCAGGTGGAGCGGGAACGGGAGAGTCACAAAGTCTACCAGCCGGCACCTCCGCGCGTCATCCAGGCCAGTTTGGACAACACCGGAAGGAGGGAGCGAGAACGGGAAAGGGAGCGGGAGCAGGAACGCGGCCCGGCCACCTTCCGCACCCACATGGCCCAGAAGTACGAGCACGAGCGGAAGCGCAAGAGCTCGGCCAGCTCCGGGATGCGTGAGGAGCTGGACTCGATGCGTTCACTGGCCACGACGCCGCCGGCAGTCATCGTCCCGGCCCCAGTGCCGCCTCCGCCCGCCGTCAGCCCGGGTCCGGGCTCTGGGGCGGGAGCCAGCAGTGCCTGTCTCACCTACAACCGGGTGCCGTGGAAGCTGCGCGTCCGCAAGGAGGTCTTCCAGCCGCACGAGCCGATCGGTCCGCCGGTGGCCCTGGATCTGCTCTTCGCCCAGGTGCTGGGCGACGTATTCGGGGTGACACCCTGCCTCCGGATCACGCCCCAGGAGAAGAGCTCCGCCCTGAACATGCTCCACGGGCATGGAGTCAGTGTGGACACATTGTCGGCGAGGAACACTGGAGGAGCCGGTCAGCAGGTTAGGGCTCTGGTGAAGCGCCACCTGGTGGACATGGCACGCGACTGGCCACTGTACTTCGCCCGCCTGTTCGCCGTCCAGGGCGCCCCCCTCTACCCGGACGTGAGCATCATGGGCGTCTCTCACAGCGGCCTGTACCTGGCCCGGCGGGACGCCGACTACCTGATCGTGGTGCAGGCCATCTCCTTCGGGGAGATCCAGAGCGCCGTCACCCTGCCGCGTCCGGCGGCCCTGCAGCTCAACCTGAGGAACGGCAAGCACCTGGCGCTCCACGCCGCCCGGGCAGCCGCCATCCAGTCGATGGTCACCACTTTTGTCCAGGAGTTCCGTAAGGTGAGTGTTGATTATCCTTTTCATTTTTTTTTAGTTTTTAGTTTATTTTTTATGGGGATTGGTATCCTGATCCCTGAATGTGAATCCCTTGTCAGGATCGGTGGGGAAATGGCCAAGATATTCATGAAAAAGTGAGAAAAAACAGAATTCGCACTTTTCCAAGGGGTAGACCCAGGATTTTGGCCAAAAATCGGACCAAAATTTTTTTCTCAGGATTTTACGAATCCTTGAACACAGCTCGACGTCGAAAGGATCCCCGATTCCTAAATGGCATCCCTTTTTAGGATCGGTGGGGAAACAGCCAAGATATTGACCAAAAAGTGAGAAAAAACAGAATTCGCACTTTTCCAAGGGGTAGACCCAGGATTTTGGCCAAAAATCGGACCAACATTTTTTTCTCAGGATTTTACGAATCCTTGGACACCGTTCGACGGCGAAAGGATCCCCGATTCCTAAATGGCATCCCTTTTTAGGATCGGTGGGGAAACAGCCAAGATATTGACCAAAAATTGAGAAAAAACAGAATTCGCACTTTTCCAAGGGGTAGACCCAAGATTTTGGCCAAAAATCGGACCAAAATATTTTTCTCAGGATTTTGGGAATCCTTGGACCAAGATATTCATGAAAAAGTGAGAAAAAACAGAATTCGCACTTTTCCAAGGGGTAGACCCAGGATTTTGGCCAAAAATCGGACCAAAATTTTTTTCTCAGGATTTTAGGAATCCTTGAACACAGCTCGACGTCGAAAGGATCCCCGATTCCTAAATGGCATCCCTTTTTAGGATCGGTGGGGAAACAGCCAAGATATTGACCAAAAAGTGAGAAAAAACAGAATTCGCACTTTTCCAAGGGGTAGACCCAGGATTTTGGCCAAAAATCGGACCAAAATTTTTTTCTCAGGATTTTACGAATCCTTGGACACCGTTCGACGGCGAAAGGATCCCCGATTCCTAATGGCATCCCTTTTTAGGATCGGTGGGGAAACAGCCAAGATATTGACCAAAAAGTGAGAAAAAACCGAATTCGCACTTTTCCAAGGGGTAGACCCAGGATTTTGGCCAAAAATCGGACCAACATTTTTTTCTCAGGATTTTAGGAATCCTTGGATGCAGATCGACGGTGAAAGGATCCCCGATTCCTAAATGGCATCCCTTTTTAGGATCGGTGGGGAAATAGCCAAGATATTGACCAAAAAGTGAGAAAAAACAGAATTCGCACTTTTCCAAGGGGTAGACCCAGGATTTTGGCCAAAAATCTGACCAAAATTTTTTTCTCAGGATTTTACGAATCCTTGGACACCGTTCGACGGCGAAAGGATCCCCGATTCCTAATGGCATCCCTTTTTAGGATCGGTGGGGAAACAGCCAAGATATTGACCAAAAAGTGAGAAAAAACCGAATTCGCACTTTTCCAAGGGGTAGACCCAGGATTTTGGCCAAAAATCGGACCAAAATTTTTTTCTCAGGATTTTAGGAATCCTTGAACACAGCTCGACGTCGAAAGGATCCCCGATTCCTAAATGGCATCCCTTTTTAGGATCGGTGGGGAAACAGCCAAGATATTGACCAAAAAGTGAGAAAAAACAGAATTCGCACTTTTCCAAGGGGTAGACCCAGGATTTTGGCCAAAAATCGGACCAAAATTTTTTTCTCAGGATTTTACGAATCCTTGGACACCGTTCGACGGCGAAAGGATCCCCGATTCCTAATGGCATCCCTTTTAGGATCGGTGGGGAAACAGCCAAGATATTGACCAAAAAGTGAGAAAAAACCGAATTCGCACTTTTCCAAGGGGTAGACCCAGGATTTTGGCCAAAAATCGGACCAACATTTTTTTCTCAGGATTTTAGGAATCCTTGGATGCAGATCGACGGTGAAAGGATCCCCGATTCCTAAATGGCATCCCTTTTTAGGATCGGTGGGGAAATAGCCAAGATATTGACCAAAAAGTGAGAAAAAACAGAATTCGCACTTTTCCAAGGGGTAGACCCACGATTTTGGCCAAAAATCGGACCAAAATTTTTTTCTCAGGATTTTACGAATCCTTGGACACCGTTCGACGGCGAAAGGATCCCCGATTCCTAATGGCATCCCTTTTTAGGATCGGTGGGGAAATAGCCAAGATATTGACCAAAAAGTGAGAAAAAACAGAATTCGCACTTTTCCAAGGGGTAGACCCAGGATTTTGGCCAAAAATCTGATCAAAATTTTTTTCTCAGGATTTTAGGAATTCTTGGATGCAGATCGACGGCGAAAGGATCCCCGATTCCTAAATGGCATCCCTTTTTAAGATCGGTGGGGAAATGGCCAAGATATTGACCAAAAAGTGAGAAAAAACCGAATTCGCACTTTTCCAAGGGGTAGACCCAGGATTTTGGCCAAAAATCGGACCAAAATTTTTTTCTCAGGATTTTACGAATCCTTGGACACCGTTCGACGGCGAAAGGATCCCCGATTCCTAATGGCATCCCTTTTTAGGATCGGTGGGGAAACAGCCAAGATATTCATGAAAAAGTGAGAAAAAACAGAATTCGCACTTTTCCAAGGGGTAGACCCAAGATTTTGGCCAAAAATCGGACCAAAATATTTTTCTCAGGATTTTGGGAATCCTTGGACCAAGATATTCATGAAAAAGTGAGAAAAAACAGAATTCGCACTTTTCCAAGGGGTAGACCCAGGATTTTGGCCAAAAATCGGACCAAAATTTTTTTCTCAGGATTTTAGGAATCCTTGGACATAGTTCGACGGCGTAAGGATCCCTGATTCCTAAATGGCATCCCTTTTTAGGATCGATGGAGAAATAGCCAAGATATTCGCCAAATAGTTAAGCACAAAAATAGTCTTGGAATTATGATTCAAAGATTTGTAAAAATCTATGTTCTGCTAGTCTTTATTTAAATACTGGTTTCTCTGGTGGAAACTAGTTTCTTAGCTAAACGATTTTGTAAAATGTCCAAAAGTATGCTAAATTTCCCAACTTAACCCTTAGAAAAATATAATATTAAAATAATAAGTCGTAGAAAGACAAAAAATACTTACTTTTGAAAGCATCATTGGGGATTCTTGAATTATACTTTATATAAAATAAAGCCTTCTTCTGCTTGATAGATCAAAGTCTCATTTACTATACTTTTTCTTATAATTTGCAATACTTACTGTTTTTTTTATCAATTATTTTTTTATGGCAACCATTTCTTACACCAAACTGCTAGCAAATATAATTACATTAATTGCGTGAATAATGGCATACATTGGCCATTATGTGGCCTTAATTAAGTGCAAATAGTTGAATTATTTTTTCCTCCTTTTTGCGGCCTCAAGTTAATAATATTGACATCTAGACTATATATATATGTACATATGTTCGTACTTATTTTTTTATCCCAAAAAACCAATTGATTTTCTTAATCAGACTGGCATGGTTTAATGGATTTTCGAGTGGCATTTTGAAAGCCATCTGGCTGGGTTTTCTATTTTATTTATTTCTATTATTTGCACGCCTTAAAGCTCAGTGGGTCTCAGTGGTTTCAGTGGCTCCAGTGATTCCAGCAGCTATAGAGGCCTCAGTAACTCCAGTGACCAGTTTCCAGTTCCATATATGTAAGCATCCTCCACTCCGCTTGGATGATATTCATAGTTGGCGCACGTCCATCACTCGTGTCTCGTGTATTTACTTTTATTTTCTCTTTTTTGTTGGCTTTTTTTTTTATTTTTTGTGTTTGTTTTTTATTTTAAAAACTTGCATTTGGAAGGCATTTGTTTTTGGAAAAGTTTGGGGCATTTTCTTTATCGTGAAGGTTCCTTTTTTTGTTTCTTCGGTTTGAAGTTATATTTTTGAGTCTTTTGAAAGGGTAATTTTTGGAAACATTAGTCTTCCTAAAATTAGTTAGTTTTATAAATACATTTAATAATTTATTTTTTTATGAATATATGTATAAGTTCTGCCTTAAAAAGTAACGTTGAGTGTCTAAAAAGCATAGTGTTTTTTTGTTTGATTGTTTATTAAATGAAAGTTTAATAAATAATATATAATATATTATATTCCCTTAATTTCTGTATTTTTTATTTATGTATTTTTTCTGTATCTAAGTTTCTGTATTTATAATAACACCAACTTCTCAACTTTGACTATAAAGACTTTATTAAATTTTCAAAAACTTCTCAATCTCAATTTTTTTAAACTTTTTCTCTACACCATTGATTGAATAATTTTCTTATAGAGCATCTAAACTTTCATATTATTTATGACACTATCTAGTTGTCTTGTCTGCGATCAACAAAATGTTTTTCCTACATTTCCCTCTCTGGCTTTTTAATTTTTTGTTTTTTTTTTTGTTGGTTTTTTTAATTCAATTCATTTTATGCGTGAAAACTCGTTAAACGCCAAAGCTGGCCAATTCGAAGGAGAGCGGGCGAAACAGTTATCTCAGCAGGGAATGCTAATGGGAATTCGGAGATGGAGAGCTAGAGAAATGGAGAAAGAGACTTGGAAGAAGCTCTCTTTCTCCTAGGGGCCTACTCGGCTTTCCGCTTGGCCAAAACCAATTTTCACTCAGCCCTCTCCACGGCTCTCTGTTCTGCTCCGTTGCGAGTGAAATGGCCAACAAGCCAGAGCCAGAGCCAGAGTCGGAGTCAGAGTCGGAGTCAGAGCCAGTGGCTCTTTCTGTGGCTGGTTTTGTTTTTTTTTGTTTTGTGTCTTGACCAAGTCCGTTTTAGCCAGTTTTTCAGTTTTCAGCCAGTAGTCGCCAGTTGTTACAAATGTGCGGTAACGGCATCACGCAGTTTGAAAAGTCGCTCCGTCGGATTCTTTGCGGACTTTCTTTCTGTTTTTTGTTTTTTTTTTAAAACCAACTTCTCGTGTTGGCCAAGTTGTGTTGCCTTCATTTCTTTTGCATTATTTTGTTCTGTTTTTGTGTTTTAGTGTTTCGTGTTTTTTGTTTTAAACTTGGTCTAAACAAAGTCAACATGGACTGACCTCAAAAAATTGGAAATATTTTAAAC